TTCGCAGCCTGCACTCACCGAAACCGTACGTCAACCAAGACATGACGACGCCCGGCAAGGAGTCATAATCCGGACAAAGTGACCGAGATCGTCAACTGCCGCGAATTCAACACACAATGCATCATATTGCAACCACCAATCGCTGTGCGCAGCTCGGGCTCCGACTACAACGGTCCGATACTCGCACGTGTGTCCGTACCCGTAACCGGTACCTATACCCATGCCCGTGGCCCCGATTGTCCACCGGAAATCCATCTGCGGAACCGAGAGACAAGGCGGGCGGGCGTTGCAGGAAGAAATCCACCCAAGGTGGACATTCCAGAGACGACATTTTTCCGGTTTACAACTGCATCTATTGAAGCGCCCAATCGCGGAACTATCCCAGGAAGCATTGCCCTGGGCGACATATTCCTCGCAGACGCAGACTACTAGAACACAGCCAACGCGATGCTCGTTCAACTCCGGACCTGCATGACGCTTGCGTCGTCTGTGACTAGGACTACGCAGTCAGATATTCGAAACCAAGAATCACATCATCACCATGCTCGATCAGTGACTTCATCTCGCTCTTCTGCTTGCCCAAAGGATACAATCAGCCTCGTCATGTCGATTCAAGAGTTTGCGGGGGATTGTCACTGGGAGCAAGGGTTTGCTGTCTCAGAAGGAGCGCAAGCGATTGGATGACGAGCGAAGCGCGTCAACTTTCTCGCCCTGCTACTGGACGATATCCAGCATCTCACTTGGGACACTCTTCTTGTCAAATCCGCAGCGGATGATGTGAGGCCCCCGTCCTCTTAGCTCCAGCACAGCCTCGGAAGTCAGCAAGCCACGGGGACTGAACCACATCACCGACCCCAGAACAAGCAGGACGGCCAGGGCCTTCTCCCATCACGGTGGGATCGCGAGTCCTAGACCCGCTTTGTCCACCGCTCAACGCCGTTACCCCGTCTCGCTCACCATGTCTTGGCCGGAGTCGCCGTCGGTCTTGTGTGGGTCTACTGCTCGTCAATTCCACACTTCAACGCACCCGACTGCCGCTATGCCGTCTAAACATTGACCGCGAGCGTCATTGCTTCCCATTACGACTGTTTTCGAAACCAGAATACGCAGTAATCAGATATTCGCGTCCCCGGATGCCTGTTGGGTCGGGCAGAAGTCTCTCCGCGAGCCCGCATACCATCCACTACAGATGCGCTCTACAGCAAATACGTCTTCGTCTTACGAGGTGCTCCGTCTTTGGTCCATTGCACTTGTCATCACAACTTTTGATGCATCTTCAAACCACACTTTCATTGCCAACCTCGGTTGTGATGACCGCTTATCTTGAGTCCACGCTCAAATTACGGAGCAGTCTCCGTCATCTGTCCGAATCATTCCCCGTACCCTACGCCGTGATTGCAATTGCTGGAAGTTTCACCCCTCCCCTACCTCTCGACCCTTCTTCCCAAGTCCCCGGTACCCTGATCGCGGGCCAAAGTCACCCGCCGTTGTTGAAACTTGAAGCCATTTACGGCTAGTGTCGACACAAGGAGATGCTGAACCACAGTCAGGCTTGGCCCAACGGTTCCCAGCCACGACCCGCTTCCAAATCCGTACTCGGCCGATGCTGCCGTTGAACAATTCTTGTTACCCTGGCTCTCCATCCTCCCTGGCGGACCGTACGACCTGACCGCGGCATCCACTGATGTTCAAGCTCACCAGGCCCCCTCGTCAGAAAAAACTTCCCGAGCTGTGCCGCACATTGGATTCTTTTTCTGAACCCTTGCTTCAGCTCCGCCGTTGGCCTCCTTACCGCTGCCGCTCGCCCATGTCTATCTCGACGAACACTCTTGGGGCCCCTCCCGCGCTTGTTGACTTACCAGTCAAACTTCAATGATTATCGCAGAATAGGCATCCACAGCGGAGCGCCTCTGACTCTTTCATTTTCGACGTTACTCTGAAACATGGCAGACTGGTGGCGAATCTGAGGCTCAACGGGGTCTGGACTGGTCGGTAGTCCTTGGCCTACCCAGACCACGCCCTCAGCTCCGTCAACCTTCTGCATGCCAGGCCCGCTCGGCGTCTATCGAGCTTGCAATGATGTCTCTGGGTACGACGACCCCTCAACCGAGACCCTGTTTCAGAAACAGCCGCAACCCCTTCGACAGATCTCTGTTTCTGAGTCGAGCAGTCCAGTCCAGCCTTACCAAACATGTCGATCATGACATCCGCGCGGATCCATCGCGTCAGACGGCAAACAGAGAACGAACACCACCTCGGCAGACGTGAATCCTACGAGGCATTCTGCACTCGGCTACTCCACCTCACACCATTAGGCCTCTCGATCAGCCGCCTTACCGCCATGCCACCTCATTCCTTCGCGGTGCTACCGGCGAGCCTAAACCCGGTTCTCTCGACCTCGACGGGGCCGTGTTCGTCCGTCCTTTTTGCCGGTTCTGTCGTTTGCCTCTTCCCGTCCCATGCTTCGATGCAGAGTCAAACTTTGAACGTAGTGTTCATCCTGTCAAGACTCAGAACATCCGCAGGAACGCATAGGGCAAGCGCGGATTTGCTCCACTCGCCAGGGGGCCTCGCTCAGCTTCGCTAGGATCTGCATTCTCACCCTTGACAGCCGTTTTTTTTATTTTGTTTTTACGAGCGACAAGGGACTGTCTCATGACCCGCGATGCGCGCTTCCCTGCCCTTGAGGAAATCTGGAAACGGGGTCCCAGAGGTGTTTCAGGGAACATGGGGCTCTCACGATAGCCTCTTGTTGCCTCTTTTTTTTGCCCTTTCTATTTGTGGTATACGATATATCTTCTTCGGGCACAGATATTCACTCCAGGAGGACTCCCACCACGGGCCCTAACTGACTTCGCGATAACTTCGTTTCTAATTGTGGTGTATCTCATCTTGGTACGGATCGCCAATGGAGGCCTTTTTTTCTTCTTTTCACTTGCCCGCGGCAGTGCGCGCTTGTCAAGGGAACAAACTCTACGAAACGATCTCTGGGGTCGCGGCTCCTTCACTCCCTCCCGAGCCCGAAGCCAACGGCAACACAAACTTCAATCCTCTCAATCAACCTACACCGAGATGATTGATCCCTCGGCCTCGGCAGTCAGCGAAAGACCAAGGCAACGAACTCATCGGTTCCTTCCCTGATGAACAGACGCCCCCTCCCAACATCACAATCTCGAAGGCTCCCGCAGTTGTAACATGCCACCCCGAATCTTCAACAATGGCATTCGGAGATCCTTCAGATCTGAGACCACGCAGAACCAACCCTCCCTCCCTTTTCCCTGCCTCCACCCCCCGTTCTTCATAATAATTGCACAAAATTGGGGGCCAGAAAGAATACAAAGGGTGAGAGAAAGCAAAAGAAAGGAAAACACGCACCCGCCTTACGGCCCCCAAATCTGACCAGGGGAAAAGGGGGCGTGGTCAGAGGAGGCCTCGAACAATCAAAAAAAGCCTTTCCGAGCCCGCCTATCTACCTCCACGGAGCGTCGTCCGTCTTGTCTTCTTCTCGCCACTTGACACCATACCCCTCTGCTGCTTCTCATGTCGTTGCCTGAAGCTGAAGTCCGGAAAAAACTCATCACGATGCCCCCCCGAATCCGGTGACATTCGGCAAAGGGAAAGATATGTCTTTAAACCTCATAGGCGTTTTTCTCCACGCGTTCGCGGCTTTCTATCATCATTTGTGTGTCTCTGTATTGTGCTTGTATCTTCTGTTCTGGACCCCCCGGATACTCGCTCGCCCTTCCTTCCTTCAACTCGGTCTGGGCCGTTCTTGGAAAACCGTAGGCAGCAGAGTCCCGGAAGTATCACGACATGAACACGCCTGTCCTGTCCATCCCGGAACTTTTGCCTCCAACGGCCCCCTTCAATGTGATGATACTTTGGCCGGCGGTCTCGACTGCCCGCTACGCCTTGGGCGAAGAGAGAGGTTGCCTGCGACATCTCGTAATTGCCGCTGCCGCTGCCACTTCTTCTCACCTACACCATGAGCGCAGTACGATGTGTTTCGTCCGAATGCTCGCCTTCCTTCGAGTTCGGTCTGGACCGCGTTCAAGATCGTAGGCAACAGAGTCCTTGAAGTGCCTTACTGCAAATACGCCCCGTCCTGTCAGTCCTGTATGCCCTTCGAGCCCTAGACCTTTTGCCCATCCGTCAACGGCCCCCCGAATGCCATGATCCTTTACTGCCTCTCCTGCCTATTGCTTCCCATCTACACCACGGGCGTAGGGAAGGCAGGCATCAATCACTCTCTGCTGCTGTCTCTCCTTCCAACGTCAACCATGAACGCGGGACGGTCATCCATCGTTGCCCTCGACATCTCGCCGCTGCTGCTGCCTCTTCTCTCAGCCGCCAAGAAGTCATATACACACACACACACACACGAAAGACGCTGGTCTGCTTGGCTCATTCCAAGTCCCATTCATCATTATTAATATACACATCTCTCTCTTGCTTCCGTCTCTATTCGTCCTTGCCATGGCGGATGGCGGCGGCGGCGGCGGTGGTAGGCCTTTCGGATAGATGTTCGTCGTTGCCTTGCGGGCACTCCCGTCCTGGCAGTGCTTCCTTCCCACGCGCAACATGAGCCGCCCCTGAAAAAACCATCCACCAGAGGTCGGACGCTCGCCTGTATATAGCAAAGGTAGAAAAGGTGATGACAAGAAAAGAAATGGATGCAATTGAGTAACAAAAACAAAGAACGGGGTGCCTCATCAGACACGACACCCCGACTGCGCGCTCATCATGAAGAAAACTGCCCCGCCATGCCCCAAATTTGACTCCTTTCCTTCCGGTTGTGACTCTTCGTGCTGGGTATTCCGTCACTCCATTCAAACGTGGTCGTGGCGCAGGGATATGTTCACTGCCCGTTAGGGATGTAGCGTTAAGAGGGAATAAAAACAAAAGCAATCAACTACCCAATGATTCATAAACCACCTCGCATGTAAATGCTTGATCCTTCAGGTCTCGTTGTCCAGTCGCGGTCGCTTGGCACTCGTGTACTACAATCCTCTTCGGCTCATGGCCACGTTGGCTCCGACTGAGGCAAGATCTTGCTTGGCGCTCACGCTCCTAATCGCTGCGCGAGGCAGATTGCTGGTACCGACGGTGATACCACCTTGTCCAGTGCTCGTGCGTTTGGCTGTAGCGACGTGGACAGTCCCAGCAGTCGCTACTGAGGGTCTGCGAGAGGCCTGGCCTGAGACTGGCTTATGAGGACTGGCGCCACTCACGTGTCTTGATCCAGGGTTGCTTCTCAAGCCAGCGGCGGGAGGTTCAGGGAGGGGACGCGGCGCGGCGGAAGTAGTGTGACGTTTCGCCGGAGACGCATCGCGGGTCGTCGGAATCCGTGGGAGAGGCGCACCCATCTTCTTGCCGCTGATGAACTCGTGATGGATAGCTTCTTCTGGTTTGAGACGCCTGTCAGGGTCCCACCGCAGACACCTGGAAAGGAAGTCGATGAACGCCTCGTCGTCGCACTTAAGGACCTGTTGGAGGGTCTTCGACGACGGACGACGCCTGCGTCCCTTGGAAGATACGGTAAGGCGCGGCTTGCCCATGGAATCGAAAAAGAGCTTCTTGCGAGTGCTCTTCTCGATGAGGTGTTTCTCGGGTGGGCCAAATACTTCCATGATACACGCTAGCTGCTCCTGTTCATTCTCACCCGGGAAGATAGGGACTCCGGTGTACAGCTCGGCTAGAATGCATCCCAAACTCCACATGTCGATGGGCATGCCATACGTCATGCCCAATATGACCTCGGGAGATCGGTAAAAACGTGATTGAATGTAGGTGTACACCTTTTCGTTCTCGAAACAGCTAGAGCCGAAGTCGATAACCTTGATTTCCGAATGCATTGGGTGCCGTAGCAGGATGTTTTCCGGCTTGAGATCGCAGTGGATAACCTTATGCTGCTTGAGCAAGTTGAGCGAGCTGAGCATCTGTTTCGTGAAGCGGCGAATGAGCTTCAGGGAGAATCCACGGAACGCGTTTGCTTTGATGAACTCGTAAAGATTCATGTCCAGGAGTTCGGTAGAAATGCAAAGATGTCCTCTGAAGTAGAAGCTGTGAGTGAAGTTGACCATGCTGTGCTTGTTCTTGGGGTCCTACATCTCTAGTTAGCGGAAGCATTGATAGTTGTCTCTCAAAAGCCTTACCCATTCGCGAAGCTTTTGCAGAATGTTGACTTCGACAAGAGCTTGCTGGTGGAACCTCTTCTTATTGCGGATGATCTTGACGGCAACAAGCACGCCTGTTTTGTGATCAATGCATCGGACAACCTGTCCAAAGCTTCCCTTACCAAGCACATCAATGATTTCGTACCGGTAGGCGAGATGATCGCCCGGAACAATACTGTAATCTCCGCGATCGTCATCGTAGCCAAAGTTGGGTGCGTCGGACTGAAGGTCACCAACAACCTTGCGGGCGTTCTGAGTTCCACAGAAGTAGACATCATTGTAGTCGACGATCTCGCCTCGTTCGTAAATGTTGAGCATGGCGATTCGGATAGCCTCCTGAGCACCGACCCGCTCCTTGGGTGTCGCACGCTTTCTCAAAGCGTCCAGGGTCCTAGCCGCAATCTCAGTCTCCTTCCTCCGGGCACCCATCTTCTTCATCTCTTCCTCTGCAACAAGATCATCCTTATCGAGATCCGCCGTCCACGGATCCTGGTGTCGCATTGCAGTTGCCGACGCTTTCGGGCGCAATATCTTCTGCATGACAGATGGATTGTGAGGTTGAGTGGACTCCGGATGAGCCTTAGGGACGGAAGCTGAAGTCCAGTTTTCACTTTTAGTCCTGTCATGGCCCAAGCTTGCCGCCGAGCTCTTCCTTCTCCGCGAATCCAGGTAAGACGTGCTAGCCTTGGACTTTACAGAGGGACTGGGACTGTTCTTTGCCGAGCCAAGATTGCCGACAGTTACCGAGATTGGTAGCCGCGGAGGAGGCATCTGCTCCTTACTAATGCTGCGTTCGAGGGTCTTGTCTTGCGCGGACTTCGAATCGTTCTTTCCACGCTTCCACGACAAGCTCAGTTTCCTACGCAAAGAGCTCATCGAGGATGGCGTAGGCGGTTCCTCGGGGTCGGAAATCGGTGGAGTCGGCGATTTCGGCTTCGGTGGGCGAGGGGCACGGGGGCCTGAAGGCTTCTGGACGGGCTTAAGGTCAAGAGGCTCTGTGGTGTTGCCCAAGTCGCCCGTCTTTGATCTCTTGAGGAATGCAGGATCGGCTCCTCCCTTGGGCAATGAGGAAGAGAGGAAGGGAGACACACTGTGCTTGCTGGCCGGCTGCTTCGATACTGCTTCGAATGACTCGGACGAGCTCGTGCCGTCGGCACCAGATGAACTGTCAAGGCGGGCGTGGTGAACAGTGCTGCTGCTTCGCAAGCTGAAATCTCCCTTGTCGTCCTGCCTGTTCCTTGAGAAAAAGGAGCTCTTAGAGGCGGTCATGGGAGTCGTAGGCGTCTTTGCTGCTACACGCGAAGGGGGCGGGCTTAAGTTTCTGTCGGGACCATTCTGACCCAGTGCCGCGATCTTGGCTGTTGTAGATGGGTTCAGAGGCCCAACAGTAAGTGGGGGCAGTCGCACAGGAGGGGGGTTCTTCCTCGTTTGGGTAGGATTGCCCTTCTTTTCGGCGTCCAGGGCTGCTGCATTCGTCGATTTCCGGGTGCTAGCCTTTCGTGCAACCTTGACAGCGGGTTCGGGAAGCGAGGGGATTGAGAAGCTGCCAGTGGAGTTACTATTGATGCTGCTAGCATCGGCAGCGAGGTTGGCTTTCCGCTTGTCCAAAAACGACCCGTCGGTGGCTGACTGCTGTGGTGATTCGTACGCTTTCGGAATAGCAGGCACGGGCGGAACGTCCTGTTCGTCATCAGCCGAATGGGAGTTGTGGTTATGTGGGGTAAATGTTTTGGGTGCTGGTAGACGCGACGCGGCTCCCGCAGCGGGTGCTCTGGGTTGAATTGATGAACCAGTCGAGGTTCTCACAGTGTTGAAGCTGTTTGTCGAGATGATGGACAACCCCGAACTGTACGACTTTCTGTGTAGGTCGGGGGTCGTCCGAGATGACGACGGGGTTGCAGAGGTCTTTCGGGGTATCATGGAGGGAGATCTAGAGTGTTCTCGGTGCTCGAGCGGTGGTGGAGGCGGCGCGTTCGCCAACTGGCTGAGACTCGGGACGTGGTGCATGGACATGCGCTTCATTCTTCGCGTGTCCGTCGGACTGATGGTCCTGGCGCCGAGTCCGCTTGCGTGCGATGCGTGCGACATTCCGGGCATGACGGACTGCCGTCTAGACTGGGCCGAACCGTTGTTATTTCCCTTGCTGCCACCACGCGGTGAGCGGGGTGACATCGTAGAGAGACGACTGCTGTCGGGAGTCGAGAGATTGGCAGTGTTTGCCCGAGGAAGTGCTTGGTGCATCGATTTCGCTTTGGTCGCTCTGTTGTTCGTGAGGCTTCTCGGGGTCTCGAATCCAGCGCCGGAACTGCCATCGATCGAGGCCCGAGTGGAATCGGCTCCACCACCAGCGTTGCCGATCAGACTCGGTCTCCTGCGCGGCGCAGTGCGGTTGCCGGAGTCCGTTTCAATGGCACCTGAGCCGATGGATTTTCTGGTTGGTTTCGCGATATTCGTGTTTGATACTGGAGGATAATGGCTCTGGCGCCGGGGCCTTGCGGCTGAAGGGCCATTTGAGGGATCGGCGACAGAAGATGGGCCAGAGGCGGTCGAAGATATGCTGGCTTGCCTGTTGGAAGAAGTACTAGGTCTTCTGAGGATAGAACCAGACCTGCCAGGGCGGGTCGCGGTCTGGGGAATTGCATTCCCAGGGCGCGCGGGACCGCCATTCTGGGTCGTGTTGGAACCCCCGGCCATTTTGTCGGCCATGCCCTGTGTGTCCAAAATACCGCCTTGACCGGTCGGGGACGGGAACTGGGTCAATTTGAAATCGTTGGAGGCGGATTCGAGACTGCTTTGAAGGTCGTCGAAGCTGACCGAGGGCAGAAAGTCGTAGGAATTAGTCGACTCTCCTACTTCATTCGCGTCGCCATTCCGACCGAATGAGAAAAGAGAGTGGTTGTTGGCCGAAGATGCACTGAGCATTGGACCGTTGGCGAGCGAGCCCTTTGGGGGAGAAGTGGTCCTCGAGTCCGGGATGCCCCTATTACTGCGAGAATTGACGGATTAGCACACAGGTTTTGCCCAGGGATGCATGAAATAGCAGTGACAAAGAGCAAGCAAGGGGCGATCAGGGAAAAGAAGGAAACAAAAGATGAGGGCATTCCATACAGTCTGGTCGGGGACTGGTTCGCCGGTCGCGGGCCAGCAGGTACTCGGTGCTCCCTTATCATGTGTACTCGGTGCAACGGCCAGCGCGCAGATCATGCAGGCGTTGGACGTGGAGGCGTAGGTAGCGAAAAAGCCGACCGATGGAAATGATGTGAAGAGAGGATGTCGGCAGGTTCTGGGTCGAGGGCGCAGTGCGGTTTCGCGAGCGGGCAACCTCAGTCCTGTCAGGGAGCTGAGAGCATTGGAGATGCTACCTCATTCCGGGAACAACAAACGATGGCAATGTCGGAGGTGGGCGGCGATGGAGGAGTCGTAGGTGAAGGGGACGTGATTGAGGTGGACGAGTGTCGTCGAAGGGAGGCGGAAACGGGAGGCGTAACCGACAAGCGTGAAGGCTTGTGAGAGAGTTGAGCGTTGAGCCTTACGCCTTGAGCCTTGGGGGCAGGTGAGGAAGGAGTGAGTTGGACTGAGCCGATGCCGATGCAGACCACGACGGCAGACTGGTTGGGACTGGTCTGGTCTGGTGGTTGTTTTTGTCGAAAAAGAAGGGCCCGTCGCCGCTTGTCAGTGGCAGGCAGGTCACGGTCAGGGTGAGAGAGGGCGGTGGAGCGCTGGAGCACTGGAGCCTCTTTCTCGGTCCTCCCCCCCGTCAAAAAGGTACGAAGATGCGAATTAGAGGCGAGCAGCGCGGTGGAGGAAGAGACTGGACTGGTGGGAGAGAGAGAATGTGTGTGTGTGGATTATCATTTGGCGCAAGTGCGAGTGCAGATGCATCTGCAGTCGCAGTTCCAGTTGCTGCAGCGGGCAGATGAGGTACCTTTCGACGTGAGGTATTGGAAGGGTATTCCCGCCTTAGGTTATCAAGCTGGAAGGCAGAAAAGGTGCAATGACCAGTAGAACCAGGTCCCTGACTCCCGTCTGACTCTATTGTGAGGCCCGGAAAGTGAGGTACGGCGCCGAAGTAAAAGGTTGATTTAGCCGGTAAGTATCCTGTCACCCGTTTACTGTAGCAGGATACAATCTCAAAGCACGCTACTAATACACATTGCAGCTGCAGGCCAAAGGGCGGACGCACCTGCACCGGGCCTGGGGAAGAAACATCAAGACGGGGGGGTCATAGGTACCTTAGGAATGGTGGAATGGGGGGAAGCAGGAAAAGGGACCAGAAGAAAAAAAAAAAAAAAAACAAAGGGCGGGGGAGGGGGGGGGTAGCGCAAGAGCGCAAATAGCGGTGGTGGTCGGTCATTCGCACCTTCAACTTTGGAAGGGAGGTCGGGTACCGGCCTAACAGGGATACCCGTTCCTTGTCTTCGTACCTACCGTCGCTAGGCTCGCAAAAAGGTACTCCGCAGGTGTCCACGATGCCCACGGTGCCTGACCGACCTTCGATATTCAACCTTCAACTCTCCGCGGCGCGGGCGGTGTGATCAAATGGAACCCGCCTAATAGCGTGCTTCCCCTCTTGTCCCCTCTCTTGGTGAGAATTACGGCTAACTAACCTCCCGAAAAGAGGCAAAACTGATGGAGCGAGCGGATATCGAATCCAATCCATCCATCCCTCCATCCCATCATGTCTGTCCCATCTCACAGACCGACCATTCAATCAAAAAGACCTCAGGCTTCTCCGTCGCTGGAGTTTCTTCTTGCCGTTGGGAGAGAGGGGTTCAGAGCTCTGGCAGAACCTTCCCAAGGTATTAGCCAGGGAGGGCCTGGAGGGAGATCTCTTGCCTTCTCCACAAAGACAAGCAAACAATCATTTCCGTGCTTGACATCCGCCTCCCACAACCCAAGACCTGCCTCACAGACCTTCGCCTTCGCCGCTTTTTAACGACGGCTGGCGGTAGCGTTTGATGAAGACTCCGCTGTTTGTCAATGTCAGCGAGATGACATGCGATATACTTCTTCCCTACGTACGAGGCGCCGGCAACCAGCAGCAGCTTGCATCCCATGGGAAAGCTCTCAAGATTGGCTGTCGGCAACGTCCAACCGCACGACATTGCCAATTGGCCTTGGGAAACCACGACTCGTCCACCTACCTGCCCAGCACCCAAGTCGAGTTTCGGGTTGCTGCAGCATCCCATGAGTGTCCGCGCTCCTTGACTGTTGCGCCGGATCCAAGGTACTCTGTGCCTGCTCTTCCCTTGCTGCTACATAGTACGCACCTCAGTACAATCACAAGTCAGAGTTTACCAGACTCGTCCCAAACAAGACCGCGTTGAAAGCTTCCACGGTCCCAACTCGCTATTCGACGCGTCTGTCGTTTCCGGTCGCGCTGATGACGACTACCATTGGTGTACCCGCGCCCCCGGGCCCAAGTCCCCGTCTCCAGACGAAAGAAGACGACGTGTGTCCCTGCGTCACCGCGGGACGTTGTTGTCTTCGTCGCCGCATCAACCACGGAGACAGAACCCTGGATACCGCGCATGGGGTATGGGTCAAATGTCTCAACGCCCAAACCAAATCCTCCATCTGTCCAGTGGGAATGGGGGATTTTGGGGGAAACGGCCTGCCGGGATAGCAGCACAATGGGACGGGATGCATGGGTCCATCTGCAGCTTGGCCTGCCTATCTAAGAGGATTGGACGGGAGAATGGTACAGAACGGTAAGCAATTCCCCGTGCAGTAGCCCATCATGCAAGCTGCTGTTGGGCCGACAGGCCGGCCAGCAACCGCGTCTGGTTTCCCGGGACACGAACAGCTTTGGACAGCTTGTCTGATTCAAGCCAGAGTACAGAGTACCGACTACAGCATCATAAGCGATGGTGATTTGACAGCTTCTGTTGCCGTTCTTCAACACCAAACAGCGAAGACAACGTGGACCTGCAGCAAAAGCGGCTTGCACCGCTGAACGTTGCCCAACTCTTCGGCACCCGGCCGCCGGCTGGAAAGTCAGGCGAAATGGGGTTCTTCTTCTTCAAGACCGGTCCTTGTCGCTGTCTTTCGGAACGAGCGACCGACCTGGCAGCTCGACCGAAGGCGAAGCGACGATTGACAGCTGCCCACATCAAATGCTGCGGACCCTTTGATTGCGCGATGTCTTCGACAGACTTGATGGGAAACGTATCAATGCCCATGCTAATGTCGCTCCCCATTTTTGGACAGGCTGGTACTCCAAGTCCGATCAACGTGGCTAGCTGTCATGAGTGAAATGAAAACGAACCAAGAAGAGGATATGAAAGGAACGCCAATCCAATTGCTTCGGCTTCGGCTGGATCCTGATACAAAGTATCATTTCATGGGATATTATTTTGCTGGCCTCGACAGCCAATCAAACGCAACAAAATCGGCAACCCGTGTTCGATTGTTTTCTTAACAGGGTCCTGCTATCGTCGCTGATCTGCTGCGCTGGTCCCTCAGCTATTTGTTTCGAACCTCTGTCATCTCAATGCGAACCGTCAGATATGAGATCTACAAGGCGACGCGTCCAACCAACTAACCGTGGGGTTGCCGCAGCATCTACTCTCTTGACCATACTGTGCTCGAGTCATCGGCGACTGACCGCCTCCTCAACTCTGCCACCTTGAGGTTCGATACAACTGACGGAGAGCCGCATCCCCAAAGAACTACCTTCCGAGTCGACTCTCACTAGCCAAAAGCCGACATTGACAACGACGGTACAGCGCGAAGCTTCCTACTTGAGTTCCTCCCTGAGGGTTCCGAGTACATAGTCCCTGGGGCATGCTGCCCCTTGCTAAGAGATACCTTCCGCCAACTTCGCCCGACTCTCCTCAAATGCTCCGGTTCTACTCTGTAGCGATCTGCTCCCCCTTTCAGCCAAGGAAACACTAGCAAACTGGCTCCAATTCCAACATAGAGCGCGGGCTGCAGCAGGATCCTAGCTTCTGGAGCTTCAACCCAACGAACTCTTCGCTGATTCCGATGTCTCGCCCACCATGAGGCGATGCAGGCGTCTTTGACCACGCGCCGTTGCTCAAGAGTCAAGTCCTAGAAACCCTCGTTCTGCCACTTTGGTGTGCTGCCATGGCCCGATTGGCCTGGACTGGCATGCGGCGGGCAGGAACAAAACGAGGCCCAAGCAAGTCAAGGGATGCCTCCTTTTTCTTCTAGCGCAAAGTCTGCCCTATTTCCTGGCCCCTTTCAAGCCTTTCTCTTGTCATGTTGACGATGGCGGAATCTTCAAAGGATTTTTCTGCGTGCTTCTTTGTTCCTCGAATTACGGAAACACGTGTTATCCATCAGCACTGACCAGGCCGCAGCGGCCCAAGAGTTGCGCAATTTCCCCAAGCCGTCTTGGTTCCATGGGGGGATCTTGTCTTCAACGAAGCGGAGAAGTCATTTTGAGTTGGCTAGTAAGTGAGGCAATCAGTTGACATCACCTTATGAAGAGCCAAAGTTTCTGCAGAGGTTGCAACCTCTACAGATGAGATATTCCAGTCGCTCCATGAGCTGAAACGGCCGATGAGCGTCGAGAGGAGGTATGAGTATCAATCGTCTTTTGTCTTCAGATGGCAATGGCATTGTCTCTTGGGATGGTGGGCAAGCTGCGCGCTTGCGATCTACCGTTCCACGCAATTAGATCTCGTGCTGCATCACCCCCAATTCGTCAGCCACTCCCGTCGCACGCCAGACTCTTCTGTAAGTTGTCCTTCACGTTGGGGTTGTCCTCCGCGGGGAACACAGCCCGCGTTCTGGGGCAAGTGGACGCGGATGCGGATGCGGATGCGCTCGAGAGCTGTTTCTCAAGTTCGCTTTTCACCGCAGTACGGGACTAGTTCGTCGGTCAAAGAACGCGATTCTGGCGACATTTTCGATTCATGCGAGAATTGGCGGTAAGAGCGGTATGGATCGAGTGGCAGCTGGAGCTGCTGTTTAAACTGGTTTGGATATGTCTGGCGCTGGTTCTGAAGCCGGTCGGGTCGGGGCTTACATCGGCGGGCCGCATGTGATGTCAACCACTGCAAATGTCACTGCCGCTGCCTCCGCAGGCGCTGCCACCGGACCCGACGGCTCCAGCTGGCACCCACCAAATCACATGCAGCTGCGGAAGCTCTTTCGACTGCCGCAACCAGCGAAAGGTACCTTACCCCAGACCAGACAGTTCGCCCGCATTACACAGCTCCATCTCCAACTCGTGCGCCATACACATACGCCGATAACCAGACGACGACACACGAGCTACCTTATTGCAGGTCACGCAAGTTTCAGCACGGCACGCACCGACGAAGCGCGCCGCAACGAGAGCAGCAGCTGTGCATTCCGGGCCGCCGGTTGCCTGCCAAACGATGACGTGACCTCCACAACCTTAAACACCCAACAAACGAAACACCCGCCGGCGCATCCCGTACAGCACCGTCTACATCCACCCACACAACCTAGTTGTCACGGCATCGGCATCGGCGACCATGGACGAATACACGGCCGATCTCTTCATCTCCCGCGACGATACCTCCGACACCCACACGCAGCAGAGGCAGCAGCCGCCTCCGACCGTCGTCGTAGATGAGTGGCCGCAGGACTCCGATGCCAGCGAGACCACCCCGTCAAAGAAGTCCGGTCTGCGTTCGCGGATCGCCAGCAACCTGAGCAAGAAGACGAGCATTCAAGACCGTCTAGTGGAGAAGTGATTGCCCATCACGAACAGCCTGCCTGCCAGCGCCGCTAACAAACACAGACTCCTCCAGCAAGTCATTCCCGAGAGCTCCGATGGCCTCACCGGCGGCGACGACAACCTGGCCCCGGGCTTCGGCCCGGACAAGACGTCCACCTTCACCCAGCGACCGAACTTCAATATCACGACCATGTCCAATAACTTCCGCCGCTTCAACGCACGCATCGGCGTCGTATTCAAGTTCCAAGCCCGCGTCGTCCGAATCCTAAGCTGGCGCCGTCCGACTCATACCCTCTCCCTCCTCGCCGTCTACACGTTCGTCTGCCTCGATCCCTACCTGCTGGCAGTCGTCCCCCTCGCCGGCTTCCTCCTCTCCGTCTTCATCCCCTCCTTCCTCGCCCGCCACCCGGCCCCGCCCTCCGGCACCCTCTCCTCCGAGCAATCCGTCGGCTACTCCCCCAAAGGCCCGCCCCTCGCCCCGGCGCGCACCGTCAAGCCCGTCAAGGAGCTTAGCAAGGACTTCTTCCGCAACATGCGCGACCTCCAGAACTCGATGGACGACTTCTGCGTCGCCCACGACAGCGTCGTATCCAGCGTCCTTCCCATCACGAACTTCTCCAACGAGGCCCTCTCCTCCGCCCTCTTCCTCGCCCTGACCCTCACGACAGTCTTCATGACCACCTTCGCCTCCGTCTTCCCCTGGCGCCTCATCGCCCTCGTCGCAGGATGGGGCCTCATCCTGTCCGGCCACCCCGCCATCGCGCCCCTCCTCACACACACCCACGACACCCACGTCGCCCCGCGCGAGGCCCACGCCCGCTCCCGCCTCGAAGCCTGGATCGCCTCCGACATCATCCTCGACTCCGCCCCCGAGACCCGCGAGGTCGAGATCTTCGAGCTCCAACGCCAGTCCCACGACGAGTGGGAGCCCTGGCTCTTCTCCCCCTCGCCCTACGACCCCCTCTCCCAGCCCCGCATCGCCGGCGACCGGCCCCGCGGCACCCGCTTCTTCGAGGACGTCCTGCCCCCGGACGGCTGGGAGTGGTCCGAGAAGAAGTGGGCGCTGGACCTCTGGAGCAGGGAATGGGTCGAGGAGCGCATCATCACCGGCGTCGAGGTCGAGACCGAGGGCGAGAGGTGGGTTTACGACATGTACGACGAGAACTCTCCTTTCTCCGGTGGCGTTATGGACTCGCCCACGACGGCCAAGGGGAAGGCGAGGGTCCCGGCGCCGACGCTCAGCTGGGAGGAGGGCGAGGACGGGAACGGACGGAGAGGCGAGTGGAGGAGACGGAGATGGGTTCGGCTTGTCAAGCGGAGGGCCACGACCACCACCACTTGAAGGGTCTCTTGTGGTACGATAGTGAGACCGCGGCGCAACTGTATTATATAATGAGAACATGAAATGAACATACATAATCGAGACATGAGGAAGGTCCAGATACCAACACTATTATGAACATCGCAGGTCTCGGCACACATGTGAAGCGCAAGTTGGTGGTCATGATCATCGTAGATATTCATTGTCACACGCGGCAATGCGAGGACGTGAACGGGGCCTCATGCCAACGTTCCTGTGCAAGTCTGTAATGTGCCCTGAAGTCTAAATGCACCCATCCGGCATGCCAGCCAGCCAGCTTTCTCTGTAACACCAAGAAAATGCCCTCCCTCTGTCCCACCCACCCATCGAACAAGCCCAAGGGAATGACCAAGGGGCATGCGATCCAGTCCCTTCCGAATGCTCCGCGACCAAATCCCCGCCATGATAGCCTGGTATTGACGTTCCCAACCATTATTCCCTTTGCCCCAAAGCCTGTCAATGATACAGTTGTGTTTTCTCGTCTCAGATTACCATCTTGTCCAAAATCATGTGCACACCCTTGTTCAGGCCCCGTCCCTCGTCGATGTCCTCCGCCAGCTTCCGTCCACGCTCGATGAGGACGCCGACGACCTGCTTGGTGTACTCGAAGCTCCCGGTGCTCTCCATGCGCGCAACAGCAAAGCGCTTGACCTCGACGTCGTTCGTCTTCTGACCCAGAATGTTGATGAGGGTCAGGTTGGACGGGTCTGAGCGGATGCTGTGGATGATAGGGAAGCTGAACTTGCCCTCGGTCAGGTCCTCACACATGCCCTTATTGTCCGAGTACTCCTTCGAGGACAGGTTCATGTAGTCATCCCGAATCTGGAAGATGAGGCCCATGATGTTGACGAGGTCGACACAGTCCGTCAGGCTGCGGGACTCGGCCTGCATGAGCTTGATACCGAGGCGGAAGAGACCGCCCGTCTTGTTGCCGACCATCTCGAGGTAGTCCTCCTCCGTGGGACAGGTGAGGGTGTCGCGCCAGAAGAGGTCCATGCCCTGGCCGCGGTGGAGGTGGACGAGCTCCTCAGCGAAGATGGAAATTGCTTTTGAGCTTTTGAGCTTCTGGACCTCCTGAAGAGCGCAGAAGTAGATGTAGTTGGCAGAGTTGATGGTCTGGGCGACGCCGAAGATGTTGTGAGCAACAGGGAGGCCGCGGCGCAGGGATGAGGAATCCTCAACGTCGTCGATGAGCAGGGAGGCCGTGTGGAGCATGCCAACGACGTTCGTAATGGTGTCGAGACTGGACTGGGGGACATCGAGGAAGGTGTTGAAAGACTGGATGAGCAGGGCGCGGAAGTCCTTGCCAGGGTGGGAGAAGAGGTAGTCGAAGGGACCCGTGATAACCTTGTTCTTCTCCTCAGGCCAGGCCTTGCGAGTGAAGTTGAGATCAGCCGTGGCGTAGCGCGCCGGGTCGGGAGGGGGAGGAGGCTGCATTGTGAGGGTGAAGGACGTGGTCGTGGCGCCGGAAGGGCGGCGGCGGTGGGAGGAGGAAGAGTGCGAGTGTTTGTGGGTGCGGGAGTCGATAGAGGCGGCGAGGGAGAGCCAGTCGGTTTCGGGTACGGTGCGGAGGGGAGCTTTGGAGGAGGTCGTCGTTGACGCCGTCGCTTGGGCCGGAACGGTAGATGCTATTGCTGCTGCTGCGGCGGCGGCGGCGGCCGAGGAGGAAGAGGATGAGTGGCTGGTGGAAGATCTGCGCGGAGGGATGGCGTTTGGCGGGGAGGAGGGGAAAGAAGACGTGGAGGGGTTATTTGAAGGGTCTCCAGGTTTGGCGCCTGGATCGTTTGTGGGAGGAGTGTCGTTAGGCAGAACCATCGTGAAAGGGAGCCTCTTTGCAAAGGCGGCTCGGAAGATGCGTGGCTTCTTATGGACAGCAGCGCCTGGATCTGGAACAGCCGCCGTGGCAGCCGCAGGAGAGACAGCAGGAGCAGCTTCGACGTCTGCTACAGGCCGAAGCTCAGCAGAGCTCGCGTGGTGGATTGCGCGGTGGAGCTCTCTACCCCGGTGGGCTGCGGAGGGATCGGTGGTGGTCAGCTGGCGGTTGGTCGTGCTATTCGCTGTAATGTCAGCCCGCGTGTCAACGTCACCACTTTGCGCTGCAGCCAAGGTTGTATTTGTTCCGGGGGCAGGACGATTGAACGATTTGTTGGGAAGTGGAGTTTTCTGATTGATTGTCCGCGTATTGTATGCAGGTGTTGATTTTGCTTGGAAGCCGTATCAGTCCGCCTGCATGGTTCTTTGGCGGGGATTTGGCAGATGTAGACCGTCATGACTTTTTTTTATTAGGACTCTGCTTTGCTGCAGGGAAAGCAAGGGTTTGGTAAAGTGACAAGGCAGCTGGCAGCTGGATCACTGATCCTTGCTGTGAATCTTCTTGCTGTAGAATGACCCAAGCATAGCCTGCAGTATCATGGCAGTTTGTAGCCAGATGTAAACCTGAAAGAAATATGAACGGCATCAAGAAGGAAATCATGCGATTCAACAGCAATCACATGCCGATGGAATGCAGCTTACCGACCTTGGATATGCAGCAGCGGTTGCAGATGCCGGGGCCTGTCGCGTAGTTGGAGTTGGAGCTCTTATCGATTGACAGCGGGGAGATGGTTGGATTGGGCGGGATCTGGCAGACGTCATCGATGGCCAGGCAGATGAGATGCTGAGGTCGGGTTGCCGTAGATGCCGAAGTCCTTAGGGGATCGCGGACTTTGCTCCGAAGTGCGAGATGGGTCGTTGTTGTGAAATTCTAACGCGAGCCGGAAATAGCAGTAGGTTATCGCAGCAGCTTGAAGTGGCGGATGGTAGTATGGCGGGGAGGAAATGGAATTAAAAAATAAATAAAAGAGGAAGCAGAAGCTCGTGCGGACCCTCCGCCTTAAGAATCAGCCACAGGAGACGTAAAGAGATGCTCGATGAATACGGACTTCTAGAAGGAAGTCACAAGCAGCTGCTCGGATGGCACGTAAAACGACCCCTCCAAACCCCTAAGTCCCTTGCCATATTACTTCATGCTCCTACCTCGCATCCTGCCAACCGGGTCGAGATGTCGCCGTGGTTCATCGCTCCGAAAAGAATTCCAAGACACTGAAATGTGCCATCCCCTCGCGCCTTCAGGTTTCACCTGTCATATGTGCTGCTCTTAAGCACCCGCAGCTACTGCAACGACTGCTGCAGACATGCTCATTTGACGGTTTGATAGGACAGGCGGACAGTATCGTCTCCGATCATCGCGGCTTCCGAACGACATGTGGTGAAGCTCGAAACAGGGACGAAAACCCCAAGCTATTGAATCTAGAGATTTCGCTTATTCTAGGTTATCTGCACCTAATCGTAAGGTAGCTAAATACGACAAGGTAACACCGGCAAACAACAAAGAGGCCTTGACCCTGAAATCCCAAAAGCCGGCCCGGCCCCCGCAATGCGCCAACGCAGAGGTTCCGCTCCGCATACGCTGATCGCCGAGCTTAGCTAATAAGGCACAGCTTGCCCGTTTGGACCAAACAGAAGCTCGCTTTCCTCTTCAGGGCCGCGCTAAATCCCCATCCCAACGCTCTGATCGACCCGGTTGCCGGGGCATTTATCGTCGGGTCGCAACACAAACATCCACACATGTCCACACGGCATCCATTACCGACGTCTTTGCTGTCATCTCTCTCTCATATGTACTGTACGCTTGCGCGCGATCGATCGACTTGTGATTTTCTCTTTTTTTCCCTCGACATCCTTCAGTCGTCCGATCGCGATACCCCCGTCAGCCCCTTGGAGGACTTGTCCTCGTCCAATTATTACCTTCTATTTGTTTTCTTGTATTAACACCGACGTACCACTGCTCTCGGACTTTCTCCATCATTACTTCGGCGCATCAACGGGAATCAGCATCGTCTCTTTTGTACCGTTGATTTGCGCGCCTGGACGTCTGTTGCATTATACACTACGAATCCAATCAGCCACCAAGCCACCCGGCGGCATACACAAAATCGAAAAACAATATCGCCAAACACCAAGATGGAGAACCTCCTCAGTCTCGCCTTCGACTACCTCTCCTCCTACGATGGCCCCAAGATCCGGAAGGGCCTGCGCCAGGTAGAGGGCCTCCTCGCCCAGATCTGCCTATCCTCGCCCTCAAAGTCTTCAAAGTCGGACGACGAGTCCTCTCAGGCACGCGGTAAATCGCTGTCCGATCTCTCTGACGACCTGGCCTTTCGCGAGTTTTTCAAGCTGCAGGAGGGATTCGAGTGGAACGTCGCGCTGCGCCTCATCAACACCCTCGATCGCCTCATGGGCAAGGGCGCCGACGGACAAAACGACCTCCTGATCCTCAGCTCCCTGGACCTGATCCAGGGCGTCCTGTTGCTTCACCCGCCCAGCAAGGCTCTTTTCTCACGAGAACAAAACATGAACGTCCGTTCACCCCAAATCCCCTTGCGGCAGAAAATAAGCTAACTCGAGCGCAGCTCCTCCTCGACCTCCTTGAACCAGTAAACTGCCCTGCGATCCAGTCCGCGACCCTCCTGACCCTCGTCGTCGCCCTCATCGACACTCCGCAAAACACCCGCACCTTCGAAGCCCTCGACGGTCTCCTCACCGTAACGTCCCTCTTCAAGTCTCGTTCGACCGCCCGCGAGGTCAAACTCAAGCTCGTCGAGTTTCTCTACTTCTACCTGATGCCCGAGGTCCCCTCCAACCCTCGCCCCGACTCCCGCGCCTCCGCCCCGACACTCCACCAGCGCAGCCCCAGCAAGCTGACCGGCGCGTTCGGCGCCGGGAATTCGACGGCTTCGGACTCCCAGTATTACGCCCGGAGCCGCGCCGGCAGCGAGTCCGGCGACACCCTGACCACGGAGGAGAAGCAGGAGCTACTGGGCCGCCACCTGAGCAGTGTCGAGGATCTGGTCAAGGACCTGCGGACGTGCACACCTTTCGGCGGCGTCGTCTGCTGAGGTCCCTCTTCTCGGTCTTGGTGTCCTCTATCTGTTGTCTCCTGTTTGGTGTTTCGGTTGTCATTGGGGGGGTTCCTTATTAGACTCGCATGCGTTCATCATCGCGTTTTCCAGTCGTCATTTGCGTACTCGTACTGTTTGGCGTTAGCGAAGGGCGGGAAGGGGAAAGGGACGGTCAATGTTGTCGTTTTATCAGCTTTGATCACGGATACGGTTGGAGTTTCTTTCGGTTCAGATGGAGTTGCTCATTACGCAAAAAAGTTTCCCACTACAATCCCATCGCATAATAAGTATTCTTAAAGCCGCGCCTTTTCTTCCAGAGACATTATAACGACGAGAGATCTGTACATCTTGAGCAAGGTATCATCGATCGTGTGTATTTGTCAGTTCAGGCGCCAAGGAAATAAACAAAAGACGTGGAAAGCCAGAAAACTGTCCCATCACCTCCTCGGTTCCGGACTCGGAGCCGGACCAGGCGACCTATCGATCGGTGACCTCTCCATCATCGACACGCTCCTCGCGCTCTGCACACTCCGCGGCGTCATCAGCGGGGGCGAGGGCATCGGCGGCGACGGCGAGGGCATCTCGGACCCGTACAGCTCGAACCGTCCCTCCGTCGTCGGGGGCGTCGCCACTCCTTCCGGCACAGGAGCCACGGCGCTCCTCCCGAACCCACTCTTCACCCGCGAGTCGATCTCCACCGGCGCGACGACGTCGCTCGGCGAATGCGCCTGCAACGGCACGCCCCTCGTCCTCCCGGGCGTCGAGGCGGCGGCCGCAGCCGCGGCATCATCGGACGCCACCGTCTCCGTCTCCGTGTACGGCCCCGCTACGGCGTCCGGGCCGAAGTAGTCCTGCGTCGCCCACCGGCGCGCGGTCGGTCTCGAGCCGGATGTCACTTCCGACATGGCCCTCGCGCTCCGTCCCGGTCGTTCCGAAGTTGCTGTTCCTCCTCCACCTGCGCCGCTTACACGACTCGCGCCCCCGCTCCGCTGAGAAGCCGTCGTCATCGCGCCGGCGCGTCGCCTTCGCCGGACAAGACAGAACCAGGTGAAGAATGCCAACAATATGACGCCCACCGCCGCCACGCCCACGCCGATGCCAATCTTGGCGCCCGACGAAAGCCCTCCGCTGCTCTCCCCGTCGGGATTGTAGTCCACGCCCGCCGTCGGGTTTCCCGGCGCGCAGGCCGCCGTGCCGGAGCTGACGGTGCAGTGCATCAGGTTGTCGCAGCACCCGCCGCCGTCCTCGCAGGCGTGCTGTGTCGTGGCCGTGCAGCCCGGATCCACGGGGGTGAGCCCGCCCGTCATGGAAGTGGACTGGGAGACCGTCTTGACGCACTTGTTGTCCGAGGCGCACGTGTTGCCGTACTCGCAGCAGTCGCCGCCGAGGTCCGTCGGGCAGAGGAAGTTGCTCGTCGACGTGCACCTACGGCCGCAGCAGCCGCTCGAGGTGGTCGTCGAGGTGACGACGGTCGAGGCCGGTGACCCGCCGGACGTCGGGGACGGGGTCATCGTCACAACGAGAGTGGTCATGCAGAGGTACCTGGGGAACGTGCAGACGGAGCCGCACGTCGAGCCGATCTGGCAGCACCAGGGGTTGCCGTCGGGCTTGACGTAGCAGTAGTGATCGTTGGCGCAGCAATGGCCCGGGAAGCGGATGTCGAGGCCTGGGAGTAGCTTTTAGTACGCTTTGCGCGTCGGGATGGCGCCGTGGCTACACGACGGAAGAGTGGGAGAAGGACGTCTTACATGAATGCGAATTTGCAGGACAAGGCGAGCCGTCGCGGGCGGCGAGTTTGGGTTCGTCGACGAAGAAACGCGGTACGAGGGCGCCGCCGCCTGCGGGGGATAGGTCGTCGACGGCGGCGTATCTCCTCCCTCCGTGTCCGGCAGCCGAGCCGGCGCTCACGGCCAGCGCGGCGATCACAAGGGTCGCCATATGTAATGATTCAGCGGTCGCTCGGACCTGAGTATGTAAACGTCTCCGACCTTTGAGTGATGTTGCTGTGGCACTCCGAGGCTTAAGAGCCCGTTGTCCTGCGTGAGGCTACACCAGAGGCGCGACGGTCGAGGCGGCGTTGCACAAGAGATCCGAGAGGTGGCGACGGGGTAGCTGGTGAGATACACAAGAGAGAAAAGAATGAGTGAATAGACCTAGAGGGCAGGCAAAGTAAGCAAACCCCAATTGGAGGGTATGGTAAGCTTCATGGGTAAAGACGCATGCGACTCGATGGAGCATAGTCCGTAAGCACAGCTCGCAGCCTCTTCATAGTATCTCTCTCTCCTCACTCTTCTTCGGAAGCGCTGCAACTAAGAGCACTTCCCTCCTCGAGTCTTCGGGACGAAGGGTGCCAACGACTATCCGACGGCGCGAAGAACCACTTGGCCTGCATATCCAGACTCAGCAAGAGCAGCGGGCTGCCACCCTCTTTTCGATGGATTAGTCGCAATAGAGGAAGGCAGAATGTGTTTCGCCCCTCTCGGCCGCCGCCGAAGAGATCATTTGCGAAGGGCTGATTGGTGGCCTGGTTGCAATGGTTGGCTGTCGTGCAGATGCAGTGGTAGTGGTGGTGCTGGGCCGCCGGGCTGCATGTCGGGAGGCCGGTCGGCCCCAGTGTGACCGATGCAGGACATATCTCGTCCCTTGCTTGGGGAAGAAGGGTTTTATTGCGACCCGCGGCAATAGCGGCGCCGACTCGATGATGCGAGGTGTAGGAGTCTTCCTTGATGAACGATTTGCGTCGAGACTGTCCAACTTCGACTTGAAGAAGGTGCAATGAAAGCTCAATGGACGAAGATGTCTTTTACACTCGTAAATATTCGGCACCCTCACAAGAAGCCAGTGAGCGTGCGTCCATCCGCCTTCAGTAAGTCAACATCCGAAGAAAGACAGATGCGCGGAATCCCCGTAGAAGATAAATGAGCTCGGCATTATCGCTGCTGGAGTTAGTGTACGCGCCCAGCGGACTGCAGCACGAGAATTGCACACTCTTCAAACAAGTAACCATCGACCGAAAAACAATCAATTCGAATGATTGCTTGCTGAACACCGAAACATTCTAGACCTCGAAACCCCAGGTCTTGGATAAATTGTCTGGAAATTTTCGCCCGTCCAAAAAGAAACACCCGCACTCGGGAACGGAGCTTCAGGGCCGGCCCGCCACGAAACTCCCGCCTCCCACCGGCTGCCCCAGTTCCATCTAGCGGTTCCTCGCCAGAACGGCAGAAACACATCAAAGGCAGGCGGTCAATCCCACCCCACCACCCTCTACCCCTCCAAACTTTCCTCAATCGACGTACGTCCCGACCGCCGGGCGAGAGTAGAAAGTGAAGATATTCCCAAAAAACACCACACACAACCCACCACGATCTCAACCTCAACCACCCCACGCCGCCGAACCCATCACATCGTCACCCCCCTCCATCAAGCACACAAAGCGAGAGAGAGAGCAACCATGACGACGACCACAGAACCGACACAATTCCCCCTCCCGCCCCTCCTAACACACCCCTCCTCCTCGGGCCCCGCGACCCTCGTGACCCAGGGCGCCGAGGCCCGCCTCTACAAGACGACCTTCCTGACCGCCGACCGCCCCGCCGCCCTCAAGTACCGGCCCCCGAAGCCCTACCGCCACCCGACCCTCGACGCCCGCCTCACCCGCGCCCGCATCCTCGCCGAGGCCCGCGTCCTCGCGAAGTGCCGCCGCGACGGCTGCCCCGTCCCCGCCCTCTACGGCCTCGACGAGGCCGCCGGCTGGATCATGCTCGAGTGGATCCCCGGCGCCCCCGTCCGCGTGCGCGTCAACGAGTGGCTCGACGGCGTGGTCGCCGTGCCGGAGGGGCAGGGGCTGGCCGAGATCCCCGAGACGTCGGAGGCGGGGGATAAAGAGGTCGTGATGGCGGGAACGGAGGGCGCGCGAGTGGCAGAACAACAAGAAGCAGAAGACAAAGTCGTCGGACGGAGGAGGGACGCCACGGAACTGAAGAACCTGATGCGCAGGATGGGCGCCGCGGTGGGCAAGATGCACAAGATCGGGATCGTGCACGGGGACCTGACGACGTCGAACATGATGCTCCGCCCGCCTCGGCCGTCTGCGTCCGCGTCGAACGGGACCTCGGTTCTGGAGGGGGAGGTATACATCATCGACTTCGGGCTGGCGAGCCAGAGCACCTCGGACGAGGACCGCGCGGTCGATCTCTACGTTCTAGAGCGCGCCTTCGGTAGCACGCACCCGCGTGCCGAGGAGTTCTTCCAGGATGTGCTGGACGCATACCGCGATTCCTATAAGCAGGCACCCGTGGCGTTGAAGAAGCTGGAGGACGTGAGGATGAGGGGCCGGAAGAGGAGCATGATCGGCTGAGACATAATGTCGGGCATTAAGGAGGTAGATTTCAAGAAAAGAAAGAAAGGAATGAATTTGATACCCCTCGGTTGGAAGAGTCTATTTCCATCTGCTACGTTTCCCACATTCTTTGGTACTAATTTGTACAATGTTCAAGTCCGTCATGTAGCTCTGGAAGGTGTATTCCTGCCAAGATGCCTATCTATAACATGCCCAAAGGTTTGGTTAAGACCGTAATCCCCATAAAAAATAATTCCCGACGCCAGGTATAGTAATAATGCCGTGTGATATAGAACGCCGTTGTCATGCTATTATTAGTCGATTCCCGTACCGACTTTCCAGACCCAGCTCTTTATTGAGCGTTTGTCGCAGACATATGTGCAGACGCGCAAGCGCCGTGTGGTTTCTTCTTCTACTGTTGCTTGAGAGCGCACTTTGACTCAAACCATTTCGCAAACCGCACCGTCGGGATGTCGAACAATCTCCAGAAGACGTCGGCGGCCCAGATAACGGCAGGGATGCAGCCGAAAGATCCAATGATGAAACCGGCGTTGTACCACCACCCCTCGATGCCAGTGCGGCTGTACACAAATCTCTCGATGGTGTAGCCGACGGTGTGCATCACCGGGCCGTGCATGAGGTAGAGGGCGTAGCTGATCTTGCCCAGATACTGGATAGGCGCAGTGTTGAAGAAGGACTTCCATCTCGGCGAATGGCTGACGCTCAGTACGAAAAGGACAGAGCCGATAGATTGCCAGAAACGGTAGCCTTCCTCATCCCACCACTTGGGAATGAACGTGCAGAGCCAAACCCAGCCGGGAGTGTTTTCGTAGTTGATGTCGGGCTGGCACATGAAGTAGAGGGAGAGAATACTCAACATCGCCCAGAGGAATCCCGTGAACCGACTCTTGGTGGGGGGCTTCTCGTTTGTCGGCAGGGCGGAGGGCGGCTGGTTGTTGTTGTGGTTTCCTTGAATCAGGTCGTACTCGGCAAGCATCATGCCGAAGTAGAAGAGAAGCAGTTCCCAGCGGTTGTTGCGGTAGGTGAAGGCAATGATTCCCCAGAGGAAGAGGAAACGGAGACCAGTGCGCACGCGAGCCAGACCGATGAGGGTGACGAAAAGGTACATCGAACAGCGGAACTCCACAGGGATGGTCCAGAGATGGACATCGTAAGCTGCCAACAGTGTTAGTACAGGGCAAAGGCATTGCTTGAGTCCAACTTACAAGTGCTTCCGCCAAACCGCTCCCAACCGAAGATGTGGACGAAGTTGAACATGCTCCATACCCAGTCCACCAATTGTTCAGAGAGCGTATCCAACGGCTTGGGATGAGGCTCCATGACATTCTTGTGCCACTTTCGGTCGATGGCGAAGTCTCTGGTCCACTCGTAGACACCCATCTGCAACATGAGCATGATTCCGAAGGTCGAGATTGCCGTAGGCATGTAGAGCCTGATGAACCGTCGGAAAATGAGAGATGTCGTGGTGTTCGAAAACTCGTCCCATTTCTGGCTCCGGATAAGCTTGATCGGCTTCAGCGACAAGGCGTATCCCGAGATGACGAAGAAGAGGCAGACGGCCGGCGGGCCCTGGTAGAACAGTCGCAGGAACGGCAACTTGAGGATGTGGTAGTTGTTTTCGGAAGAGCCCCATCCTTCGGCGATGATGAAGGCCTGGTAGAAGTAGTGGCAGAAGAATACGAATAGAGCAGCGAGTCCACGCATGCCGTCGAGATATGATGTCGGGAACAGCTTCTCGGGACGGCCTCGTTCTCTCGTAAACCGACTTTGAACGAAACTAGGCAGCAAGAAGATGAGACCCCGAATCAGTGTTACCCTCCATGGTACGGCCCGCATGTAGCCAACGGCTCCTCGTGCTACTGTCGACCATCGTGGTATCGCGAAGCGGCTCTCGAGGTCGGCTCTACCGCTCTCGCTCTCGACGTCGGACAACGTCTTCTCGTCCAGCAGCCCCATACCCTCTTCGTGTGAGAGCGACACCTTGGAAGCTGCGTGCCCGTTCATTGTCCTGCAATGTGTCGGTTGGTTGTTTGGGCGTGTAGTTGACTCTTCCGAGGCCGAAGTGACAGATAGCAAGCTCAACTTCGACGAGGGCCTGGAGTCAGAGTGGAAGTAGAAGAGGAAGGGGCGGGAGGGAGTGTGATGGTTTTGATCCGGAAACCCTTGTATTCAGACGATCTGCTGGATCTGCAGATGGGAGGGGCGAGAAAGGAAAGAGACCGGGTGTGTAAGGTGCGAAAGGTAGGCGAGACAAGGTAATTGTAATGGGGAACAGACCCCGGGCCTGTGAAAGCAGAAGATGGATGGATGTTTCCCGAGGGAGACGGTCCGCTGGGTGTGTTCTGCCCGTCTTGGTCTTGTCTCGTCAAAGAAGCCCGTGTGACCTGGACCTGGACCTTGACCTTGCAGCTTAAGTCAAGAGAGGAGGGACCTTGGATTCCTGGGTCTCTTTGCTGGCACAACCGTGGGCCCTTAACGAAAGATATGTGGAGAATCTCTGGAAGATGTTCCAGACGCAGACAGGCAGTAAACAAGCCCAAAACCAAAAAGAAAGGGTCCGACTGGGCTGAGATCGGAGCGAGGTTTGCGCATAGAAGGAAGGCGTGGGTGCGCGGGCGTAGGTAGGCGTGGGCGTCGTGGAGATGGGAGACGTGCCCGCCGTGCACTTTCAACCCGGATTTAGGTAGCGTATCCGTAGGGAAAATAGGAAATACGACAAGACCACACGGAAGGAGCGTGAAGTGTGGGTGCGTAATGGGCAATGGGTGATGTGTAAGGGACGAAGAAGTAAGGAAGTAAGGTAGGTGAAAGTGTTGGGTAACGATGTAATGCGGCGCACTTCAGTAAGGAAGCGTGTGGTGTGGGTAGAAGAAGAGACTGTTTCAGGGTGTGGAAAGGTTTAAGTGTGGCAGCTATGACGGGTTTGGGGAGGGATGCACCATGGAACCATGTGCAGAGATGCCGTCAACGAGTTGGGAGGAAGCGTCTGCACAATGCGCAGCAGAGGGTGCAGATGCGGCTTTCTCTTGCCTCGATGAGGTGGTGGTGTATGTGAGGACGAAGTCAGATGTGCTTCGTCTGCTCGTGTCGTAGTCCAGGAACAAGGGACGAAGAGTCGAGGACAGGTCCGTCCACACCAGTCTAGGCAGTCTGTTCGTTCCGTTCCTGAGTCTCGGGGCCTCCGCAGTAACCCAGTTCCAACCTCTCGTCTTTTTTTCGGGGATTTTCTGTTTAAAAAAAGGAAGACGAGAATGACGGGGAACTAGAAAACCGTATTTGCCTAGAGTGACGGGAGGCACCCACCCAAAGGGAAGCCGAGGCGCGGATGTCAAAAGACTGTCTCCCAACTCGAGGCTCGCCAGCCAAAAGCCTGTGCGCACCTAAAATCGGATCGTGACCTCGAGTCACAGGGTGTTCTCTGTTCTCTTCGTTCGCTCGCTTCTGCGGTAGCGATTATCCGTAGCGTAGCATGCAATGAGGTAACCGCACGACCGAGATGGAGCCCAATGGGGCAGATGCAAAAGAAGGGATGAAACGATGGAAGTCGGCCGGTCGAGACAGGAACGAATATCGACCTCGGGAACAGGACGAGGGAGAGACAGCGAATGTGAGAAGGATGGAGAAAGTCCAAAGGGAAAAGCCAACACCAGACTGGAATATGACAGCAGCTCCAAAATCATCAAACACGATGCCGCAGGGGGACCAAAGGAGATGAACAGTAAGGGTTTCACTTTATATGGGAATAGCTAATAGAAAGAGATAGACATAGAACAGACGAGAAAGGAGAAGTGACGTGCAAAGGAAAATGAGCAAAGGGGTCCTTTGCGGCTTGCCAGAGACATCCAGTAAACATGGGCTAAGAATGGCATGTACCTCCGTCCTCAGTCCTGGAACCTGACCGCCGTGCAGTGCATGTGGAATACATACACAAAACGCACATAAAAACAAAATAAATGGCAAAAATTTGACCAGAGAGATGATGGGACGACTGGACGTCTGAGATAGCCAGCCACGCAAGGTACGTAGGATGGTACGCGGAGACAGGTCAATCAATATTCGATTCGCTTTGCCTCTTCTGGGGAACAAGCGACAAACCGACCAGTCGCCATCGTCTTCCCCCGTTAAAAGAGCCCCGTTTCCTCTCTGGTTGTCTGGGAGGGACATGGAGGGAGATGGAGGAGACCCAGTCCGCCGCGGGCGCCGCGCCCATCACAACATCTCCCGCCCGTTGCCCATGGCCATTCCGCCCGCTTCCTTCTGCAGGTACGCGACGGCAGTGGGAGGAAAGGGGACCACTGGACCAGGGGTAACATGGGGGGGTTTGTCGATGGCGATGGGGATGATGGAGACTAGCGTACGATAAGGGGAGGGTTAGAGGAGGGCTTGGGAAGTTGGGAGGGACAGGATGGGACGTCCATCTTGCGCATCACACTTCCGCCCAGAAATGCCAATACCATGACGATGATGGCATGGGCGGCGTTCAGCGTCAAGGACGGCAAGCCGCGGCCGAGCAGAGCTCTCGGCGCATGAGGATTCGGTGCCACTCTTGCCTCGAGCAGTCGTAAGCGATCTGGAGACTCGCCGGGGGTTGGCAGGATGAGAGAATCAGAAAACGATGGAGTTCCGGGGTCAGGAATGGAAGGAATTGGTCGAGAAGTCCCGGACGTACTTTGGGGCTCTACATAGTACAGATGCGGCAACAAGTTCAAGGTTGAGATCGGCGCTTGGATCCACGCTGCCGCGCTCGGGGGACCGGGGTGGGGGGCTCGAGACACTGAGTGTGCGGTGGTTGGCTAGGTTGGTGCGGCCCGGCTGCCAGTTAGCGGGTCCCTTGCTTTGCCAGTCTGTCAACTCTCTGGCTGCCAACTGTCAGCCAGTCCCGTCTGTCGTGGTGGTGTCTGGGTTTGCAAGCCTCTGGATGACTGTAATCTGACTGGCACACTGGACCGTGGCTATCGACATCCATTGATGAGGAAGCCCACTGGCAAACTGGCAAAAGAAGTGGACTTCAAACCCCAGTCAGGGGTGCAGCTTGTTTCCCGGCAGTCAACCCCTGGGTGATGTTCCAGATGTTGGCAATCCGTCACGTCCATTGCATGGCACAGCCGTCCGCCGCCTTGTTAGTGGTTACAGCGGAGACTTGGCCTCGACCACTATCACTCCAGTGTCCAGTCCCTCTCACTGCTCTCTTCTGAGGCCTCTCTCTCTCCCGTCCTCTCTCCCGTCTCTCCCCTTGCCTCACCGGTGAACCTGCTTCAATATTTCGACGCACCCTGGCCTCCGCGATGGAACCTGGCTACCATCCCCCAGGCTCAGCCGAATTTGTTTTGGAACCGTTGTTCCCCTTGGATCCAGTTTAAATCAAGTAGAACCTGACGATCGACATCCGAAAGCCGAGTCAGGCCACGCACCCATGGGTTCGCCCTGTCCCAGAGCCTTCCTCCCTTCTCGGATTGCTACCACAGCCCGAACTTGGAGGAAACCCAAGACGGCAAGACAAGGCAAGGCCTCCCGTTCTTAATGCCACCATGCTTCCGTCAAACGTCTGTCAGCAGAGCAAAACACGGCACACCGTATTCTATATTTGCCCCAAAGGCTGTTTCTTGACACTTGACCTTGTCGACTCTTAGTAATGCTCGTTGTTTTTTGAGTTTATGATACAGCGGGCGGTGCCACCAGGCTGATACAAACATGTCAGGTCTGTGGCCAGAATTCGACTCGCGTATCAATAATAACCGCCATTCCATTAGGCTTTTTTGGTTTTGGTATCCTCTCTACGTGACACTAAACACAGTGAAGGGAGTGTATGTGCGAAACCAACGCCCTGCCGAACCCAATATGCCAGAACCTGTGAACCCATTATACAGTCATATCCCCGCCGTGATGAGAAAAAAGAACGCCATTGACACCATGCCTCTATCATACCTTCCGAACGTTCAATGCATCATCATCTATGTGGAGAGCCAGTCGAGGAACTCGGGGGTGAAGTAGCTGATGACAATGGTGGCGCCAGCTCTGAGGATGCCCTCTGTTGACTCAAAAGCCATCGTCTTGAGATCGAAGACTCCCGACTTGGCGGCCGCGTGGATCATGGCGAACTCGCCGCTGACCTGGTACGCAGCAACAGGCATATCCTTGCCCAGCTCCTTCGCGTCGCTGATAATGTCGAGGTACTGACTAGCCGGCTTGACCATGATGATGTCGGCACCCTCGTTGATGTCACGGACGATTGCGCGGCGAGCCAGACCACGGCCGCCCGGAGGCAGCTGGTAGCACTTGCGGTCGCCGAAGGACGGCGCGGAGCCCGCAGCATCGCGGAAGGGGCCGTACAAGCAGCCGGAGAACTTGGCCGAGTATGACATAAGCACCGTCTTATGGGCAATGCCCTCCTCAATGAGCTTGAGCTTGATAGCGCGAATGCGGCCATCGTTCATGTCCGAGGGAGCGACGCAGTGGGCGCCGGCCATGGCGTAGGCAATCGCAACGTCGGAAATGCGGTCAACGGAAAGCTGGTTGTTCAAGCTGCCGTCGTCCCGGAGGATGCCGCAGTGGCCGTGAGAGGTGTACTCGCACAGGCAGACGTCGGCACAGATGAAGAGCTGAGGGAAGCGCTGGCGAATGGCGCGGATGCTCCTGATAACAGGGCCCTCCGGGTCGTCGGCGGAGGTGCCAAGAGCGTCCTTACTTCCGGGACGCACGGGCACACCGAACAACATAACGGAGCGCAGGCCCTTGCGCACCAGAGTCTCCAGCCACGCCATTGTTTTGTTGATGCCTCGGCGATACTGGCCGGGAAGCGAGGGGATAAGAACCTCCTCGTCGTCTTGGTCGGAAATGAAGAGGGGGTAAATCAGCATCGACTGGATACGAGTCAGCAGTGATTCATCACAACAGCCGCGAGGCCTTTGCGCATCTGCGGCTTACCTTTGTCAATTGCCTCTCCGCTTGCCACGAGCGGGCAAGAGGATGGAAATAACCGCCGTGCAGCTGAGATGAGATATCGCCAGAGATGCTGACGCTGGTGGCAGCGGTACTGGCGTAGGACATGGCGCGCGAGATATGCGACCGGCTGTCGTCGACGGTGGAGACGGAAGCGGCCTCGCCACGCGAGCGGCGCGGGACGCCGGAGTCCCTCAATGTGAGGTCCTGAACGAGGCTAGAGAAGGACATGGTGATGTTTGACGGCGTACGAGCTCAATGGCAGTTTTCGTCGGAGGTGAGGGGTTGGGTGGCGATGGCCGTCGGAGAAGCGGTTGGGGGGTTCAAGGAGTCAGGGCGAATGACGCCGCCGAGTTCGCAACAGAGGATGGGCGTAAGTTATTATATCGTCGCGACCGGAGATGCTCGCGAATATCGGATTTGAGAGGAGGAATGAGCGGTGAGGCGAAGTCGTACAGTAGTAAAGGGCGCGGACTGAAGGTTTGGGGCTGAAGATGGAAGAAAAAATACGGACGGCTGAAATGGCACGAGGAAAAGTGATGGCAAAGTCCAACCAGAGATTGACCGGGTTTGAAACAGACCAGCTTACCTTCCGCTTTGGCTGGTGCTGTCCCTCGGCAGGAGACGGATGGTGACTGTGGAGCCCGCCCGCCAGGTACTCAGCAAATAAGAGAGCGCAATGGCGCAATCAGCTGGCCAATCGTAGTCGGAGGAATGCTAATTTGCCATCGCCGGTGGCGCTGCGGCTTCTCCGCTCCGAAAGACCCCTCCTGCGGCGCATTTTCGCACTCTTGGAAATCCCCGTGCTCCCAACGGTGAGAACGAAACCGAAAGCGTCCACGACCCCTCCGGTCAGCCGAAAACGCAGTTAATTGACCTGGCTGACTGATATATCAAGCATCATCACGGCTCTCGGCAGGCAATTGGATATTCAGGAATTGTCATTTTCGGCGGTAGCGGCGTTCAATACGCTTTTTGTATCGGGCAGGGTCCCTTTTCGATACAGCATCTGTCAGAGATTTCGCTCCCTTGCTGATTGCCTCATACAGCCACTCGCACCAATCAAGTGACGCGAGAATCTAGATACCAATCCCGAGATGGGCCGAAGATCTCCGCGGGTGCCCGTGGACCCATTTTCCTTCCGCTCCTCCTCCGGCCACAAAACAACGTTCACCGGCCAAAACGGCCGCCGCAAGACCCGACAATGGCGGGGGTGATGGCCGGTGATGCCGGGCCTGGCCGCCGAGTCTTATTGTTTTCTTTCCTTCTTTCCCATCCTGTTTTGCTTCGAGTTTATTCATTCGAGCCTGGCTGAATGCAACAAGTGTTGCCTCGTAAGACCGGGCTTCCCACGATACAACCATAGTTCGCATAATGCAATCCATTGTTTGTCTATTCTTGATAACTGACACTATTCAAAATCATCATACCGCCGATGTCGTGAGTGCCATACTGTGTCAAGATGCGATCTCGATGAGGTCCCATCGTACCTGAGACTTCGGCTTCGGCTTTTCGCAAGCAAGCTCGCCGGCCCGAGTATTCTAAGAACGAGTCTCGCTAATCCCATTATCCTGCTTTTCTTCCTCGACTTTCAGCCATGGCGTATCTGTCTTGGATGCGATGTCCGGACTAAACACCACATGTTCCACATGTTCCCAAGCAACACTCAGTCCGCCTCTCCCAACCCACTGGCCACATTTGATCCGAACCTCTGTGGCGCTGAGATTCCATCTCTTCTCGGCCTTTGTGGTGTTTTGGGGTGGAAAACTTGAAAGATGATTCTAGTAGGCACCGCCAGGTGACCACAATGGTGACCACAAGGAGCTGCCCCTGAGCCCTTCAGCAAGCTTCTTCACAACACTCAAAGCCCCGAGGCCTCATCCACGTTCTCCCACGAGACTGCGGCTTAGACATCTCCAAGCCGTGTTTGCTGAAGGACCATGAAGCGGAACTCTTTAGTGACTGTCATAGGCCGGTCCAGGTCTCCGCTTTCGACTCTTGCCCTGAGAATCGACCAAACATTGGGTGAAACAGGGGGCCTCGAGGACAGAAACAGGAAGCCACGACGGGTCGGCTGGATGTTTACAAGAGGTAAGATCGATCCTGCCGAAAAGATTTCATCCGGACGAAGGGTCAGGTGCCTCAGACCGCCTGAGGTCGCCTCGCTTCCGATTTTCTGCGCCCTACTTCGCAACACGCGTCGAGTGTTCGGTTCCAACTTTTCTCTCCCATTGCAAAGATCACAACAGCTTCGGAGCCAGAACCCGTCACCAGCTTTGACGGCTAGGTGACAGGAGAATAAGAGTGTTCGATCCAGTAACCAGTCAGGTTGGTCTCAGGGGTGATTTTACCTCTCAATTTTGTTCTGACGCCCAAACAGGTTTTTCCAAGCGAGCTGCGCGAACTCGTGATCTGGACTCTAGGCTGAGCAGAGCATCGACGGAGTCGTCCGCTTCTTCTCTTCTAGGTGCCGTCAAAAATCACCGTTGGCCCAGTCCGATTCCCCTCATTCCTTCATCTTTTCCTGGACGCTTGTCGTCCTGTCCGTTCCTTCTAACCAACAGAGCAGTACTCATGCGCGATGAAGAAGAAATCCATGAGTACCCTCGCCTCCTTGGCGCCACGGCGTCGGGATAAGGGCAACACCAACAAGAATAGGGCTATCGATCCCCAAGGTAAGGAAGAAAATACTCACTTGCATGACGAGCGACAGCTGACACTCTCTTCAGAGATCTCGGCTCCTTCGCTGCCTACATCGACGCCGGTTGCTGACCCTGCCCGGCGTCCCGTTGAAACCCCAGGCACCAGTGAGACCGTCGACCGTTTGGCCAGTGCTCTCCTCGATAGCACTATATACGCCCATCCCAACGGGCTTGCCAGCCATCCGTCCGTCTTGCTATGCAATGTCGAGCCCTTCACCGCTGCGCCAGAATCTTCCCCTAACAATCTCGACATGGAGAACAACAATGGTGGCCCGGTTGTGGTCTACCCGAATGAAGAGAACGCTGTCTCCGGTCAGACTCGTACCAAGACTAACGCCTTCGCCACACCTCCTGCCATCCCTCGCAGGTCCTCTCGTCGCAGAGCGAAGCGCAACAAAAAGGTCGAAGTCTTTACGGACATCCAGGCCCCGGTCCCCAAACGACCTTTCCCCCAGTCCAGGACCACTGTGCTTGACGCTGGCTTCGATGTTGGCTTCGAAATGGGTAAGAAGAGCGACCCTTTCATCACAGGATCTACGACAGCGCCATTGGGCAGACTCGCAAAGCAGACAGGTGGCCGTACCGCACATGACTTGGACGCTACCAGCCCCAACATTGTCAATGACAAGCTTGCCGCAATGCTGGCTGCCACTGAGGCTCTGAAACCCGGGGGATCTCAGAACAATACCCCTGTCAGCTCGGCCAAGCCTTCGCGATTCAAGAAGTCCAACAACTTGATGTCCAAGGTCCGCAAGGCCTTTGACGTCTTTCAACCCAAGCCCACCACTCCTGAGTCTAAGATTCGCGGCAAGATCTCGGCGCCTGTCGGCTTGACCACTTGCGACTTGCCGAACCCTGCGACACACTACCATCTGGAGGAAGTTGAACAACCGTCGCCGGTCAGCTCGATCGAGATTCGCCTGAACGAAGGCTCCAACCTTAACAACCAGAAGGTTCGAAGCATTGTTGGAGGTCGCATTCGGCGGAAGCCAGTTCCCGACGATGGCAGATCGCTCCGCAGTCGTGGCTCTGGCTCCGGCTCTGGGTCTGTCTCTAGCTTCCGCGGTGACCCTTTCTCCGAGCCCCTCCAGTTCACTCGCACGCCTACTCCCTTCGAGCATCGTCTCAAGACGAGCATTGATTCGGACAGCATTCCTCCGGTTCCTCGTCTTAACCCATTCGAATCCGAGAGATACTTCGATGACAATCTCGAGGGCTTTCTCCCTGATAAGCCTCTGTGTGCCTCCACACCCCGCAACCGAAATGGAAAGAAGGCTGTCCCCTTTGAGAGCCCTTCTTACCGGTGTGCGAAGATCGATGGTCGTCACCAGCTTTCTGGCGGTGTATCTGGTGGTATTGGTCAGCGCAAGCTCAAGCTCGACCTGGAGGGAGTTCGCCTCTTTCACGACAACACCGACCTTAGCATGAAGAAGCACCCTTCGCCTAGCAAGGCTGACTTGAACGACCTCGAGACCCAGTTTCGCGCCTATGCCATTGAGCAAATTAAGAAGGCCCCTTCTCACGAGCAAGACGAGTTAGTCACTAAGTTCGCTGGTCTCATTGGTCCCAACGCGCTCACTCCGCGTGACAAGAATCTGCCGATGAAGGCGTGCTCCAGCAAGGAGGATACCGGCAACGAATTCAGCGTCGTTTCTGAGCGCAAGTACACCCGCGATGCTTCCGTTCTTTCTACCCGGCAGTCGCGCATTCCGCGCCCTGTGGAGCCGGCTACCACACTTCCCACCCGTCGCTTCGGCCTCCAGCGCCAGCCCGCCAATTTGAGCGCATTGGAGATTGACGAGTTGCAGTAGGATGCGACTGAGTATGCTATTTGAAGCAAAAGGGAAGAATGGGCTCGATCTTGCAACTGCTAGGTTACGTCGTCAGCAGGAAATGCCCGCTTCTTTGTCACCTTCGACAGCCTTCGATCATGGTGCCTTCTGGCAAGCATCCGCCCACACCAAACGGCAACGACATATTACATGGGCGTTGCCTATCTACTCGACGACCATTCTGACTCTTCAGATACGGCTTGCTGCCTAGCCATGGCTGGCGGTAAGCAAATACGTCAAAACTCCACTCTCTGTTGAGTATTGCGGATTGTCAACCAACGCATCTAGCTACGGTCGACGCCCGCCCTTCAAGCAAATTTGTGTAAGTGATCATGTCTCTTGAACCCGAGGAAATATCTAATGTGGTGCAGCAGAGTATCGCAATTTGATTGCAATGCGCAGCACGTCGCGCCATTTCCTATGTTCATAACCACGCGACAAGAGGGTTATCACGATGGACAGTTCAGCGAGACAGCATAACCATAATATCAAGTCCTAGCACCTTATTGGGTCTAGGCACCGGTTTTTTGCTGGTCTTCGGCTGATGCAGTTTCATCACATTTGGTACACGGTTCAACTCAATCAGTTTGTGTTTTCACGTCGCTCAGAAACGGGCGAGTACGGATGGGAGCCTTGAGACAGGTTTCCCCATCGGACAACATGATGTTTACGACGGATCAACTGGGCAAGGCAGGTTAACGAACAGGGTCGGAAGGTGGACTTGGGTTACTCTGGAAAATTGCAGGTCATGGGGCACCGTAGGATCGCCATAGTAGTAGACAGCCCCTCAGGAACGTATATAGTTCAGATCAGATCTCAACACAGTCCGCATCTCAAATAAATCACTTCAGCAGTGGGTTGATATTTGATATGCCAGGTGCTTGCATTTGCAATATGTAATACAGACGTGGTATCTCTAAAGCCATCTCGCTAGTCTTAACAGTAGTGGTACAAGTGGTATCCTTCTCATCCGCTCAGCTCTTCCCTAGAGCTCTTCTCATCATCATGAACCATTACAAATGAAAACGCTTTGTCGTATCGTGTGAGGAGATCGCTCCGCTCATCTAGTAGCGATAGCGGCGGTGGGAGCCGCGGCCGTCGGTGCCGTGCATGCGGCGGGTGCCGGCGGCCTTCTGGCCAGGGCGGCGGGTGAGCGTGCCCTTGAGCTTGAGCATGGCGCCCGAGATCTTGTCGCCCATGGAGGGCTTGCGGCGCTGGTGGTGGACCGGGGCCGTGGTGACGGGGCCGCGGCGGCGGGAGAAGAGACCGCCGCGCTTACGGGTGGTGGTCGTGGTCGTGGTGGTGTGGTGGTGGTGACGGGCCGGAGCACGACGGCGAGTGAAGAGGCCGCCGCGGCGGGGGGCGGTGGTGGTGGTGTGGTGAGCGCGGGTGGATCTGAGAGGCATGTTGGGTGGTTTGGGTTGTAGAAGTGTTTTTAAGTTGGTAGTATGGTTGTTATTGATCTGGGTAGACCTTTGGAAGTCTGAAGATTGTTTGATGGTTGTTTGGGTTGTTTGGTTTGGTAGCTGATGTTGAGGAGGAACTACATATGGATGTGATGGGGAACGGACGATGGTTTATATGCTTTTCGTGACGGGATTTCGTAAGGCTGGCCTCTCTGGGAGCCTGGAACTAGACGGGTGGTCGTGTATTCGGGTGGGATGGCATCATCAGAGGCACGAACGAGCAGGGGCCCATGGTTGAAAGGAAGGGTGCTTGGGGGATGATGTCAAGGCCCGGGTTGGATCGACGGGAGCTCGACGTTTGTGTTTCAAACGCTACGGAGGGAGGGGGAGGGGCTACGACATTGTGGACGAACGATTCACTTCACTTCTCGGAATTCTCAGAGGAGGGGGAGACAGAGAGGCGGGAATGATGCGCAAAGGGTCCAAAACCTGCATCTTGGTCCACTTTCCGGACTCCTCCTCTGACGACGGGAGGAATGATGATGGAGGGGGGTAAAAGGACCCTGAATGTGGTGAATGTGACGTCCCTTGCAGTGCTTCGCGACCCGGGGTGTGAACGACTTCTTACGTAGGACGACCTAATTCGGACTGTTCAAGCCACAGAAGGCTGGGCGCCTGATAGGCAACTGAGCACATCAACAACACGTCTTGGAGATGAGGTCAAAGTTCGGGTGTGGTTGGTGAGAGATGGACGGGCCCAGAACAATCCAACCGTCCGAAAAACAAGTTTAAGGGTCCTGTGGCTGGTGACGTAGCGGGTGCGCGGAGGGAAGGGAAGCCCATTGGCTCCAGCCTCTCATCCCTGTCTCTGTTGCTCGGATCAGGCGTTTGCGTGCGAATGAAGTTCCGCCAATGAGCATCGTGGCTCAGGTAAAACGGTAGGGATGTGGCTGATGGTGGTATGATGTCATGGGGCGACGGGGCGCTTGGCCTGGTACAGCACGTCTTGCTTCGGGACCATCTATGCCAAAACGGTTTTCGTCGTTGGGCGGTTATCACCCGTCTGGATGACGGCCGCTTCTGCGTTGCTGACGACGGCGTTCGGGGATTCGACGTCAGTTTTGCGGGCTTTCGAGGCCGCTTGGGAGGTTCTTGAGGGGAGAGGGCGGGTCTGGATTGCGATGGAACGGAGGATCGCTGAGGGGAAATGACATATTCCGTCTTGGTTGACGGTTATTACGGCTTTGGAATGATGTTGGACCGTTGAGCTTTTACTTGATACGTACTTTGAGCAACGGAATGATCATCAAAGGTAAGCGCGGAAACAGTCACTCTTCGACGGATGAGGTAGGTTGTCTATTATCTCTGATCTATCTTTGTTTTCCGTGGGCAACAGCGGCTGTCGTAAGTTGGAAACCAGTTCCAGAAACCACCGTCATATCTTTCCGTTATCACAATTCGTCATTCGGGTCTTGCAGTTCCAGTATGACGGGATAGATTGAACCCAGGATCCTATGCCGTCGACGACCAGGCAGAATCTCTGACCCAACTGGTTCAACTCTTGAGGGCGGTCGAAACCTGTGATGGGAAGCAGTGGCCTGCGATATCAACTGGGGCCTAAGTGCGTCGAGGAGATGGACACCCCAGGGAGCCTCGGTTTGGACAGGCTCAAGCCGATAGAATGAGGAGTCAGTTTTCGTTCAGCCACAAAGGTCGTCGCAAAGGTCATCCCAGTCTTGAATTTTGCTGAGAGAAGTCTGGTACAGCTGCAGTCAAGCTCGTTGATGGTGGTCAGAATACCGCGCACGAACTTAGTCTCTGACTCTCATGAAAGTCTAAGCAATGACAATAAGTGAGTGGATGAGTTTACACTGCCAGTTGTGTCGATAGCCCACCAAGACAACACGGCTTAGCAGGTACTTTCCCATTCACTTTGTTACGTCGCACAGTACTCAGTTCGGGAGGGCACCGGCTGAACGAAGATGCACCTTGATCTTCTCAAGGTCCTCTCCAGAGAACCCCAATGTCCCGGTCACGTAGCCCTCCCAGCCACCATGCACATCTCCCACACCCATGACAAACGCATCCCAACACGACTTCTGCAGGCTACACATATTGTAGAAGCCCGGATGCTCGTCATCGGCGAAAGTCCCAGTCCCTACACGGGCATAGTGAAGCAATCTCTCTCGAGCAGGTTCGGTGCCGATTCGGGAGAGCATGTAATCGAAGCAGACATCCTCGGGAGTCGCGCCGGCGAGAGATTGCAGAATACCCGCCAGCACGCCGGTGCGGTCACGTCCGGCTAGTAGGTTTTGTCAGTGGCTTGTTTCCGACAGCCCCGTTGAGCATACTTGACGTACCAGTGCAGTGGAAGAGAAACGGCTCTCCAGGCCTATCGCGGAGGTGCTCCAAAACGGCGCGGAAGCTGGGTCGGTAGATCTGCAGCACCTTGAGGTACTCCTTTCTCAAGCCCGCCTCACCGCCACCTTGAACGAACTCGTCCAACACGGGAGGCAGGTCGACGCTGGTGCTGTTGAACCAGGTGTTTTCGACGCCATCGACGTCTGGGTCTGGGGCCTTCTCGCGTTCCTGCGGAGAACGAATGTCGAAGATGCGCTTCACGCTCGTGGAGAGCCAGGACAGTGCCTGCGGGTCTTTAGCGGCGACTTCGAGGGTACCGCACCGATAGATTAGGCCTGGACGGATCGCCGAGCCTGGGACCGCACCAAGATCTCGGATGTTGATGAACGAGGTCGAAGGGATGAAGGGCGGTGAGCTGAGGGCTGGAAGGAGGACTTCGGGTGGGATGTGGTTGCGGACGTCTGTCTCGGCGAGGTGCTCCAGTCGGTCTCTGGTCAATGCCATCTCGACAGCCATTGAGAGATAAATGAGGCAATTTTGAGTTGGGTTGCTGGGTCTGGGCGTCGAAGGGCTTCTGAAAGATGAGGCCGTATCTCGAGAGTACCTTAAGTACAGTGAGATTGCCTATAGTATTAGCCTATGAGATGGCAAGCCTTGCTTACTTCCCCCCCATTGTGTCTGAGTATCATGGGCTGACTGGAGGTTGCAAAACCGCATTATCTCAGCCAAAGTAGAAACCCAGATTCGCCAAACAGATCTTGTCGGGGTGAAGCATACTTTGAAAAATGACCTGTAGGTGTCTCGACATGGAGCTACCTAGGTTTTGTGCCTGCTGCCAATATATTGAGCCCCGGAATGCGGGTGGACGTCTCCTCAGCTCATAGCGGCGGGCATTGGGGGAAGGTAGACCCAGATCGTCGCCTGTGTCTCATTCTTGTATCCATCTCTTAAACCCTTCTGGAGTAACCGAATGATTGGAATTTGACATTGTGAAGGGCATTTGTGAAGACGATTAAAGCACGATCGGTTTCCTCAAGACCACAAAGATAAGGTCAGATAAGATAAGATTTCTTATCACGATAAGAAATTCAGCCTTCCACATTGAATTTCAAGGCCAAGCTGTCGACCCCTCTGCAAGCCAGTGATACAACCTCATTTCTCTGAATTGATGTCCAATTGAGAATCAAGCATCATGGCTTCGAATGCGTTTCTGAAATGGGGCTTGGGACTTTCAGCCGGTATTGCTGGGGTCGCCGTCGCCGTTGTTCGCCTCCAGCAGCCTCTGAGCACTGTCGCAGAAACCACTTATTGCTACCAGGGCATCCGGACGCACGATGAAGCCCAACCTTCAGCCCAATGCTTCACGGTCTCGGACGGCAAATTTTCTCGCGTCTTCCCATGGGAAGATGCGAGCTTGACCACCAATGTCGGCTATGTCATCCCCGGCTTATGGGATGGTCACGGCCACCTCATCCAGTACGGCGAGTTTCTCCACTCGGCGGACTTGTTTGGTGCGGCTTCTCTTGATGATGTGAGAGGACGTTTGAGAGAATATGTCGAAAGTCACCCGGATGCTGGCACAAAGGACGAATGGATTCGCGGCATCGGGTGGGATCAGAACGTATATGGCAAGATGCCTACCGCTGTGAGTCTCCCGTTTCCCGCATCTGTGAGTGACCAAACTGAGGCGCGATAAGGCAGACATTGAGGAAGATGAACTTCTGAAGGGCAAATACTTCATGCTCGACAGAATCGACGTTCATTGTGCTTGGGTATCCCAGGCCGTGCTGGACCTCCTGCCCGCTGACATCCCCGATGTCCCAGGTGGTGAAATCGTCAGACAGCCCGGCATGGGCGTCTTTTGCGACAACGCCATGGATCTGGTGACCAATCTATGGCCCAAGCCTGGCCCCGAGAAGAAGAAGGAGTTTGTCTCCGCCGCCATGGCTAAGTTGAATGAGGTCGGCCTCGTTGGCATGCACGATGCCGGCGTGATCCCAGAGCAGCTCGACCTGTACGCTGAGATGGCCCAAACAGACGACTGGACCGTTCGGGTCTACGCTATGTTGGAGTGTGCGCAGAGAAATACGTTCTGCCCCGATGACGCTGCGCGCGTTTTCCACGAGGACGACATGTTCAGCGTCAAGTCTGTGAAGCTCTTCGCCGGTTCGTTGCTCTGTGAGCTTTATTATCTGGTATCGAACGCTAACTTGACATAGACGGCGCCCTTGGAAGCTGGGGAAGCGCGATGATCGAACCCTACAGCGACCGCCCCGATACCTCTGGATCTCTTCTCGTCAACGGTTCTACTCTGCTGCAACTTGGCAAGTCGTGGGCGTCTATTGGCTACCAAGTGAACATCCACGCCATTGGCGACCTTGCGAACCGGCTGGCCGTAGATGCCCTGGAAGCTGGCCTCAAGGTAGCATGTCCCGAGGGTGATCTAGCAGAATGCCAGTCTCGACACCGCTTCCGCATCGAACACTCCCAGATCATCCACGAAGAAGACCAGAAGAGGATCCACGCCATTGGCATACTCCCTTCGATTCAGCCCACTCACGCTACCTCCGACATGAAATACGCCAAGCTACGCCTCGGTCCCGAACGCACCAAAAAGGAAGCATACCGTATGAGATCGTTCATGGACATCGGTCCCATTCTAGGCAGCGACTTCCCCGTGGAGCCCCCAAACCCTTTTGAGGGCATCTACGCCGCCGTCACACGGAAGAATCCTCAGACGGGTTCCGGCCCCAATGGAAGCGCCGAAGGGTGGCACACCGATGAAGCTTTGAGCCTGGATGAGGCGCTCTTTGGGTTTACCAAGAGCCCCGCTTTCGGGGCCTTTATGGAGGGACGCGCCGGTGTCATCAAGGAAGGTGCTCTGGCCGACTGGGTTGTGTTGGACGAGCCCCTCGAGGCCATGGAAATTGATGACATACGAAATCTAAAGGTCAAAGAAACCTGGGTCGGAGGCAAGCAAGTCTTTGCACGCGATTGATGATAGCGAGAAGAGTATCCGTACATATACAATAACCAATGCTGAAAGTTTTCGTGTAGGTGGCAAAAACGCAACTGAAGTCAAAGTATGATCATGAAAAGCCCACATTAAGACACCCGCCAGGCAATAAGGGTCTCCCAACGTGCGCGCCAAAGTTCGTCACAGTCATGGGCCACAGAGGTAATGCAGTTGGGCGTAAAGCAAGGTTGGCGGAAGCCAGTATTTGATTCTCCGAAATCACTTAACATCAGACTTCCCCTGCACATCACCTCACACCGAGGAAGAGAGCAGCCGTCAAGATCCATCATCACTTTTATCAACTTTGCCTCCCCAGAATGCCAGACGCAAGTCTCGCCGGAGGCCCGGCGCCAGCCAACCGGCGTGGTCGCGGGTGTTTCGGAGGCTGCGATGGCAAGATCCTACTCCTCCTAGGCCTCGCTGCTTACTTCTGCCTTGGAGCTTCGCTCGTAGAAAAGTCCATCCGGAATATGACGCATCAAGCCATCTGTATAGAGCTCAACGAACTCCCAATCGAAGTTAAGAGAAATGGAACCCTGTCCGTCCAGGACCCGATATGCCAGACCGACGAGGTGAGCCTAGCAGTCTCACAAGCGCACATGATCAGGCAGCTCGCCGAAGCAGGCGGTGGTAAGTAGCGACGTTGTTTTTTCTTCTTGAATATCTTCTTGGCCAAGCTTGTCCGTGGGATGCTAACAAGAAGCGGCCCAGGTTTGCTCTTTTCTTACTACACCATCAAACAAGCCGACAGGCTGGGGCGCTTCTACACCATGTTCATGGGCTCCATGCTTTGGGTGCTATCCATGCTATTTGTTTTCGCCGGCTTGGGCTCCTGGAGCCCGGGAGCGGTCTGGTTCTTCGCAACCACTGGCAGCCTTGCGAGGGCGATCGTTGAGGGATCCATCTTGTCGATGGCGACTGATTTTTCTGATGACAAAAATCGGTAAGTTCAGCATCATCCTCGCGATCAACTCAAGTCCATTGTCTTGATCAGGATGAGCAGTTTGCTAATTTGGCATTTCCTTTCAGATCCATGAACTTCACAGGCGTTCTCTTCGCCGCCGCACTAACACAGCGCATCGTATTCCTCCTCGCAGCGCACTATCATGGCGAAGACAACGATAGCAGATCTTTCATCATGGGTCTCACTATCGTTTTCGTCGGTTCGGCGGTATGTTTTGGTAAAATGTGCCTCGAGCGAGACCCGAGGCACCAACAGCGGGAGAACTGGCGAGAGCAGAATCCCCCTGCAGGAGGGGCCCCCGTTAACGAGGTCATCAAGGCCCTCAAAGGCTCTGGATTATCTCTCGTCTTTGTAGCCGCCGCCGCGGTCCCACTGGCAACGGCCTCTATGACCTCCTTCGAGGTCTACATAACCGATGCGTACAACTACCAATCCGAACCCCTGGGACAGCAGACGGTCTACTGGATCATTGTCTCCGCGTTGTTTGCGACAGTATTACACACCGTCACGATCAACTTTTACCTCCCGCAAAGCCCGAAGTGGTCTCAGTGGCGCCGCGACTTCTGCATCTTAGGCTTCGGGCTCGTCGTCCTCGCCGTGGGATGCTTCCTCATCATGATGCCCAGAACGGCGAGCGCCATGGTGGGCATAGGCTTTCTGACGGCCGGCTTCGCGGCCATCTTCCCGTTCAGCGCCGCGCTGCTTCTGGCCTTCGTGGGTCCCCGTGTCCGGAGCAAGTTCGCCGCTAGAATCTGGGGTTTCGTGTACTTGTGGCGGAGCGCCTTGACGTTGGTGATCCTGCCTCCGATGAGCATTTACAGCCGTACCGAGCCCGAATCGACGAAGCAGTTTATCTTCATCGTTGTTGTCGGCGCTTTCATCTTTTTCGCTGCTGGACGGGCTAGACTGATTTGGCCAAAAAGCCAGCGGCCTGCTGAGGGCGCCCAGACGGAGGAGATTGAGCTTGGGGTGATGAATGGCGATTTACCCCATGCGCCACCTCCTGCGTATCATGTGGGTAGCCTTGACTAGAATGCTGTGGAGCAATCTGATATGATTTTGGGTAAATATCTGATGGGTTTCTTGCTTATTGTCGAGAGCTGCTCGTTTTCAACGTATCTTGGATTTCACAACAGAACCAGGGATGGGTGGGTTATGGAAGGCGTCAACATTACGGCGTTGGATTGATTTCGGCATGAATTGGGAAACGGGTACCAGTCATCCATATTAAAGCAAGGTTAATCACTGGGTTTGAGTCTCGAATTGCAAGATGGTATCAGTCCGTTGCTTACACTTTATCACTTGGCCGTGAAACAGTCCGCCCGACGTTCGGCGAGCCAATACACCGGCTTCGACACTCGTTGGATGCTGCCCACTCAATAAGCCAGCAGGACGTCATCGGCGTGTGCGTGTGCGTGCGTGTGTGTGTGTGTGTGTGTGTACTTGGTGTTTGTATTCATTATCTATTCATTCAATCGTCGTCTATTCCGTTTAGAATCTGGGAATGATCGCATCGGGCTTGTTGTCAAGCGCCTCGTCGATCTCCGTCATGATTTCTGGCGTAAGCTTGTCCTGGGCGCCAATGGCACGGATGTTCTCGAAGACCTGCTCGGGACTGCTGGCGCCGATGATTGCGGAGCTGACATTCTTGTTCTTGAGGACCCAGGCAAGGGCGAGCGTGCTCATCTTGATGCCAAGCTTCTCGGCGATGGGCTCGATCTTGTTGGCCTTGTCGACGAGGTCCTGGAACTGCTTCTTGGCGTTCTCGCGCTTCCAGTACTCCTTGATGAAGCCGATGTTCTCGGAACCGAAACGCGAGTTCTCAGGGATGCCGTTCTTGTACTTGCCAGACAGAATGCCCTGGCGCAGGGGAGAGAAGACGGTCAGACCGGTGCCGACCTCGCGGTACAGGTGGGCGAACTCGTGCTCGACCTTCTTGCGGTCCAGCATGCTGTACGAGGGCTGCTCCATAACGGGGCCGATGAGGTTGAGCTTGTCGGCGTAGCGCCAGGCCTGGGCGATCTCATCGGCGCTCCACTCAGAGGTTCCCCAGTACAGGGCCTTGCCTGTGTTGATCAGGTGGTTGAAAGCGCGAACAGTCTCCTCCATGGGAGTCTGACGGTCGGGTCTATAACAGATTAGGAATATTCTAAGCGACGTAGGCTGGGAAGACTTACCGGTGAGCGTAGACGAGGTCGACGTACTTGAGATCGAGACGCTCAAGGCAGGCGTCCATGGCCTCAACAACGTGCTTGCGGGACAGACCCTTGTTGTTGACGACGTTGTCGCCAAAAGCTCCACCCCAGTAGATCTACATCTCCTGTCAGCTATGCATGGTACATCTGACACCTGGGGGTGCTCACCTTGGTGGAAATGACGAGGTCGTTGCGCTTCCAGCCGTACTTCTTGATGGCCTGGCCCATGACTGCGAAAGCAAAGTCAGTCTTTCTACTCACGATCCGTGTGAAGGCGGAATTTCCGTACCGACTTCGCTCTCGCCGTTAGCGTATCCCTCTGCGGAGTCGAAGAAGTTGACGCCGGAGTCGTAGGCAGCCTTCATGCAAGCGAAAGTGCCCTCTGAATATCGTGTCAGCTCTAGAACGTAGATAAGGCGATGTAGACTGTTATCGTACCAGAGTCGACATGACCGCCATAGGTCAACCCTATTAAGAAGTCAGCTCACGAAGCATTGACTCCGGCGCAAGATACTCACAGCCTCCCAAGCTGATAGCGCTAACTTGGAGACCAGAACGGCCAAGGAAGCGGTATTCCATAGGGGGGAGATCTTCGGGCTTGGACATTTTGGCGTTTTCTTGAAATCGGGAGGTAGTGCGAGGTCGGAAGGAAGATGTGGTGGGGTGGAACAGAATGGCAAGTCAGGCAAAGGTGGCAGAGACCTTACTTATTTATAGTCTCCCCCAGACTCAAAGAGACCACACTCAGCTCCCGTTCAAAGAGGAAGCAGCTCCATAGGAGCTCCATCCCATGTCACCTTCATACGAGTCCCGAACCTCTCCCGGGCGAAGCATGAGCCGTACAGCAGTCAATTGGAAGCTTAGCAATAAGGATGCGGGGCTACCGGTATCAACCCCGCTGTTGTTGAGCAGCACTTTTGTCACTGATTTGTCCAGGTTCGTGGTGGGCGGTTGGCGGGGTACCAGAACAGTACAGCAATTACGCAGTTTCATGCTGCCTTAACTTACTCGCCCCCAGGGAGCTTTGACCGGCGGGAAGCTTAATTCCGAGTTCTGGAATTCAGTCCTCGGATATCTCTCCAAGCGCCAGGAACTCTGTTAGAGCCTCCTGCCACGAGGGAATTCAATTTCAACCTCCTAAGCTTCTGGCAGGATTCGCATCCATCGAGAGTTGAGCTCCTGAGTTCTCCAAGTTCATTGGGAAAAATGTGTTGATGTCACCATCTTCAAGGGACTCTGGCGAGCATACGGAAACGCCACGCTAACTTACCCCTCCATTTGCCCCTCCAAGAAGCTGTTTTTCGAATTCAGACCCGTAGCACTCACACCATAACCCCTGTTCTCATGCGGGCCTCCCAGGGGTGTGCAACCGTCTCGCTGCTCCGATTGCCCCGAGTTGGCTACTCGTGGTGGCTGACTAATTATTCAACGACATATGTTCCATCAAGGTGACGAGATGGCTTCCAATGTTCAGCTCATGGATAACCACGTGTAGCATCTATCTCGAACGTGAAGATATGGAGCTATGACCGCGGCGTAGCAGATGGTACGAACCAGAACGCGGATGCAGATTTCCGTGGACTACCTAACCGCCGTTGGCGATCATGCATGTTTATCCGCACCTTACGAGGGAAACCGGCAGGGAGTCATACAGGGTGCGGTACTAAACGATATCATCGTTATCCCCGATGGTGTCCCTGCCAACTTCAGAGAGCGGGTGACATGTTTCCATGCCGGAGTTTCTCGTGATACCCTACGGCCTTCTACATCACGAGACCTTGATCATGTTGATAGCAGTTCCCAGTCGAAGAGACAAGTCGATCGTGGAAGGCGAAGATAACAACCAAGAGGATCAAAGCTACAACATTGATCATGTAGGAACATCGAGAGCGCTCATCGAAAACCGATTCAGGCACTGGAGGGGGAGACTGACGTCCCCTGTGGCTGTCAATCTTCAGACGATGCTGTACAAATTGCTCGACAGAGAGATGCCTGCCATCCCGCTTGAACGCTGTCTTTATCTAGTGTCCAGATCCTGGAAGTTGACCCGGCTACTTACCTGAAGATTTCCGTTCGTAATGTATGTTCCCGATCTCAATTTGAACTTGAGCGTTGACGGGGCCATCTCCGCCTTCGATCGGCCATATCTTGACGTACATGTACGGATGCCTAGGCTATCACTACCTAAGTATTCAATCACTTGGAAACACTTAGCCCAAAACTCGACTTGCTATAGATTTACCTCAACATCATGGAAGAAGTCGAACAGATTATTCAAATGCTCTTTTTGAATCCTGGCTTTCAAGGTTGACCACCAGATCCAACTGGAGCTTGAGGGTGGCCAGGTGAAGTTTTGGGTGACTGCATTCAAGACATGCAGCTCCAGCATCACAACAAAGCAAACATCTCAGATTTACCACAAAAGGTGCAGAAAAATAATGAAAGAAAGCCGGATGTGTGAAGTTCTCTATCTCTTGTTTGCAACTGTTTGCACATGGCGAATCGCTCTGCAAAGAGGTTTTGGCTTGGTCCTCCAGTCAGTGTCGTGCCCCGCATGAGTACTAAATGACCTCGTCCTGATACTACGGGTCTCCAGGTATCGACAGCTTCATATAAGACTGACGACGAGGCCACCAGGCCAATATCTCTGACGACTAATCAGGGCTTAGGTCTTCTTCTCTTAAGATAAATGTCTGGCCTTCTCAAAATTGAAATCTCTTCTTCTTCTTTTCTCCTCCACCACAACACCATCGCAGATCTACTTTACCAAAACACGATCAACGACGCTACATTTGGGGAATCGTGAGATACCCATACGAATCAGGACAATTCACTGAGATCAGCAATAAATATCAAAACAGTAAGTACTTTTTTTCCCGATTTCATTCTGTCCCACATCATTCCCGCAAATTCCACCGCCCGACTGGCTTTTCTGCTTCATCTTGAAACATCACCACCAAACGCGATCGCAATCCTCAATCTCGGCTTTTTTCTGCCCTCTCCCACGCTTGGACTCGAGATACCTGCTACATTCATCTTTTTGCGAATTCTGGAAGAAAATGGCAGCTTTCGCGCTGTTCACGGCTGCGGCGACTGCCGCCTGTGCTTCAGACGACGAGGCGTCGTCCGAACCCACGTTCTTGGGTTCGGATTGTGACGATTCTGAGCTTCTTGAGGCTTACGACGATCTTTGCCAGTCTTTCCCCTTTTCCCTGGCAATTGGAGATCGCAGATTCTCTGATTCAATCTCAGAAAGCTGGGATATCGGTACTCACGATCTCAATTTTGCGCTCCTTCCTTTCGTTCGCTACCAGATAACCTACGCAACCGCACCTTCCTTCGTTTGCTCACCTGCCCTCCCTTCTGACTGTTACCTTCCCCTTCCTATTTCCTTCCATCCCCTCTCGAGAAAACTCTTCACTCGCACACAAATCCGAGTCAGCTTTTCGTCTTTACTTCCTTCCACTTCTTCTTCTACGTTCGTCTCTTCATTCAAAAGTCAGCATCACTGACTTGTTTTACTACCTAGTCTCGACTCCTGAAGTCAACTCACTGGGATCCAACTTCTCCGATCAATCATCTCCGACTCCTACATCTACCACCAACAAGATGTCTGGCTGGGGTGCTACTGGCGACGACGCCTGGGGTACCAACGATGCTTCTGGCAACACTGGTGCTGGAGACGATCCCTGGAACAACCCCCAGGGCGGCGATGGCGGCGAGGGTGGTGGTGAGCGCGGCGCTTGCTTCAACTGCGGCCAGGATGGGTGAGCTCCTTCCTTTCTTGTATTTCAATTGTTTACTAACATCGCGATCAGTCACAGCAAGGCCGAGTGCCCTGAGCCCCCCAAGCCTTTCGAGGGCACCTGCAACGCCTGCGGACAGGAGGGTCACAGGCGCCGCGACTGCCCCGATGCTCCCGCCATGACTTGCAGAGTCTGTGGTCAGGAGGGTCACATGCGCAAGGATTGCCCCGACAAGCCTCCTGAGGTTTGCCGCAACTGCCACGAGGAGGGTAAGTCTTCGTTGCTCATTATTTCATCTCACAATGATCTCTATGCTGATCCTTGAATAGGCCACGCTGTTGTCGAGTGCAAGAACCCTCGCAAGATCGACCTCAGCATGGTTGAGGATGTTGAGGCTGACCAGGCTTGGAACGAGATCATCGAGGCTGCCTCGGAGCGTGACGGTGTCGAGGCCAAGGAAGCCGTCCTGAAGTACATCAAGCACTTCCCTGAGATGACTTACACCGACCTCGAGGAGGCTTTCCGTGGTCAGGAGATGGGCGTCTACCTCATCGCCACTGAGCGTGCCCTCGCTCCTACTCACACCAACATGGATCTTCAGGGTAACTTGGAGAAGAAGTACACCATCCAGTACCGCTTCAATCCCAACCCTGAGCGCGCTCGTGAGAAGGAGTCCTGGCCTCCCTCTCCCCAGGAGAACATGGCTCGTCTCAAGGACGCTGGTGAGCCGGTCTCTCGTCTTATGCAGAAGTGCAACAACTGCGACGAGCTTGGTCACACCTCCAAGGCCTGCCCCCAGGAGGCCAACGAGAAGGTTCGCGTCACCATCACTTGCTACAACTGTGGCGAGGAGGGTCACCGCGTTCGTGACTGTACGTTCACTCGGCGCCATTTACAATCTCTCATTGCTGACCATTCCAGGCCCCACCCCTCGTGTCGACAAGTTCGCTTGCAAGAACTGTGGCCAATCTGGCCACAAGGTCTCTGACTGCACCGAGCCTCGCAGCGCTGAGGGCGTCGAGTGCAACAAGTGCCACGAGAGTATGTTCTCCTCTTTGACTCCTCCCTTCCGTCTGCTAACTCTTTCTCAGCTGGCCACTTCTCCCGTGACTGCCCTACCGGCGGCGGCGGCGGTCGTTCGTGCCACAACTGCGGCCAGGAGGGTCACATCTCCAAGGAGTGCACTGAGCCTCGCAAGATCAAGTGCCGCAACTGCGACGAGGAGGGCCACACTTCTCGCGACTGCGACAAGCCTGTCGATGGTACGTCAAGCCCTACACTCTCTTTTTCATTGTCTGTACTGACTTTCTTGAACAGTCACTCGCATCAAGTGCATGAACTGCGGCGAGATGGGTCACAAGAAGTACCAGTGCCCCAACCCTCCCACCGAGGATGTTGACAACTTCGGTCCTTCCAACGGCGGCGGCGGCGGCGGTGACTCTGGCGACGCCTGGGGCTCTGGTGGTGGTGGTGGTGGTGGTGACGCCGCCCAGGACACCGGTGGCTGGTAGATGTCTCTTCTTACATCACATACCCATTGATATGGAACGTTTGGTGGCTCTCTATTTGGCTTTGAGGTCATGGTTTTGGTCGCTGCTACGGCAGACGACAAGGTCTTCGAGGAACCGCGTGGTAATTCTTCTGGATCATGACACATGGCTGGTGTTGTCTGCTATAGATAGACAAACATAGAAAACAAGCAATGTGCATGACCAAACGTTTATGCTCCCATCATCGTGATTGTGATTCCAAGTTGGTTTGTTTCCACGTATGAATTCCACCCAAGAACCTCGCCAGTCAGGTGAGCCGAACATTTCAGATCCAGCTCGTTGACTTAGGTAAACCAAACTTGACCACCGCGTTGCTCTTGGGTTACCAAACTTATTGGCCTGACTTGGGTCTGGCTGAACAAGCTGGCTTATCCGAGAGCCTGTCTGTTAGTTAAGCCGTTTCCCCCATCAGCCACCAGCAGCGAAATCTGGCCATCAACACCTACGACGATCACCTGTCTCCAACGCAAACCACGACTCGAAGAGGGAAGACGAACAGCACGACGGTCAGATTGCGCGAGAAGCCTCTCACAACTGGCCCTCAGAACACACCACAGAGGGATATAAAAATGCAGCAAGATCTATCTTCTACGCTTCTGGACCCAGCAGAGTTTCATTACCTTGTCCTTGATGTGATACGTAAGGGCCGTAAATGCAAATTGCGAAGTGGGCAATATCGCGTAGAGTCGGCGGAAATCTTGACACAATCGCTTGGCCATCCAATACGCAGCAGACGAAGCGAAGAGACGATGACGCGAAGGAGTCGATGCGTGGGAGAAGTCACTCGTTCCAGGCCGCTCACCCACCCTCTGACACTGAAGGCCTCGAAGGGAAACGTTCATCTCGAGCGAACTGGGTCCAGGACCTCGGACACTGTCTTCGGAAATCTAAGCCTAGGTATCGCTCTCCCATCAAAAGCCTAAAAGAACTGTGTGAGGATGTCACATGGCACGAATCATCATGACGAAGAGCATCAAAATTCATTATCGGGGGGGCATGTGACGGATCTCGCCCTGTGGCAGATGAGCTGCTGCGTAGCAATGCATATAAGAAGTATTGCCCTTACTTGTCAAGTACGAACTCTCAGCAGGGCCGAATAGGAGTAGATGATCCCTCCGGGGGCCACTTCTGATCTTTGATTCGAGGCCACAATGGCTTGCCGAGACGACTGTCACTCTGCCGAGTTTGCAACGCCGACGAATGCTTCCACAATGCAGGTATTCCCCAGGAATACGCCGGGAGAATGGACGACGAAGGCTGGAATCTATGTCTGATGAAAAGCGATTTGCCTATTGCACCATACAATGTCCTGGTCGAAGGCAGTTGCTCTGCGGTCCTGTGGTTGTGGCATCGACCAGAGACGTATACTCACCATGGTAGCCTACGTGGTTGAAAACCAAAAGGATGTAGTTCTCTCATTGGACGTCTTTATGTACCTTGATACAACCCGCCGGGAGAATCTTCATCGTAGTCGCTCGTCCCAAGGCCTAAGCAACGAAACCAAAGCTCTGGAGCCTGTCCCTGTTCGAGAGTATGAGAACATCTGGCTACGACTTCGTATAAAATTTCCCAGATGGAGGACAAGGTGTCGGTTGAACAGTCATACGCCGAGGATTGTTCGTTCTTGTTGATTTAATGGATGTGTTTCCGCGAAATTTCGTGGCCGCAACTTATTTTCGCCTAGCCAGCGTGTTCAACATCCAAGCAAACAACGACCAATACTCAGAGAACGAAAGTGAAGCAGGACGGAGGTAATGCACGATGCGAATCCCGTGATGAGATATGCGGACGCACGAAGTACACCGGTTTCGCTCGTTCCTCGCCAGGTCAGGCAGAAGTCTTTACAACGATCGGTACAGAGGAATCGTTTCTGAATTCATGTGCGTGTTAGCTATTCAAGACGAACGCAGTCAGACTCCGTCATGATACCGCCGCACCGAGTGGAGGAGAACCCACGACATCCAGCTCCCGCCCAGCCCAGAGAAAGTAGGTCTAGATGCAGACGAGGATACTCCCGAGTCACTAACCACGAAACGTCAGTCGAAGCCGAGTACCGCCATGGGATCGGGGTCTTAATATCGTGGTTCTCGGTATATAAGACGTGGATCTCAGAGATGCGAATGTGGTCGCATTGCTTGCCGGGTAGTATCCTCTTTCTATTCATGCTCCTACAAGACTCCCAGAATTTACAAGCTCAACAGAGCCATCGGCAGGTAGTAGGAACAAGATAATACGCCAGGCGTCGGTGGCGTGTTGGCAATGAATAATCAACAGCTATACAAGACGAACGACGAGGGAGAGAAGATGTAGGCGGCATATCATCTCAGCTCTTGACGCCGGGGGTGAGATCCAGGCACATATACGCGGTCGCCGTCGGGATGCAAACGTTATCCTGCCGAATGCTATTGCAACAGCCAACCTTATCATGACTTGGGCTTCATTCGGCTTGCTTTCCTGTCTAGTACTGTCGCCCTTACCTCCAATTTATAGACTCCGTTATCTGCGCAGAGAAAGGGGGGGGACATTCTTTCTCTCTTGACGATCTTCGTTTCGTTTCCAACTTTTGAAATCAGGAGATGTCCTTCGTCACGAACCGCCAACTTCCTACATGTCACCATACTCAGTGTGGATGTTACCAGGCTCACTGCCGTCGACACTGGATAGACATAGCCAGTCCCGACGAAATTACGAAACGAACCTCGTCTGAGAACAGGAAATGCCGACAAATCTGGTATAAAGAAGCATCGCGCAGAGCTCTTGTAGTTGTCGTTATCGCCAGCATTAAGAAAACTGGACTGACGCTCGCGCTGGCACCACCATCTCTTTCGATGTGCTCGGGAAAATAGCGAAACAAGACAGCACGTCCGCGGCGTACATGAACGCTAGACGTAAAAATGCAACATCAAACCTCGCTGCGACTTTTAGTCACCGTCGACATCCTTCCGCGTCGATCCCCGAGTATGAGGCCCCGCCCATCGCCATTTCGAAGTCCTGACGCAGCCATCACGCAGCCATCACGCAGATTCCTTCACTTTACAGCCAAACGGGCTCAAGGCGTGCCATTATTGAAAAAATTTCCGACTTTGCTCCAACACAGTTGTGGGCTTCAAAAGAAGAAGAGAGCGAATCAAGATCATCATCATTTATATAAACATCATACACTCCGCCGTTCTTTGTGTTGTGAAGTCTCAATTCCGCGAATAGCTTCAAACCCCCACAAGACACGATGAAGCAGGTGGTAATGGCATTAATAGTGTTGCCTGCCTGCCACTGTGAAAAGAGCTTAAAAATGATAGGACCATTTTTCTTGTTGGCATTAAGCCGACGCGGCTCCTCATCATCAGCGAATGCCGTGCGTCGACATCGCCTTCATTACGATGCTACCGCCCAACTTTCTCGGAAGGGAGGCTCTAATGCATACTAGCTCAAGAGACCGTCCAGCCGAGATCAGAAATACGCGGAGCCGAAAAGCCCAGCCCTTCAACGGCCGAGAAACATCTCAACAGAAATTGAACTGCAAAGGCCGCAAGCGTCGTGTAAGACAACGATCGCGCTACAACATCGACTAAACCGCCTGCTGAAACCACACTGGTGACGCTGTGATATGTTTTAACTATCCGAAGGGGTTTTAGATCTTCTGCATCGTATCTGGCATATCACTCTCAAGATGCGCGCAAGCAGGAAGCAGTAGTGGTCAAGAAAGTGATTGGGATGGATTTTATTCATATCGACCGCCGTCGTGACGGGTCTAAGTATGCTTTTGATGGAGGCTAATCCTCTCTGATCAAATCTCAGCATGTGTAAAAGCAAGTCCATCCTTGATGCCATTATCCAAAAAATCCCGGTACCTATAGCCATCTGCAGGTCCTCTTCAAACCGCGAAAAAGAAGTGAACATGATTCTTCCCGTCTGTTCGGGAGATGTGGTATCAAAGCATTGATGCAAAATCAGACATACAACGCAAGAAAGTAGACACTGAGCTGTACAGTAAGGGCTTTCGCCGACTGATTCAGGCTCAATCAGACATGATTGGAGTAACGACAAATGTTTTCTCAAATGACAGTGTGACAGGAAGGGTACATGAGTTGTTCATAGACGAGGGTGAGATCATGACGTTCGTTCATGTCGTAGCTCAACGGAGGCGATGCTTGGGTATCTAAACCAAGCTCGACTTCTTGCGCCGGCCAAACATCTTGGAGAAACCGCTGCTGCTGCCACTCTGCTGCTGCTCGGGCGGAGGAGTGAAGCGGGCGGATGGCGCCTGCGGCGGCGGATCCGCATTGCGAAGGAATGATGCTAGGTCGCCGGTTCGGCTTGTAGATGAGACAGCCTCCCTAGGCTCGAACTTCTTCATCGGCACGCGCCCGGCTGAGGAATGCATAGCGGGTCGATTGGCAGTGGCGTCGACAGCCCCGTTCTTGTCTTGACCAGAAGACCCGCTGACTTGAATGGGAACGTGACCATGAGCAGCTCCGGCCCGGCTGTTCAATGAACGACTGTCGACCTTTGGCGGTTTCGCGCTGTTCAGTCCAGCGTTGCTGTCCTTTCGTGAGAAGCGGCCAATAAGGCTGGGCGCACTGGCCTTTCTCTTGATACTTTGGGGGACGACAGGTGCGGCAGGCTCGGGCGGCGGGGAATAGTTCTTGAGGAAGTCCGCCAAGCTCTCCTCCTTTTTCGGGGGAGGTCGAACGGCTTGTGCGTAGTCTTCCTCGTCTTCGTCGCTCAAGTCGATCGCGTACGGGTCGCGAACACGTCGTCTGGTACGCTTCGGCATCATGTCGTCGTCATCGAAGGCATTGCCGCTAGGGCGGTTGTTCTTAATCAGCGCGCTCTGGGAGTTGATCGATGACTGGACAGAAGGCATCGTGATGTCGGTCACAGCCGTCGATGCCTGGCTGTAGCGAATGTCGGGCAGGCTAGCGTCGACTGCTTTGCCGCCGACGGCGCCAGACATCTGGTCAGAGTCCATTGTAGTTCGGAATGGTGCAACAGTCCTGGGAATGCGAGGATTACTCGCACTGGGAGGTCCGCGGCGAATGAAGTCAATCAGGTCGGAGTTATCTTCCCGATTATCGACAGCAGCATCGCGTGCCTGAAGGCGGGGTCGATTGTTGGATGACGAGATGCGTCTCGAGTCGAGACTATGCTTCACAGGCACAGGCGGTGGTCCACTGATGTTGCGTAGCGGTGCAGGTCCGTTATCAGCAGTCGGGCCAGTAGAGCGGATAAAATCCGCGAAGTCGTTCATGGCGGTATCGCGAGGAACACGAGCGTCTCTAGCCATGGGTCCGTTTGTTCTCGATCTGGTCAGTGTCGTGCTGGGAGGTGCTCTAGGAACGAAGCCTTTGGGTTTTGTTTCAACAGGATGAGAGTTTAATCCTGTTGCGCGGCTGACAGACATAGTTCTTCTGATGTCAGCGCCGGAAACGGAACGGTTCCGTTCACCACTCATGGCCGTCCGAGCATCCTCGCTTCGTCTCGACTTGGAACCCACGACCGGGCTTGCGGTACGTGCCCGATTCCCCTGATTTGCTGTTAGCGACGCGAGCGAAGTATCAGTGAAAGTACAACTTACATCCATGTCACGCATGCTTTCCGGAGTAAGCGTGTACTGAATGGTTTGGTCGCTTTGGATGAGTTCCTCGAAGTTGCGAGCGAGATTGTCGGCGCGACCAGACGCCTTGCTGTCCTCGGATGTTCGAACCGCCCTGATCTTACCGGTACTAGAGGAACCAGAAGAACCAGATGCGCGAAGGTGGTTGGGGCGCTCGGGAGAATCGCGGTTAGCCGTCCGGTCAACTGAGACAACACCAATACTGGCTGCCGGTGAGTGAGTGCCTTGGGCCGTTCGGCCTCCGCTGCGGTCAGGCAGAGTCGGTGTGGCATGCGGTCGGCTGCGTGGAGAGGGTAGGCGCTCCTCGACAAACGGTCCAGAGGTGTTGGTGTTGCTCAAGATGGTGACCTTGGTCGCAGACTGACTGTGTTGGTGGCGAGGAGAAGGCTGTTGACGGGCAGGGTTGAAAATTGCTTGTGACGCCCTGATTTCCGGCGTACCAGCTTTGGGGGTGGGTGTTGAGGCAGGGGACTCCAACGAGGCTGTCGCAGCCGTCCTTGCTACATCTTGACGCGAGGAGCGATGTTGAACTTCTTCTTCCTCGGAGATGGACTCATTGGTATTCTGCCTGCGAGACAGTTTCTCAACTGGAGACCGGGTGCGCGGCGTCGCAGTGGATGAGCGGATGATGGTGTCGACCTCCACCGGCTTTGGCTTTGGCTTTTCTTCAACGATGGGCGGAGTCGACGCAGAACGAGAAACACTGCTTGCGCGAGACAAGTTGGGCGCCTGAGAGCGGTCTGAGGCTTCAACGGACGACGTTCTCGATCCTCCAATGGGGCTCTTGGGGCCACGCACGTCGACAACGCGAGCTGAAGGCGTTCTCTTGAGACCCATAGGTGCAACCACGACAGCTTTACCAGACTCGGAGACGCTTGGTGAGCTGCGACCAGCAACCGACACTCTACTAGAAGTGCAAATCTCTACCTCCTCATCCAGATCGTCAATATCGCCATTGTCCTCGTCCGCTGGCTCGGGTTTGGTTTGGGCCACCGCCACTGTGGTCGCTGTGGCGACTTCTGCCACAACAGTTGTTGGCGATGCTGCGACCGAGGCGACCTTTTGAGAGGTGCGGTTCGGGTTCCGGGGCTTGATCTCGGGAGCCTCGTCAGCCAATACCTCAGGCTTGGTCTCTTTCACAACCTCGATCGAAGGCTCCTCGGTTTCCTCGACTGTCTCAGGTTTGATTGCTTTTTGGTCGACGATCTTGGCCTCCGCAGGTAATTCTTCGGTGGATATCTCCTTGTCGGCGGAGCTCTTGGGGTCTCCCTCTTGGTCGGCCAGCTCTGTTGGGATCGGCTCAATTTTGGCGCGTTTGAGAACAGGCGAGGCGTACGGCGAAGGCGACGGAGTGGGCAAAGAATTTGAGCGCTTGCGACCGGAGGTAGCGGTTGGGGTATGCGGTTGAGACATTGTGGGGGTGGGCAGGTCATTGCTGGGCTGGGACGTGAAGATCATCAGGCTCTTCGGCCGTTGCGCCGCCGGCTCCTCCTCCTCATTTTCTGAAGCCTCGTCATCGCTGTATGAGGCGAGACCAGGCACTTCAATCTCGTCGATGTCGCGGTCGCCAATTGGTAAGGGAACGGCCGATGCCTTGACGTATTCCTCCACGCGATCGAGTTCGGGCTCCTCTTTTGTCGCTTCCTGGATCCCGAGACCATTGGCTGGAATGTTGTCGGCAGTGCTGTTCTGTCTGAAATGGCCAGAGGGTTTGCGTGAGAACGGGCGACCATCCAGGGCCGGAGATCGAATCCTCTTCTTCCAAGAGCGCCACAGCCTGCCCAAGGTCCTGTCGAGGGCAACTCGTTCCATGTCCAGCTCTTCGACCACAATCCTGTCGGCAACATCGGCAATGCTCTTTGCGCCTTGCTTGGGCTCCTTTTCGAACTTCGATCGGAGTCGGTGGTACGCCGCTTGGCCGGCAACTACAAGGGCCTGCTCGCCCATGTACTCGAGAATGGAGGTTAGGAAGATGGCGACGGCTGGCGAGATGATTTCAGGGCCGCGTTCGTCGACCCCTGGCTTGAGGTTCTCCTGCTCCATGTAATAATCTTCGTCCTCCTCTTCCATGTCGCCGAGCGAGGAGTAGACCATGCACCTCAGACGCGTTCGCTTCCAGACGAGTTCCAGATCCCAGTCCTTTGGCGAGGAACTCGCGCCAGATGGCTGGACGAAGTCGTCCTCATCCCCACCGCCCAGGTATTCCCGCAATTCTTCATCGGCTTGGTTGATGGCGTCTTTGGCGAGTTTCGGCTTCAGAACTTCGGATACCGCCGGTCTCAGGGCTGACAGGGTCGTTGCGCGCGACGCTGAGAGGAAGTTGAAAAGCAGCTGGTCGAGGAAACTGTTGACGAGTTGAAGCGCGGCTGTGGAGACCAGAGCAGTCTCTCCAGCGGGCTCGACTCCATGTTGATCGTACCACGTATCGGCGTGGCTGTCGTGGTCGTTGGTTACGATCTGAGAAGCGGCGGAGGCGGCAATGAAGGCGGGTTCGGGTGTGACTGAGAGGGGAGGAGACATCAGGCCGACGCTCATGATTGTGGAAGGGCGATCGCTCGAGACGCTTTGAGTGCGCGACCTCGTTTGGAACTGAGGAGATGGTATAACAGAGGGCGACCTCGACGCAATGGTCGAGTCAGCGCCGGTGTAGGCCATGTTTGCCGAAGGGTCGGATCTATAAGTTGAGAAGACCAGCACAGCAGGTCTCCCGGGGCCTCGTGAGACCACAGGAGATTAGATTGAGGCGACACAAATATTGGCGATGGGCGTTGTCTCGCAAGCGGACGGAGCTGGGCCTATCAGGGGTGTCGGCTGAGGCAGCTCTGGCGGAAGGTGTTTGCAAATATTACAGAATTGCTTATGTGGGAGGGACGGCTGGGAAGTATGACGGATGGCTGCGTGATGCTAGTTGTTAGCGGACCTTTTTCTTTTTTATTAATCGAACAAGCGGCAGCGACTGCAGAGCTGAAACACCTGGTCCAGGGCCGCATGGCAGTAAAGGACCTGTGTGTGATCCACTTGAGGAGGCAAGAGGCAGAGATTCATGCGTGGTAACCACGTCCTGCAGAAGGAGTGCCACTGCGGGGAGAAGGGGACGTAGAACGGGCGAATTGACTGGGTGCAGGCGCAAGAAGAGATGATCAACCCGAGGGAATGGTGGACATGCTGGGAAAAGGCGTGGGCGGCAGGCAATAAAGTCTGATTGCGGTCCGAGAGGCAAGGAAGCCGTGGATTTGGCGAGTGAGGGACCAACGAACGGGTTGACAGAGTGTCGAAGCGCAGACGGGCGCGAACATGGGGGGAAAGTTGACTTTGGGGACGCAGTACAGTATCCGTTGATCCAACTCTCTTTTTCTTTGCTGGCTGGGCGACGGCATCGAGTCGTGATGGGTGATGGGTGATGGGTTGGTTCGGGGGTGACAATTAAACATAAACAACGTCGCAGCCGCAAACACACGTACCTTATAAATTGAGAGAACAGAGTTGTCGGTATAGCGGTATAGCGGTATAGCAAACGAAAATGAAGGCGCGTCGTGCGAGGTCGGTTGTTCAGGTATGTCGTGATGGTGGTAATGGTAGTGGTAGTGGTGATACAGAGCTGAGATGCTAACGATTGGTTGTTTGGTTTGCGGCCAGCGGACACAGGTCGGAGAATGGCGAGATGAAAATAGGAATCGCGATGTATGAAGCTGAAGCTGTTGCGATGTTTACGAGAAGGAAGGGGAACAGAACAAGAGAAGAGAGAATGAGCGATCGAGCGAGCGGAGCGAGGTGAGAGTAGGTAAAGGTAGGTAGAGGTAGGTAAGGAAGGTAAGGTAGGTAGTTAGAGAAAGAATAATGTCAGGTCGACCTGAGCTCTCAAAAAAGATGCAGTTGCGCTTGCACAGGCGCAGGAACAGGAGCAGGAGCAAGCGCAAGAGCCACAAGTGACCACAAAAGCCAAAGAAAACGGACAACGAGTCGTCGAGAAGAAGCCCGGGGCGGCAGAGACCAGGACGAAACGGGAAGTCTAGGTCCCTAGTCTCAAAGGTATTTTTTGTGCGGCGTCGTCTTTGATGTACAATATGGTTTCTTTAGTGCAGGTGAGGTGACATAAGGGAGTTTCTCCTCTAGTTCTCCGCAAGATGCGCCTTTTCCTCCCGCGTTTCCAAGTGTAAAAAAAAAGGACTCTCTATTAATTTTTTCTTGCTCTTTCGCGGTGGCTACAGCTCCGTCCCTGAAGTCTGAAGTGTGCCGTTGTAAGGTACCTCGAGGCGCGAGGTGTGGGTGGTGCATCTGGAAGGATATCCACCATTCAGGTACGAGGCCGAAATGTACGTAGTACATGCATGCATATGGGGCAATATGTGGCATGCAAAGTCCAGGGACTTGCAGCACTCCTGGTCTCGGGGTCTTGATCTTGGCCCTTGTGCCTTGTGCTTGGGAACTGGACTCTGGACTGGCACCGGCGCGGGATGACTTGACTGGACTGGGACACTGGAGGGGAGGGGAACTTTTTTGACTTGCATTCGGCCGACATTTTGGAGGGTGGGGCAGCCGCAGAAGAAGGAGAAGAAGAAGCTCTCAGACGCAATGGAAAAAGACAGTGACAGCCAACATTGCGGCCGTGACCACGCACAGAACCTGAAGTACGAAGTACTAGGTAGAGGTCGACGTCGAGGTCGGATCGGAGATACGTACCGTTCGCTCGCGTTTTGGGTTTTGTTGGAGGAACGCGAGACCTTTCCCAACTGCTCAGAGCCCCCGGAATCTAGCGTCAATTCCGCGCCCGTCTTTCTCCAGACTGGTGGAATGGTTTTGGTGACTGTCTGCCCATTGCCCACACTACCAGGAAACTTTTGAAGACCCCCCTTGCAGTGTGGAGGAGGAACGTCACGATAAGACGCGTATTGGTAGCCCGCTGTCGTGACTTGATGGTTCGAAACCCCCATCAAATCAAATAGAGCGCAAGTTGAGTAGGATTCAAGGCCTACTGCGCTCTTTTTTTTCGTTCATGGAGTTCCAGCTATCGCTCCGGGCTCGCAGTACCTACTCTGCACCTACCAAATACTGAGATACTTGGCCTAACGAGATGGATTCGCCCATACTCATTGACCCCGGGTCCCTGTCATAGCGACCAAGCCCCCCGTGGTGGCCCCCTTTTCTGGTGTTCCTGGTAGATGAGGATGGATCAGTGACCCGTTGACGACGAAACAACGGCTTCAAGACGGGTATCGCGTTTCCTGTCTCGAAATGCTACGAAAGGCAATGCCAACGTCTGTCAGATGACGGGTATTACTAATAACACGGAACGGTATCCGTTAGGTAGTTGCTGCCAAAGCCAAATACACGGCCATTTTCGGCCCCTGAACTGAAAGCCTCAGCAGAATATCAGTCACTGCCGTCCTCAAACCACCTCATCTTGATGAAAAAGGGGAAAGAGAATAATATGGGAAAAGTCTCCGACTGCTAAGAGCCGGACGAATCGGCAGAAACTGACCTCACACTCTCTGGTGCCAACCAGTCAGGGTACAGATGCGAGGTCGCAAGGAGAGTGGAGGACTGGTTAATTAGACGTGAAGGGACCCTGGCCCTTGGCCGTGTCCAGCCTGGCCCTGGTCTTCAAGTCTTGACCGGGCCATCGACTCTGCTCGCCGCACATCACCTTGTCTTCCGTCCAGACCGCCCGGCGAGGGGCTCTCGTGGTCATGGCTCGAGCATCGGCAACGGGGACCGCAATGAAGAACAGGAGATTTTGGGTCGGGGAAGAGCCCGACCGATCGAGACCGGGGCAATCCAATTCAATAGTCCAATCCAATCCAGTCCGGTCTGGTCCGCGCTATTGCCATCTCTGGTCCATTACCTTAGCATATTCATCTCGTCTCGTTCGTTCGTGATGTTACTTTGTATTGGATGTGAACAACGAAGGCAGGTAGTATCGGAAACACTGTCAGGAAGGAGTGACATCCATCATGGATCGTCATGTTTTTGGAATCTCGAGAAAGAAAGAAACAAGCACCACCCACTTCAATATGCGACGCTTCCAAGCGAAACACAGTGTGTATTTGCCTCGCAATTTACTAACCATCACACTGTATACTCGGTCAAGTCAACCACACCTTCTTTACCTTACCTGACCGACCTGCACCTTCCCCCAACCAACTTCCATCACTAGCAACAAAGAGCAGGAAGCCATCATCACCAACGACTAAACAAAAGCTAAATTTGTCTCCTCATGAGACGTTGCTTCCTTTCGACTTCAAAGAGAGTGGCAAGCCATTTCTGTGTCTAATCTTCCACAGATCGAGACCGTCGCTTGCCTACCTTACCTTACCGTCCGGCAGCTACTCACTTCAACGTCCCGAGACACTTTGAATCGAACCTCGAACAGCTCGCATGACACAATGACTTGTGCGGCGTGCCAGCTTGACGTCGGCTCTCTTGCTTTCTGCTCGCTTGCTCATCCTCTCACTAACATCATGCCACGAGGTGGACTGACTCGTTGCTTCTTTCCGCCTTAATACTGCAGAAGCAACAATATCGCGTTGCACTTTCAGTGTTTCTCGTGCCGAGTAACATCTCCGCCCGCCACTCCGCTTGTGTCAGACGAAAAAGAAACGTCCATCAGATGCTGATGACCGCCTGCCTTACCGCTTCCCGCCCGCAGCCTTCCTGGGTTCCGCCTTGTCGGTCTTGACAGCTCACACCAGACTTGCACTCAAGGTGACCTGCAGTGTTGCTCAAAGTACACACACCACCAGCTCATACAGTGCAAACGTCACATCGTCTTGCGGTCTGCGACGTCCCATCCTCCTCCTGAGATGTGCTCCTGCAGCACTCGACGAAGCATATCCATAAGCATCTTGGATGACACTTCGCTTACTCCTTTCTCGGCCTCTTTTCAGGTATCCAGCCCTTTTGGATCCCAAAACTCGGGACTTGGCTCTCAATAAGCCTACGAATGCCGGTCTTGTCAGGAACAGCCCCGCCATCCTGCATCCGTCCAAGAGGCTTGCCGGAGTAACGAAACGAAACGAGCGGGCAGGGCCGGTTTGTTGCGCATTCCGGACGGGGACACGGTTCTCAGACCTCTTCATCAACATCAGTTGAAAGCCAAGAACAAACCAAGGATGACATCTCCCGCGATTGTCGCATCCGAGGCCATGGGGATCCATCTCCAAAGCTGCCTCTCCACTTTCGCCGTCGCCGCCGCCCGATAATACCCAGCGCACACATGCAGCATGCTCCGACTTTATCGCCATGCTCGACAACCTTAGGACGGACTGGCGCATTTTATTGGAGTGCCATCAGGAAGCAACGACGCCCGAGCGCCATCCCAGCATTGGGGAGATCGCCGAAGCATCAACAACTTGCGCGCCAATATTGACACGCCGTCTGCTGTCAGAATCTCAACCCCGATGTATGCAACATCGTCCTCGCCTCGCACAGACTAGGCGCTCTTCAACAATAGGCCAATGCACTCGTCAATCTGGTCCCCTATCGGATACGCTGCCTCAGCAAACAGCTGGTGGCGACGACTGAGCGACAATCCAGCACCGAGCACTTCCATGTTCAAGCTGACGCAAGCTGCAAGACAACACAACACACGGGTGCCCAAGAACTCAAGAGACAAATGGGCTAGCCAGTCACAACGTTGCGCGATGAGGTTCCGAGACTCTGAATCACTAGACTCTCCACCAAATGGAACCACAGCAATTAATCTGTTGGCGTAGTCTACTTGCCCCCAGAAATCTCCACTGCGTCTTTAATGGACTGATCTGGCGGGGCTCAAGGGCGGCCGGTCAGACCCCCAGACTCTTCAGAACGTCGTTTGTCATTAAACTCTGGGCCGCTTACCACCAAACATTGTGGCAGCGAGATGACGATATGCTGCTCCGCCTCAGCACACGAGGCCGTCCTAAATCGAAACTGAAGCCCATTCCAGGCATGGCTGTTTTCCGGTCTGAGGCTTTTCCCGCCAACATCGGCTTGTCTTGGACCGGGGTGCTAATTCGCGCCAGCTCTTTTTTGGGTCTACCAGAGGCGCACGCGCTGGGTTGCTATTCGACGATCCGTCCCAAGTGTTCGCCTTCGTCAACGACGGTGCCTGGCTATTCACATCGAAGTAGTCCAAGCGTCGGCTTCCGCAATTCGATAGTTCATCGACGTACCGTTACGCTGACGCGGTGCGAGACACAAGGAGCGCCTCTGCTATTTTCATGATCTTGAGCTGGTAGTACTGGTTGGAAGATGTGGACGCCTGGGCCTACTATGCCACACGACGGGCTGGTCAAACCTTCAGAACGAAGCTATTCAACTTCCAAAGCCATTGCTTCATCTTCAGTTCAAGCCTGTGGCTGATGCAGCACAGGTTTTCTAGGCCATTCCGGCAACTTCTTCTATCCTCAACGAGCTCCAACTTCCGCCTCTCCGAACTGTTCAGTTGGCTCCCGTCTGCTGGCACACTGGCGCCGTCGTTTTTGTCCAGCGCATCCCGTCCTTCGGCCAAGTCACCGTCACACGCCGCGGATGTTAATTTGAATTGGGATAGGGCTGGCTGTGGTACTCCTTGCAGTCGAGCTAGGCTTTTATTCAGCCAACCAGCTTGAGCTCGCTGCTTCGTCACGACGAATGTACTGGGTGGCTTCGGAGCAAGCGCTGCGGTGTCATTAGGAGATCTGCTCAGTTCAACAGATTGATCGAAGGGGATTTCTTATTGCCAACAGTTCACATTGGCTCACGGTTAGCAGCTCGAGAAATATGTCGCCGGCGCTGCATAGCGATCTACAATTGGCAAGGCAAGGACGCCGCGGCGTCGAGACGTCCAGCCGATTTTCAATACTGAACTTATACTTCGGGACGCTGACTTCATTCTCAACACCACAGCCGTCGAAGAGTGTTTGCTTCTATATCTCGGGCGTCAGCGGAAGCAAACAAGCTCGCACCCGGCTTATCATGCACCAGCTCGTCCAATGTCCTCTCTCCTCGACGTAATATTTCAAGCAAACAAACAACATATGCCGAGGAATTAGGGACAGGCATCTCGGTAGGGAATGCCTTGTGGGCAATCATTCTTTATGCTGCAGATACTTGCATTTTCGGATTGCTGCAAACAGCGCAAACATCAGAAACATGGCCTGGCACCCTGGTTGCAAACGCATTGTTCATGTTTGCTTCCCGTTGCCTGCAAGGCGCGTGGGCTTCACCAATGCCACGCATCCATCTCTGGGCGATCGATGAAAAGGCAGGGAAGAATTGTTTCCTCTCCCGCCGTTATTATCGATTGCTGCTTCCGGTCTTCCGTGCCGCATTCCAAAGCTCGCCACCCGGCCCGAACATGGTGTAATTCTGAGGCAAACAAAGAAGGGCAAAACAAAGATGTTCCGCGATAACGGTAATGGCCTCTTCTCACCCCCGCAAGTTGGCATCTGCCCTTGTCCGCCAGATCAAAGTTTCAAGCAAGTTGGGTGGTCTTTGCTATTCGAAAGCTACGGTCTACCTCTCCCATTTTCCTAGTCGAGCGGGATGCATGGTCTCCATCGAGAATGGATTCTCAATGGTTGTCATCTCGGTCGTTAAGTCCTTCCACCCTTCCAATCATTGAACAGATCGAGAGAATCTTGCCAGGCTGCGACTCAGCCGTCAAATATGATGCTCACGTGGGGACAGTGATCAAAATAACTCGCATAGGGCTACTTCGAGTTGTCAGGCATACTGGGAAGTCAATAGTGTCGTCGATTTAGCACTACTGAGCATTTGAAGCAACACATCAACACCCACAGTAACACTTACTATCCACCATTGTAATGCACTCTGCGGAATCAACCAAGCTCAAAGCTGTGCTCCCCGGAACCGAAAATCCCTACCTGATCTAACCCAGGGAACGGAAGGCCGCCTACCGGATATCGTGACACGCACCAGCACCCTGGCAAAGGCTTCTTGGAAAGGACGAAAGGAGACTGTCCGCTTCTATCCTAGCTCCCCAGCCGTGCGCCGCCTCGTTCCAAGACACGCAGGACTGGCCGCGCCTTATATCGGTGGACTCACTTGTCAACGGTGAGGCCTCGGGCGCGTTTGTTTGGGGCTTCCCTCCGTCGCCGCCTCTGCTCGATCTGTCTTCCGTTTTGAGCCCGCAACTGGCGCGTGGGGTGTTGGCAGTTGGGCCCTTCAATCTGCACATCCCACGGGGCCAAGGCAAACTGCATCGTTGAGCCGATCGTTTGTTGGCGGTGACCGGATCAGCCACAAGCAAACAGGCGCTTTCTTTTTTGGCTTCCTGCATTGGGACATGCAACTCCAGACCTATCATATTATACTCGGTGTGACGGAGGGCTCCAGACGCCATGTCATTGATATGCCTTGCAGGTAAACACCGCAGACGGCATGCGCGGGCCGTCCACTCAACCACAATTCATATGCGCGCAAGTTCAGTGCCTGCACAGATTTACCCACAGCAGGAGACGCGGTCGAAATTCGTATGTCGGCATCTGCATAACGCTAGATCTGCGGCTGCAGCAAGTACGCCGCGGCACGTCGTCGGTTTTGGCTCGAAATACCAGCAGCCCTGAAACGAGCATCCTTGGTCTTCCGCTGCTGCGTCGGTGGCGGTGGAACCGTGCCGGTGAGATGAGCCTCTGCTCGCCTCCATGCGGCGTGGCTTCCTGCAGTCACATTGAGTCGCGGAAGGCCATGGCACGGCGCGTTACAAAAAAGTTTTTCCTTCTTCTAGATGTTCTGAATTTGTTTGCCTCCCGCATGACTGCGGCTCGGCCGCCTGCTTCTGCGGTGTCATTGACATGGCTCATTTCGCATCAGAGAGCTGTCTTCGTCTACGCGCCCAATCATAAAGATGATAACAAGGTTAGTCGAGATCAAACGGTCCCAGCCGAAGATCCCAACGATGCTTGATTCCGTAACTTACCTGCACAACGGCGGCGCCGTGCCGCCTCGACCGAAGCTCCGTCTCATCGGGCCGCAAGCCGAACCTCTCCCGAAGTCACCGGGGCCCGGCCGAACTTATACTTGATGCCAAGAAGTACACTCCGTCTCGAAATGATGCTCGTCCGTCTTTTCCTCTCTATCGGTTAGTATCGAACCGTCACCAGCAACACTCACACTCGTTTTCTCCTCGGCCTTTGCCCCTCCCGCCTCCGCGTTGATCTCAGTGTGCCCGGTCTCTTGCCCGGTCTCTTGCCCGGTCTCGTTCTTCTTCTTACTAGCGCCCTCCATCGCGCGGCGCATCACCTCGCTGAGAATGGTAAGCCTATCGCTGACAACATCGCCGGTGAGAGGGAGTTCACCGGACCGGGTGAGGACCTCCTGCTGCCAGTCCCGTCGCCGGCACGGCAGGCACTTGCCCTGCCTGCGGAAGACGCCCTCGGGGATCGTGTCCGGGCAGCTCGCGCCGCTGAGACTAATGGCGGTGGACTTTGGACACGCCCAGATGACGTGGTGGCCTGAGAAGCAGCCGCATGTCGTGTAGTATATGTTTTCGGCGGTGCACATGGCATTGCTGCTTGCTCGTGATGGGCGATCCGTGTGTACGTGAGTGTGGTGGGTTTGTTCCTTTGCGTTCTTGGCACATCGTGATATATCTGCTCTTGGCTTCTCTGGGGGTGTGGTGTTTCTATAGGCAAAGCCTGAGTGAGATTATTCTTGTTGATGGACATTGCGATTGTGCCTTTGAGCGAGGACACAATGGCTCTGTATTGATGAATCGAGGCATTGTCATTCTTCAGGGACAAGGGGATTCTTCGAGTATGTGTCTGTGTTGGAGATATCAGATCACTTTGTCCACTTTGAAAGAAAAGGCGGACGAGGGTGAGATCCTGTCAAGGATCTTATTCATTACGAGGTGCGGTTCACTGCATGCCAGGTTAAGTGACTTTTACGTCTGCACTTCCACAGCAAATCTATACCATCCCAAGAGACAGGACTGAGGGGTGGTAATGGACGAAAGTGGTTCTCATTGTCTCTTCGGGGACTCGGATCAAGTCGTTCGTGGACAATACTCTTTAAAGAGGAGACTGCGTATTGTTCATTGATAATATTCATTGTGATGCGCTACGTCGAGGGTGGCGAGGAAGAACGGACTTGAAAGACTCTTTATTCAGAAACATGAATCGATAGTTGAAGTCCGAAGCTGAAGCTGGAATCGAAGCGCATGGTCTGAGAAATGCTGTATGTTCCGTCGAAATAGTATCAATTCTAAAGGTAAAAAGGTGCGATTTATGTTCAGGACCTGATGCTGATGTCCGTCTAAATCATCGAGAGTTGCTTCCGTCGACAAGACCAACGTGTTCCCCCTTTGCACGATCTACCAGACCCAACCCCTCATCAAAACCCACACAACCTAATCGACCAACCGCGCGAGGTGAACACCGTCATAGAGCGGCATCAGCCAGCTGTCCAACCTCTCGCTCTCCCTGACCGCCTTGTTGAACTCCCGCAGCTTGTCGACGTCCTCGGACTTCCAGTAGGCCGCCCTCTCGCCCTTCTCGCGCTGCACCCACGGGTTGCCGTCCGAGTCGTCGGCCACGATGCCGCGGCGGAGGACGTTGTCCGCGACGATGAGGCCGCCCTCGCGCAGGAGGCGCTTGCCCCCGCCGGACGCCGGGGACGAGGAGAGGATCGTGGAGAGGTAGGACGGGTAGCCCGACTTTTGGGCGTCGATGAAGATGAGGTCGTAGGGCTCGTCTGGTTGTAGGGTTGGGAGGCTGTGATGGCTTTTAGCTTTGTGATGTCTTCGGGGGTGGGAAGAATTAGAAGCATACGTCGTGAGAGCGTCGCCGACGATGACGGACGCGTTCGTGATGCCGTTGGCGGCCCAGGCTTCTTCGGCTTGCTTTGCGTACTTTGCGTCGAACTCGAGACCTGTTACGGTGCCGGATGGACCGACGGCGTGAGACCAGACCATGCCGGAGTAGCCTACGTAGACTCCGATCTCGAGAACTAAGATTTTGTTAGTTGTATGACTTCGAATTTGGCCTGCAGAACTCGGTTGAGAATGTCCTAGTCGTTGGTGACCAAGTTGCCGAGTAAAGCTGAGCGTATTCAAAAAACGCAAGGGTTCATGCGTACTTCATCTCGTCACATTTCGCGAAGCGGAATACCCCGATCATGAATTCGCAGGCTTGTATAGCAAACGTGAAGTTCCAACAACTCATGACAAGACAGTAAAGACGGGAAAACTCACCCCTCTTGGCCCCGATGAGCTGGGCCAGCCAGATGTGATTCTGCGCCTGGAAGTTGCTGATCATGAGCATCGACGTCTCGGGCTGCGTGGCGTCGATGTGATCGTGGTACGCCACGATGTGCGCGGGCAGCGGCGTGGAGCTGCTCTCCGAGTACTCCGTCACCTTGCGCGAGACTTGCTCGTTGGGGTAGAGCACCGAGACCGAGGACTTCATTTTCGAGGAGCGGGAGATGAGAACGGTATGTTTCTGTGTGGCGATTCGGAAGTGCTTGGTTCCGGGAGATTTCGTATGCTGGGGAAGAGGTCAGTCTGCTGTTCGGGTCGAGAAGAGAAGGGAGGCAGCTCACAAGCGCCGGGTGTGTGATTACCCGGACTGACGGTCAAGTGTTCGAAGCGATGAAGATTCTCTAGGATGTCGAGACGATTCTTCGAGATGTCAGAGAAACGGGAGTGATTCGTTCTTATATAAGAGGATGTGAAGTCCGGACACCTGACTAAAACCACATCATCTTCAACGGGCCCAGAAACGTCGCATACATGGATCTTCGTTGTCACCCAAAACCCCAGTCCAATCCCCCCCGCCCCGGCGCGAGGTGCCGACCGAACGTTGGCTTCTTTCCCCCGCCCGCCTCCGGTTGCGCAATCATCCCCCGCCAAAACCTCTGCCGTCATTTCTTCCCGGTGCAATATAGTACGGAAAACACCAACCCACTCGCTGACAAGCTAACAAACTCTTGTCAAACTCGCCATCGTCACAACTCGGCCGAAGCGTTCGGCTCGGCGATTAGCCCAGTTTCGTATGATTTCCCCCCCTTACGATCTCACAAAATAACCCTCCGAGCTTGTTCGTGCCGTGTGCAAAGATGACGGATATGTCGGGTCCAAAACACGGCGCACGAGAGGGCTCGCAGAACCAACCACCACCACCACCACCACCACCATCACGCGTGTCTGACAGCGCCTACGCGGGAGCTTATCTTGCAGGTTGAGTGCCCGGATATCAAAGTTCGGATCCCGAAGATGGGACGGAGTTTACTCGCTGCAAGGTACCTTACCTACCGTGCCTTTGCGCTTGGTTGGAGTGCGCAAACTGTTGGACTTGCCCGTTTCAGGAAGGAGGGGCACTTGCGAGTTTCTGTGTGATATCTACGTGCCGAAAAGGGTAAAAATCCACGACTTACACGAGAAGTGCTTACAAACTGCTGAATACTTTGCTGCCTGCATCGCGCGAGGCTCATTGCATTCGGAGAGAGGTTAAGTATTATACAAGACCGTCAAGAGACTAAAGTTGAAAATTGAGATGTAGGAAATTCACTTGTATTGTAACGAGCCTAAGTATGCAATTACATTATTATACCCGATTAGATTCCTCCCCGAAACACATGATCATTCCCCATTTTACTTTTTCCCCCCGTGTCTATTAACCAGGTACCAGTGTACAGTCCAGACCCGTATACATCATCCGCCGAATGGCCAGCTTTCTGAGAGGAGACGGAATCAACGTCTTGCTTTGGTCGTACTTCACTTCGTATTCCGTGTCCCCTCTTTCGCCGAGCCGGAGAATCAATGAGAGAATTCCCTCTTTTGACGTGAGGCTGACGCTTAGACGAAAGCGTAGCCAATGGCAATGGCGATGACGGCCGCCGGGGCGAAGGACGCCTGGAGGTTGCTGCTGCCAGCGGTGGCGACCTTGCTCGGGGAGCTGGCCGGAGGCTGAGCAGGGGGTTGAGCAGGCGGCTGGGCAGGAGGTTGAGCGGGCGGCTGAGAAGGAGGTTGCGCGGGCGGCTGAGAGGGGGGTTGCGTAGGAGGTTGAGCTGGGGGTTGAGCGGGAGGCTGCGCGGGGGGTTGAGCTGGAGGTTGAGCCGGAGGCTGAGAAGGAGGTTGAGCGGGCGGCTGAGAAGGAGGATGAGACGGAGGAAGAGCGGGAGGGTGAGCCGGAGGTTGAGCCGGAGGCTGAGAAGGAGGTTGAGCGGGCGGCTGGGCAGGAGGTTGAGCGGGCGGCTGAGAAGGAGGTTGAGTAGGCGGCTGCGCGGGGGGTTGAGCCGGAGGCTGAGAAGGAGGTTGAGCGGGCGGCTGGGCAGGAGGCTGCATGGGAGGAACAGCCGGAGCGGTGGGAGGGCTAGCCCCGGTGACGGTGGTGTTCTGTTGGCGGTGACGGGTGACGGTGGGGCACGGGGTGGAAGCCGGAGGCACCGGAGTACCCTTCTGAGAAGAGACGGAGACAACCGCGGTTGTGGTGCGGTGGCGTCTGATGGAGGTGGTGACGGGAGGAGGAATGACGATGGCGGTGCTGGTACGGCTGCGGGTCAGCGTCGTGCAGGGGTTGGTGGTGTTGTGGCGCCTGCTGCTGCTGGTGATCTTTTTGCTGCTGCTGGTAATCTTCTTCGAAGACGAGGGGCAAGGAGTGGTCGTCTTAGGCTTGGGGGTGGTGCAAGGAGTAGTCGTCTTCTTAGAAGAGGTTGAGCAAGGAGTTGTCTTGGGCTTCGAAGTGGTGCAAGGAGTAGTGGTCTTCTTGGTGGAGGTAGTGCAAGGAGTGGTGGTCTTCTTGGAAGTAGTGCAAGGAGTGGTCGTCTTCTTGGAAGAGGTTGAGCAAGGAGTGGTCTTGGGCTTCGAGGTAGTGCAAGGAGTGGTCGTCTTCTTGGAAGAGGTTGAGCAAGGAGTGGTTTTGGGCTTCGAGGTAGTGCAAGGAGTGGTAGTCTTCTTGGTGGAGGTAGTGCAAGGAGTAGTCGTCTTCTTGGAAGTAGTGCAAGGCGTGGTGGTCTTCTTAGAAGAAGTTGAGCAAGGAGTGGTCTTAGGCTTCGAAGTAGTGCAAGGCGTGGTCGTCTTCTTGGAAGTAGAGCAGGGAGTGGTCTTGGGCTTCGACGTAGTGCAGGGAGTCGTGCTCTTCTTCAAAGTCGTGCAGGGCGTGGTCGTCTTCTTGGAGGAAGTAGTGCACGGGGTAGGCTTCGTGGAGGTGGTGCAAGGGAGCGTCACCACGCGGGTCCGGGTGATCTCCCGGCCGCGGGTCGTCACGATCCGGGTCTCGGTCCTGGTGAGAGGAGGGAGAATGACGGGCGGGAGGACGGGGGAGACCGGGGCCGTCGGGGTGAAGCGGGGCGGGTCCTGGGGAGGAGCGGGGAAGTCGGGGCCGTTCGGGAACGGGAACGGGTCCAGGTTGCCCGGGGCCAAGACCTGAGGCTGGGGAATAGCCTCGACGAGTCCGGAGAGGACTGCCAAGGCGGCGGCGGCGGTGACCTTCATGTTGGAAAGGTTCGGGTGATGGAAACGATTGCGAGGTTTGAAACGATTGACTGAGCGAAAGGTTCCCGCCTTCCTGTGTCGTGAGCGAGTGACTGTTGGATGAGATGAGAGGAAGACGACTCTGGGATTGCTGAAGGCTCATCTTATAATTCTTTCTGCGCTTGAGTTCGCCGCCTCAAGAAATTGTCCTCAGCCCTGATGGCGTGCATCCCATCTCGCCATGTTGAGTGATGGGGATGCAGAGCTCGCAGCCACCGAAGAGGGTTTTGCCCATCGAAGTTTATGCGGAAAGCTGCTGATATCCTAGCCATGTCCGTCCCGGGGGGCTTTTTGAAGTTCCATGGCTGCATATCAGACTCTTCGAGCTGTTGAGTACCTCTGCGGTAGTTGCGGCAGGTTCGGGACAGTGTCGTTTCCGTGTCTAACGTGCTATGACGATCATGTCCATGCCGCAGAGCACATCGGTGCGACTTGGGTAGATGGAAGGCAAGCATGGCTGTATGCTTGTTGAAATTTTCACTGATGAATCATGTTGGCGATCCACGCTCACTGACAGCGGTCGGTTCTTGAATCTGTGTGCTTCAGTATTGGTGAAATCGGGTACACATGGCGTAAACCTCTATTTTTGACTCTTTGCATAAATTGCTCGTCCACCATTCAACCCACGTTTTTTTCGATAAATCTTCTTCGCAGAGACACCATGATGTCTCTTGTATCGGAAGGTTCTTCGACGCCGAGCTTGTTGAGCACTGCAAGCCATCGTACTGTTTTGACTCGGGAAGGAAATAAAAGTGGTGATTCTGACACCTTGACGAGTCTCTCAACGCGGTCGAAATGCTTTTTGCTTGTTGCTCTCGAGCTCCTGCACTTCTGCGCTTAACACTGGATGTTCCTTTCCGTTTTCGGACCATGCTTCGCTATGTATGCCATCTTTCGACTCCAATCTTTTTTTTGTTCACACAACAAATACACAACCCAGCCCCAAAACGCCGTCTTGCCATGCAGCTCAATCGTCGGACTCGCCAGAGAAGAGGCCGACTCTCATCCGGTGGCTCTGCGTCTGATGTCAGCTTGGAACACCCTTCCGGTGATGGCGGGTTGATACGTACAAAAGGCAGCTTGGGGATGACCACTCCCAGGACGGCCAGGAAGTTGATGATGAAGTAGGCCAAATCGTAGTGGGTGTAGTGGGTGCTGAGGAGGAACAGCACAATGGGCACGCTAAGCAAAAACTTTTTGGCGGGGGTATACTGAGCGCCGTCGTCAATCTGCTCCCACATGTTCAGGTTGTCAAAAGCGCCGCCATTGAACTCAAACGGGACGCCGCGGACGTAGTGGAACATGATGTAGGAACCGAACATGTACGAAATATTGGTCAGCGTCCACGACGTCTCCTGGGAGACGCCGGGCATGATGTCGTAGAAGATCTTTAGGCAGAGGATGAGAACGAAGTGGATGGTCCAGGCACCTGAGGAGGATGTTGTTAATCTCTGTGGTTGGCTTGGGGGTGGGCACGCGACACGAATATCGCGAGGGGGGAGCTCTGCGCGGGGTTCTCACCTTTGGCATTGACCCAATTCGCGTTCAAGTTGGGGACGACGGCCTGGTCGCTTATTTGTTCCAGAGTCTCGGGCGGTTCATAATGGACCTGAAGAATGCTGCTAGATCTTCTTCTGCGGGCACCGGTATCCGCCATCGTTTTGTACGATCCGCTGCCACTTCGCGGAGGGTTGGTGGCCGCGTCGTACGAGACGGTGCGAGAGAGGAGAATTGGGGAAGACAGTTTGGCGGTGTTGAAGGGGGATCGGGGGGACCGATTGTTTTTGAATGTTACGGGGAGGGAATTGGCGAAGGAATTGGTTGCGGAGGGTTCGGGATCGTCGTTATTCGTGCAGGTGGTGCTGTGCTGGGGACAGGATGTGATGGCGGTGATGGATTCTGCTTTCTGCTATTGGCCCCCTTGATGATGTCACGGGGTTCAGCGATCAATTCGCGACGTAGAAGGCGACGGATAGTCGATGCTGTCGTTTGGTGTTGAGAATTACTGATGGAAGCGAGAGGAGAAGAAAGGGACGTCGTCGAGACAGTCGAAGAGAGCGTTGAGTTTGTTTCTGTAAATGTTGGGGATGGCGTCGTCGTAATTGGCTACTTGGCAATGGGATGAAGGAGAAGACGGGACAATTTCCATTAGATATTGATAGCAGAGAAAGCCGACGGGAAGACGGGGGACAGGTCGCAGGACGCAGGACGCAAGACGCAGGACCTGGGAGGAGAAGGAGACGACTGGACCCCGACACGGACCACGACAGGTACTCCAGTGTCCAGTGTCTGTACCTAGACAGGGCAGCAGTGGACAATTCGACCCACTCCGACCCCGGCCAAGGCAAGGCAAGACACGACGAGATTGGTTCCGAGAGAGAGCTGCTTGCTCCAGCGCTCACACTCAGGGTCGTTCCATTCAGGGGACCACCCCAATTTCAGCGGATTGAGGTACCTACTTTTTCCATCCCCGCCCCTTATACACGCAAGACACGGTGCTAGCCATGAGATTGAGAGTACAGTGTTGTCGCACTGGCAGGAGCCGAAAAGACTTCCATTGAATTGTCTTCATTCCTCGTTCCTCAAAAAAGAAATCGGCAAGCAATCCGCGGCCTGCGATAAGCACCTGGCTGGCACCTTACCGAGTACCTACCTCAGGTACCTTGAAGAGGCTCTCTCATTCATCCCTCACCGACCGACCTTATCGTCTCCCACCGAACCCCAGCCCGGTTGACCTACCCGGTCATGGTCATATCCATGGATCACTTGGACAAACACTTCCATCCTTCGCGCAAAAGAAAAACGAGGCACTTCGACATCAACACACGTCACCCACCTTCTCACAACTCACCCATGCGTACATGGCACAGCGCAGAATGCAAACCAAAGCAAGAGAGCACGGGCTGAGACCCGCGATCCGGGAAGGGCACTGGCAACTGGCGACCCGAGAGAGACAGCCCAGCACACAGTCAGACGGACGGCCCAAACCCGCCCAATCCATATGTCACTGTTTCGTCGCTATGAGATCCGTACTGTAAGCTACCCTGCGTTTGGATGCCGGGGCGGGCTGCTTGGTTATGCACCGCTGGAGGACCGGAAGTACGGAGCACTTCGCGGCGCGGGTTCGCCATACCATCTGCTAGCGAGCTGGGGGAAGGAAGGGGTTCCCCTGACCACACTCTGCCAGGAAGACGCCCCTATTTCCAGATACTCGGCGACGAGAAAGCCAGATGGCTGAGGCGGCTGGCAGCCTGGCTAGACGGGACACCACCAGCAGACTGGCTAAAAACTCAGAAACGCACTGGCAACTTCGGTTGTAACCGTTGGATCGATCACCTACCAAGTACACACATCTCAGTGTGTACACGCGGCATGAACATGCCACCAGCTACTGAGCTGGGGCTAGGCCAATCCTAGGTCAGCTAAGCTTGGGAATCGTCAGGAAACAGGCCAAACCGATCAGATACTGAAGACATCCACGCCATTTCATGCACCACCAAACACCTGACACTGGGCAGACGAGACAGCAGGAATCACAGAGGAATGGCGCACCAGATTGGCGTGCCTTGTGGTGGAAGCCGATGCCATTCTCCGTACTCCGTACCTAGGCCTTCAGAGACATACGGTGTTGCTCGTCCTTCCCAGCATTTCACTCCTTGCTTGACGAAAGGAGGTGGTTATCTGAGCTAAATTCGTCTCCGAGTTCCCCACAGACTGGGCTGTGCGATAGGTTATTGACTTCAATGGTTCGTTGCGTTGCGTGGGATGCGTGGAAAGCCCTGGTTTTCCGGGATATCTCACCGAAACCGAGTGGGAGGCTGCATCGTCGACGACTTGTCAAAAAGTCTGTTTCCCCATTTGTGCCGAGCCCCGTATACGGTCTTCCCATATCAATCGAGCTGCTCGTGTTGATCTGCCGTGGTCACTCAGATATCAGCAAAACATTTGACTCGATGTCATGGCACGACCAGCCGTTGCGATATCGCGGGAATCCGTGGCGTGTCTCGGGCTTGGGACAAGGCGATACTTGCACGCAGCTGGTGAGGCCACGATCTGCCTGTCAGCTGTCAAGACCTGTCGCATACTTTTCCTTTTCCCCTTTCCTTGCGGCCAGTCTGGGCCCCCAAATGCTAACGACAACGTAGCTTGCGCTTGGTCCAGCTTCTGGGACTCCAGAGCGAAGACGACCAGACCGCAGAGATCGAGCCTCATCTCCGACCGCAAGGGTCCTGATTCTACTACCACCTTACTATGCGGGTTGCGCGCTGGCGGTTTGTAATTAGATGGGAATCGATAGGTCCAATAATGCCGATTCTAGAAGTCCTCTCACTTTCGCTTCCGCGCCTTCCCCAGCGGAAAGAGACACCGCCTCAGGTGCTCGCCAATCCATGCCGTCAGTTCCCTTAATTACAGTGGAGGGCAATGACGGCCCCAGGACATGAGTCGGTTTCCATAGGATTTTACCATCCGTGGATATCTCACACTGTGAAGAGGCCCGCACCTCGAAATTTCGAACCCAGCAGTGTGGGTGTGGGGTGCACGGTTGAGAGACGCAGCCAAGGGCGGGAGCGACCCGGCAGAACCTCGGCGACACGATCCGTTGTGACGTCGAGCAAAACTGGATACCTGCATATAATTTTTTTGACAGAGCGACGTTGAACATCGCGAATGAGATCGACGCCATCGAAACCGCGATACTGACGCTGCCTGCATCGCAGAGACGTCAATTACGCTTGTAGGCCGCGAAGGTACCAGATTATACGCGTTCGATTCGCCTCGACGCAACGGCAATTAGCCATCCCTTAGCAAAGGTCTGTTTTTCTCCACACCCGCGTCTTAGAAGCCGAGACTTGAGGCATCAAATATCGACGCCGTAGAGTATCGAAAAACTTTTCAGTCTTTCAACAGAAGGCTTCTTAATTCCTCGGTACGTTCCACGGAGAGTTTGAAGTCGGCACTGTCAAAGTCGGAGCGATATTGCCATCGCGTCTCGCACCCGACAGCCCAACGGAACCACAGCATTGCCCTATACCATGGAGGCATCAGAAACAGAAGCGGCGGCGGTGCCCGGCGACGTGCAAGAGCCCGTTGAGGTGGTAGAGACGTCGCAGCCGTCCAAAAAGCGTTCATTGGAGGATATGCAGCAAAACGCTGAGCCCGACGCATCGGAGCCTCATCAGGCACCATCGCCGGAGCCTGAAGCCAAGAGGGCAAAGACGGGCCAGACAGATAAGAAAGAGGCCCTGGACGAGGACGGCGATGAGAAAAGTGCCGAGGAGGGCGAGTTGGAGGAAGATGATGAGGACGCTCAGGCATCCAACTCTGTATCTGAAGAGATGGGCGGCGGGCAGAGCGGCGACGGCCAAAAGCTCGCGGCGGATGCGGGCAGCAAACGTATGACACGATCTATGGCGGCGGCGGCAAACGACTCGGCTCATGTTGGATGGAATCACGGCATCACATCCCAAATCCGAACATCACTTGGCGGGGCTGCGAAAGCGAAAGCCTCGCCAGCACCCACCAAGACAAAGTCTAAGGAACCAACACCCGAGCCTGAGCCTGAGGTTGAGGCTGAGGTTGAGGTTGAGCCCACACCTCACGCTGCGACAGAGTCCGCGCCTTCCCAAGTTGCTCAACCGACCGCTCCTGCCACAAAGGAGCCTGCCAAAAAAGCTCCCCTAACACGAGCGGAACGCAGGCAAGAGAAACAAGCACAAGCTGCCGCGGACTCCAAAAAATCCCAGGAGGAGCTGAAAAAACCTTTCGAGTACGCCCCCGGCCTCTCATTTTATCTCCCCAGCAAAAAGAATCTTTTGTCGCCCAAGGGCAACAACATTGGATCCGGCGTCTGGAAGTCCAAGTTTCACAGTTGGTGCCAGTCCTTCGTCAGTCGCAACATCGACCAAAAGGACCAACTCAACGCCGACATCGCCGTCGCTGCGCTGCTAGAGTACATTGCCACACGCGCGCACTGGTCCAAGAAGAGGCAAAGAGGAGCTGCTACAGGCGAGGCTCGGAAACCTCAGACGAGAAATGACATGGCGGTCAACCTGGCAACGATACTGAAGAACGACGACTACCTGGCCAAAAGCGCAGGAACCGGCACGGAGGACTCTCCCATGGTGATTGAGGACGACGACTCCGATGACGACGACGTACAGGAAATTTCACCACCTTCCGGCACGACAACGCCTGGCAACGCCGCACAAACTGCAGCATCCAATGCTGCTCACTCTGATCAGCGGGAAGAAGCCGTCCTGCCCTTAGTTGAAGTCAAAGAAGACTCTGAGGATATTTCTGACGACGGGATGGAGAGCGGACGACCCGGTCCAGTTGTCCTCGGCGAGGAGGATGACTTGGCCCAGCAGCGGAAGTACTTCCCCGGACTTGCCGAATCCGAGTGCATCTGCGTCTACTGCGCGACTCCTGGTCACACCTCATCTGCATGCCCCAGAACGGCCTGCAAGTTCTGCGAGGGCGAGGACCATTTCTCCTGGAACTGCCCGACGCGCGAGAGGTGTACTAAGTGTCGCCAGCTGGGTCACGGCAAGGGACAATGCACCGAGAAGCTCATTAGTTTGGACGAGGAGGGCGCGGAGTGCGCTACGTGTGGTTCTCAAGCCCACGACGACGACGACGACTGCGAGGTCCTTTGGCGATCCTACAAGCCTCAGAGTGGCATGATTAAGAAGGTCAACTTTCTTCCTGCCTTCTGTGGAGCTTGCGGCGCGGAAGGACATTACTATTCTGACTGTGCGTTCCGTGGCGACAAGCCGCGCAGTCAGACGTGGTCGTTGAGGAACAGAGACCGCTACTTGGACAAGAACGCGGCCGACGGACCGATCAGCGACTTTGCCAGCATACCCAAACCGCCTCAGCTTCAGATCAAAGGCGCGTCTGCCAGTCGGAACCACATCTTCTACGCCGATAGCGACGGATCGGAAGAGGGCGAATTCCTGGGCCAGAAGGTCAAGCCGCGTGCTCCGCCCGGAAAGATCCAGATGGCGAGCAACATCCAACTCGGCAACTTTGGAGTACAACAGCAGCAGCAGCAACAGCAGCAGCAGCCACAGCCTCAGCAAAACGGACGTGGTCAGCAGAGAGGTGGGTGGTCAGCGCAGCCTCCTCTCCCTCCTGGACCTCCCCCTCCTGGCCCGCCAGTCGGTGGTTCGTACTCGCGAATGGCCAAGAGCCACAACAACCAGTCGCGTCCGCCGCCCCCGAACAACGGTGCTGGACGTGGTGGTCTGCCTCCCAAGCCTCCAGCTCCGCAACACGGCTACCACACCGTGGCCCCACCTCCCAACGGACCGGGGCCGAACGCGAAGAAGCCCAGGACTAGACAGCCGGCTAATGCGCCTTCGGGGCCCTCGCATCACCAGAACGGTAGGGGAGGTGCTGGTGGACGCCGCAGGGGTAAGAACAGACGCGGTGGGAAGCAGGGTTGAGCGATCCGAATGATTGGCTGGCGTGGTGCACCGCGAGCGCGGGTGTGTCAGATGGAGGTGCTACGGCAAGGGGACCGACGTCGGGGGATGAGCGGAAAAAGCAACATGTGCGACGACTGTACGACTTGACATTGCGCGAAATCAGATGACGGGGCGCGGCGTGAGGTGGTAGAGAAGGTTGCGCGCATGAGAGAACACGGGCGGGCGGACAGCCTCGTCTTTCGGTTGGGCGAAGGACCCCGACGAGTCGCGCAATCATTGGCTTGACATTGGCATTTGGAGACGGCTCGCTCGCTCGCTGACTGCGCGCATCGGCGTGCGGGAGGCTGGCCGGCGACGTGGACCGTCCATCAGTGGATCAGATCAGACTAGAGGCATATTCTGGGCTCTCGTGTTTAGTTTTGATACCCCCGGCTTTCGCACAGAATTAATCAGACATGGCTTTTGCGAAATTCGGCTCCGAGTGATTGTATTTGCAGCCCAGATAGTGACAACGGAATCGAACACCTTGTATATCAAACAGCGGCTTCCTCGAAAAACCACAGTCGGGGTTTAACCAGTGGAAATCAAGGCCAATTTGACTCTGCCACGACATCAAAAGATTTCCCTGGTAAAACTTGTTCGCTGGTCAACGTTGAATCATGTACGGTGAGAGCCCAACCCGGCCCGGGCAAAACAGGACAGATATCCCTGTTTTAGGGGAAACTAGGAAATAGAATTGTCGAATCTTTGGCCAGGGTCGACGAGAATTCCGAAATGCTAAATGTAGGTGAAGGAAGAGCGGCGCCAGGGGTCTAAAGCACACTTGGTCGTTGCCCGTGATATAATTAATATCAAGGAGCGCTTGAGCGGTGTTAGTCATACCTGACCCTAGACAGCCACGTCGCATGGGATTTCGAGGTTATTGAGAGAAAATTTTGATATGGTGTTCCGGGGGTTAGGACCTTTTTTTTGTGGACGAACGAGTCGGTGAGAGGAAGTGTGTGGTGTTTTGGAGGTCCATGTTGAATTTCGGGATCAGAGGACCAGAAAAAAAAAGACGTGGGCAAGGACATGGGCTTGTGGGTTTGCCTGTTCGTGGGTTGTGTCGGGATGGAACGGACCAACGAACCCGGAAAACGTGGGTTGTGGGTTTCTCATGTGGTTTACCTTGTCTTTGGGAAAACCAGGGGGCATGTGGATGTTGTCGATGGAAAGCCGGTTGCTTGAGACGACAGTGATCATCGACGTGGCTGGACAAGTGGCCCCCGTCGATGATGTCGTTTTCTGTTGCGACGAGAAGTCGCAACGGGGGATTCCGGAGAGGGAAGCGCAGTAGCGGTCGAGGAGACCCTGGAACTTCTTGTCTTGGGAAGTATGGTGTCCGCGAGGAACGAGTGGTGGTTGAGAGAGTTGACCTTACTCGAGGGCTTTCCTTTTGCGCAGTTGCGTTGTGGATCGCAAGTGACGATCACGTCGGCGGTGGCCTTCGTGAGCCCTGTATGCCGGTTGTCTTGTCAAGGTCTGTGTGGTCGTGACGGGGGTGGGTGTTGGTGGGATGCGATGCGATGCGATGCATGGGATGTGCGAAAGGGAAGGAACAGACGGCGGTTAAGTAAGTAATAAGTTTCTTCGTCTGTGGGACGGGAATACCGTCTAAGCTTGGACTTGCTCTGTTTGTGAAGTTTGAGTTGAGTTGACGGGGCGGACGATGATGGGATGGATGACGGACTGATGGTGGAGGAGATGCATGCGTGGACTGAGGGCGAGGTAGGTAGGTAAGTAGTTTATGAGAGACATGTTCCTGTAAGAGACGACTTGCTTGTTTGGTCAAGTAACTTGAGTATTCGTAGTTGACATTGCGTAGTAAGGTAGTGGTGTGTGTATGCGTATGCGTAGTGTGTGCCTGCCAGTCAGCCCCGTCCGTCGTCTGGTGGTCCTTGGTGCTGCGTTTCGGTTTCCCGTCTTCTCAACCGGCATCCGAACCATTTGTGTGTTGCGGGTCTTGGAGAGGACTTGGGAGTGGTTGGAATGAAGTTAGCGAAGATGCAATGCAAGCCGAGTGTGTGGTTGATGTTGAGTGCTGAGTGTGGGCTGCGTCCTGTGTGGGGTGCAAGTCGGCAGGTCCACGTCCTCAGTCCCGACTTCCATTCCAGGTCTTCCCCACCCCGGGCGCGGGCCACGGGGAGGCGCGGATTGTTCGTGGTTGCCAAGGGTTCGATTGATTCGTCCCTTGCGCGCTCGATTTCACTGGTCAATTGGCGACCAAACATTTACCTTTCACCCTGGCGCGCGATGTGGACACTGGGACACACACGAGGAAGAAAAGAGTCATCATTCTGCGTACTATGTCAACCGACAGGCCGACGACAGGGGGACTACTGCAATGACATGCCTCATGCGCTGCGCGACCAGCAGACAACGCGGCCGGACGCAAGGTTCTGTAGGTCCCGTGTCTACACACGTTTTTTTATTCTGGCTTGCTTTCTTCGAATTTGCGTGCGTCAAGCGAAAACCGGGATTCCGTCCACAGCCCTACTTTCTTGCCCTCATGACGGTCATCACGACTTGCGGTGTTAACGGCATGGGTGGGTGGTGGAGATGGGAGTTGTGGATGCGCACGACGAGGTTGAATCAGTCTTGGCGGAAAAGACACCACAACCATCGTCATCAACTTTCTGATGATCGCATCCATAGCCTCTGCGTTTCACTAGACCTGCAGAGAGGGTAAGCAGAGTTCAACGCGAACTACCGTGCTACGGAAAGAGGAATAATATCTCGTAGCAGAGGATGAGATATACCAAACCACATCAACAAATAACATTTCATGCTTCTCAGTAACCATAAAAATCATCGCCACTCGGGAAACCTCGAACTGCCCGGCCGCAGACACTACTGCGCAGTCTAGCTCCAAGAAACAAAAAACGTTTACTGCGTAGGTATGTGGATCGTCATGGAGCCCTTGCGATGGTTGCATGTGGGCAGCGCTTAGCCTTATGTCCAAACCGGACGTTTCCATCCAGCCAACGCGTCTATTCTGTGCCACGCGACGTCAACACGTCAAGCCGCGTCCGACCAATCACCGCCCTGCGAAATCCGTCAATGTGACCAGCCTTTCGAGTTTCCGACCAATCAGACCCGGGAGTCTCGAGATGTTTGGTGTCGTGGGGGACGTGCCTCTTATCGATAGCGCTTCTCCCGCAAGGATCAACGACACTGACCATCTTCACCCCCGGGCTGTCTCTCTGCAGATCCCTCGTCTGCTGGGCTCTCGGACGATGGGGCCGGCGACCAGCCCGGTTTACCTTAGCCCAGGTCCTTGTGGCGGTCGGCATGGCATGGGGGCGCAGAAGGGAAAGAACGGTCTCATCCTCGAAGGCCTCTCAACCACTGGGACGACATGAAACGAATCTTTCTGGCGGGGGTGGTCATCTATTCGCATAGACGGAGGGAGCCTGCATGGCTTAGGTTGTCTCTGCATCTCGAAAAGATTTAGGGTGCGTCGCGAGGGAACCAGAACAGAAAACCGACCAACCAAATCACACCAACGCGCCCCCGACTCGCCGATTCTGGCACGACGAACCCTTCTTTTTGGTGTTTCCCTCTGATGTGCGCTCTGCTCTGCCTCTGCCGTGGGAAGGGGGAGGGGCGTGTAACGGGCGTGCCATCTACGTGTGTTCGTCCAATCCCTTCCCGCGTTTCTCTCGTCGCTCGTCAGTGTCGTGTAGTCGTCGTGGTAAAATTCCCCACTACCACTGCAGTTCCCCGTTTCCCGTAAACCTAGTCTCTGCATATGCAGGTCTCGACAGAGGTGACTCACCTTCCAGTCGTTCCCATTGAGGGGCGACGGGACGATGCGGGTTAGTAGGGGTGGCTGGTCTGCTTCAACCACGACTTTTTGTAAGTTTTTTCGGTGTCCCAACTACCAGTCCCGAGTGCTCCATCGCCGCACATCTGGGTCCTGGCTTCCATGTCTCCTGCGAGCTGGCTCTTTTGGCTCCATCAAAGAGGAAAAAGTCGAATCAGTCCCTTGTACAGTCTAAAAGAGGAAAACCTATATCTGTGCCGACGACGCCTGCCACCCCTCCCGTTGGCCTGATTTTCGAGACCTGCTCTCTCTCTGTCTGTTTTACTGTCTCTCACATATCCCGTCTCAATCAACCAACTTCCAATCCTGATTCTGAGGCGACTTGTACGAACCCGACTGGATATCTTCAGACCTTTTTGAAACCGTGACTACTTTTGGGCAGAATAAGAGTGCGCTCTGTTGGGATCTCACTCCGTTGTGTCTAAAAATCTTACTTGAGCTCTCTGAATCCCACATCTATCATCTCGTCCCATCTCTCTCATCCGGATCCTCGCAACCCCTGACAGTCATACGGACTTGGGCAAGGGGTCCAGTCTCCATCATCAACAACAACACCCCCCCCCCTCGGCATCGACGACGAACAGCCATTCTAGATACTGGGGACACAACGACATGAGATCGTTATGGCCGCGACATACACCCCGATCTACTGCCTCTGGCAGACCGAAAACGCACACCTAGGCCAAAAGGTCCTCGACCTCCTCCCGCGCTCCGACGTCGCCTCCTTCCGCCTCGCCTCCTCGGCCTGCTGCAACATCGCGACGAAACCCCTCTTCACCCGCGTCCGCGTCACCTTCACCGCAAACACCTTCACCAAGCCCTCCCGCATCCAGGCCCTCTCCCGCGTCGGCCACCACATCGAGCACCTGCACTTCCACTGCGCCCACACCGACGCCACCTTCCTCCCGCCCCTCGTCCACCCGGCCACCGGCCGCGAGATCTCCTTCCTCTACACCCCGCACACCAGCATGGCCTCCGTGCTGGCGAGGCCGAAGTACGCCAACACGGAGCTCGGCGAGATCCTGACCCAGCAGTACCCGCCCCTCTTCCACGCCGCCACCAACGTCCCGAGCTTCATCAACGCCATGAAGCACTTCTCCAACCTCCGCCACCTGACCATCCGCTGCCCCGGCCAAGACCCGCAGGAGCGGTACAGGAGGGACATCGTCGACTACGCCCTCATGAGCCTGCGCATCGCCGTCGAGCGTGCGCCGCTGGAGAAGCTCGTCAAGCTCTCGCTGTCCGGCATGCACCCCTCTTCCTTCAACTACCTCCGCCACGTCCCGGGTTTCGGCGCGGTGCCTTCGGCAGGCCGCAGGTGGAAGCAGATCCGCAAGCTCAGCATCTCCGTCGAGGCATGGGACTTTTACGGTTCCTCACCCGGTCTGGACCACCTCAAGATCCTGGACGACTACATCCGTGGCTTCTCCGGCACTCTCGAGAAGCTCAACTTCACATGGCTGGGTCTCAAGGGACCTTGCCCCATCGCTCTCTCAGCAGACCCCCTCTTCGCGCCGCCGCGCAACTGCAAGAAGCTGTTCGCCGAGGTCACCTCTCCCATGTCACCACTACCCCCGGCGCCCTCCCGCAAGCCAATGTACTTCCCGCGCTTGCGGTACATGCAGGTCCGCAACGCCACCATGACGGCGACTCAGCTCGCGGATCTCGTCGACGCGCACCAGCGCACCGTCAAGGAGTACGACTTCGACAATGTGGTGCTCATCAACGGCGGCAACTGGGACGACGCGCTTGCTCCGCTCATGGAGCCCGCCTCCTCCAAGAGTGATGTGTGGTCCCAGCACTCACACTCGAGAAACAACTCCGAGGCAGGAAGTCTGCACTCAGAGCCGTGCCATGATGAGGACTTTGACCTGCCCTCGCCATCGGCAGCAGCAGCCGCTGCCACCCGTGAGCTGCTCGACTTTGACCTCGGCAGCGAGCTACTATACGTTAACGACGAAGACGACTACGACCCGTATGAGGGTCTTGACGAAGACCTGGCTTCAGATCTTGCGGCCGCCAAAGAGGCCAGCACATCCTTCAGCACGATACTGAAGAAGAAGCGCGTCCACCGACGCAGGAAGCACCGCAAGGACGATGACGGCAGGGAAAAGGAGACTTCCTCCTCCAAGCACAACAGAAGCCACAGCCGCCATCGCAAGCACAAACACCACAGGCAACCACCGCCGGTTCCGGAGGAGGACGATGTCTTCCGTCCGGTCACCCCCGTGCCCATCATCACGGCACCTATCCAGGATACCTCCCCGCACCCGGTGTTGCTGCAGCCGGCTGTGTACGACCCCAACGCCAGCCGTTACTCGGGCCCCGAGGACGGCATCTCATCGGTGCAGCGCAACATTGAGCAGGAAGAAGCGCACCGCATGCTGGCCGAAGACGCGGCGGCGCGGGTCAGCGCGCTGCGCAAGGCCAAGGCGGCGGTGTTGATGAAGCTCTCCAAGGAGTTCAGGAGCAAGACGCCCAGTCCGCCAAAGGACTGCAGCATGCAGATGAGGTTGAGAGAAGGCCTCTTTGGGAGGAGCTTTGTGAGCGTGTTGCCAGACGATAGAGCCATGTCGAGCCAATCTGCGCTGGTGCCGCTCATGTTTACGAGATCATGAGGACGACCTAACGAAACGAAAAAAGATGAACATCCATCAAACGACAACGAATCGCTGTATTTTCTGTTATATTAGTCGGGAACTGGCCGGCGCTTTGGATCCTGCTTTTCGAACGGGATTTGGTCGGAAGGGAAAGGCAACAGGAAAGGGACCTCGAGACTCTGGGACAAAAAGAGTCGGGTCAGGCGGATCGGATGGATACATGACAGGGACGAGGGGCATTATGACTCTTGTAATGACTTGACGATGCACCATTATTTTCTTCAATGTTTATGTTTTGAAATATTTCACACACAAAAAAATGGGGCCCGTTGATGCGAGTGTTTGTTTGTTTGTTCGGTAAGGCCGAGGAAAATTTGTTTCCAGACGCCGAGAATTTTCTGGATGCCGTGAAACGCGGATGAGGAGAGACCACAAGTGCCGAGGGACGGGGCCCGGAGTGCGGAGAGCGAATGAGGAGCGCACCTCCGAGGAGCGACGGTGGGCTCGGCGAGAGAAGCTTTGGTCGGTAGAAGGCAGAAGAAAAGAGCGAGGACCGGGTGAACCTGGGTAAAGTGGTGAAAGGTGCAGGCTTGGTGCGGCGCGGGTGGAGTCAGCAGCAGCGGAAAACAGGGAGTCGTGGGATGGCTCGTCCGCGTTTTGAAATGTGAGATCTCGACGTCGTTCGTGGTAAGCTGTTTTCGGGGGCCATGCGCCTGGCGACGAAACGGGAGCTGCGACTGCGGTATTCGTGGAGGTGGTGTAGCAATGGTCGCACCTGAGCCACTGTAGCACCACCACCCGCCGGCGTCGAGAATGTGATGGCTCAGAAGATGGGCGAAGGCGACAACCAGATGCCGAGTCGAGCGCGCGTGTCGCCGTCGCCACGATGGCGAAGTTTTCCTTGATTGATACCCCAACCCCAGACCCAGACCCAGGCTGACCAGAATGGCATATTCTGGAAAGCGTGATCTGGACCTTTGGAGAGACCTGGGCGATTCTGGTTAGAGTTGGCCGTCAGCCACCACGAGAAGAGGCGAGAGCCGCTTTCATCCGAGGCGTCGCATTCGTAGCCTCAATCTCCGGGGCATTTCTAGCCATCCCGCGGTGGTATAGCGGCTTCTAAGGCAGCATTGTGGGTGGACGGGAAGACTCGATGCTTTGCGTGGTGATAGGATGGTGCAATGGATTGGAGAGGTCCTTGTGGACCAGGACAGGGTAGGGGTTGAAGAAGGGTCAAGGGTGAGAGAGAGAGATGGGATTCTCTGTGGGAAAAGACGGCAAGCCGGGAAAACCGTTAACGGGGAATTGGCACAGCGCAGAGGGAAGGGAAACCCCCGATCATCCGCTGAAATGAGATCCTGGGCTGTGGGTGTGGTGACTTGACATGAGGCACGTCCGACAAGTGCTGCGAATGAAGGGAACATCTGGCTGCATCTGAAGGTCGGCCGGGCAGGTAAAATGCCGTCCCTCGTCCCTCGTCCCTCGTGTTCCTTTCTTTTCCTCTCTCGAGACTGGCTGTTTGCAGAAGGAGCATTGCCCACTCTTTGGCCTCCGCCTCCGTGGCACAACAGCACGACCTATCGAATCTCCCCGGTTGGGTCTTTTCCTGGGGTCCCTGGACACGTCTGGGAAGGGCCTAGATGCCCATGGACCGCTACCGGTCGGAACTCCCTCAACGACAAGGGACGACGACGCGAGGGGGGGCCTGTCAAAGACGAGCGTTTGGGCGAATTGACTTCAAGGATCCGCTGATCGCTGATCGCGGGAGAGAGACGGGCTACTTGGAGAATACTTTCAGTCAATCAGAACGAGTATACGCCAAACAACCAACATCAGCAGCACCAACAATTATAACAACAAACTCCTCCAACTCCAACTCCAATACGGATATCAACGTTTATACCGGAAGCTCTCGGTCAGTATGTTATCAAAGTCATGCAATGCTGGTTGAATATGGCTTTATATCCACCTGCAATAGGCAGCCACGAACTAGACGATGGAAGACGACGATCCGGGGAATCGTTGCCAAGTCCGGGCCACAAACTCTATGTGTTTTCACCTCAGCTCATCATCGGCTTCTTCCTTCACAACCACCTTAAGTCGAAACAGACGATAGTCCTCGGTCGACAACTTCGTCCGTGTTTCCCGGGATGCTGGACATTCTGCGTCGCCCAGATAGCAGCCACGGCACCCATAGCTCCATCCTGTGCGCGGCCACCCACGTATGTCGCCTCAAATATCTCTCTGTGCATTTTCTCTGGTCGTGAATTTGCGGGCGCCAAAAAACGCGAAAGTTGCCAGCAGGTGATGGCTGAGCAAGCCCGTTTACCCCCGAGCTGTGCCCTTGCGAGACGCTACGAGTAGCGTCGTCTCCTACACGTGTGTGATACTTGGCGCTAAGGTACCAGGGACGCGGTAGCCGTCTTCTGCTCGTCCTTTTCTTTCCTGGCTTTGAGATGGATTCGGTCCCTGGCCATAGTTGACAGTTAGCTAGAGCACCTCGAGTTGGGGCCGCGCAGTAGGTAGGGCAAGCTACGAGCCCAGGTTGACTTACTGCATTGTCACACAGACAATGAAGCACCAAGACATGGAGGACTCGTTCTCTCGAGACTTGAGACTTGAGACTTTCAGTCTCTTCAGCCGTAATCTTCACTTTCAAGCGTCTGCTGCGTAATTTCGCCTTCTAGTCGAGAAAAGGGAAGACGCAAGAAGAGACCTTGCCTGCCCCGGGGCGCTAGACCAAAGCGAGAGGTAAGATGTACGTACTATCAAAGTACCTTCACCCTACTCCAGGCGCATCTGTTGCTGCAGCTCTCCGCTGTTACTCCATTGTCCCTACCCTGGACCTAGTTCTTTTGGGACGGACCTGGATCCCAGCTCCTCCCGCGCGACTCCACCTCCAGTGGTCGCTCATCTTCCATCTTTCTCCTGCCCTCAGCCCATTCCATTCCACCCATTCACCCTCCGCTTCAACCGACAGTCCCCAAGACGAGGCCTTCGCCGCGCGCCTGCAAACAACTGCCTCTTCGACGATTGCCCGGACGAACGAACGGCATCTCTCACGCTCATCTCGGTCATCGGTTCAGCTTACAGCTGGTTCCAGTCTCCCTGTCTACCGACAACAAACACGACTCCCCGGCCCGTCAAGCAAACGAAAACGAACTTTTGGGAATTGCGGATACCTCACGAAGCAGCCACCCGTCGCCGTCGAGCAACAGCGTGCCAAGCACTCAAACTTCTAGCAACCATCCCTTTCTTCACGACAACATCGCCAACAAGGTCATCCAGGAGGACCCCGGAATCACCACTGCAGACGATGAATGCCGCCCAGACCGCGCCAGACTCCCTGTTATAGTCTGTTCCAAAGATGGGCGTCAGGATCGCCATTCGAGAACAGCTCGCCTTCCTCGTGGTGATTGCTGTTCTCGTCGGCTTGATGATCCTGTCTGTTCCTGTCTGGATTTACGTCAATCAATTCGTCACCCAGGTCGAAGGACGCGAGCTCGCCCTCACTGCCTCGCTCAAGGCGTCGCGTATTTCCTCGGAGCTCGAGCTCGTCCAAACCAGCATCATCACGATTTCCTCCAGAATTCTCATCCAGGATTCGCTCGTCAGCTTTTACGGCGGCAACACCTCGGACTCCAACTGGGCTGCGGCAACGGGCGATTTGACGAGCGCACTCAGTTCCGGCGCTCTTACCGGCCTGTTACAGGCGAGAATATACTCACGCAACACGACAGGCAATGTACACGGTTTGTTGAACGTCACTGGCCAGAAGATTCCGGATATCGAGCTTCCGTGGAGTCCTTCGGGCAACAAGACGTTTCTGTCGGATACTCCTGAAGGTTATCCAGCTGACCTGTACCCAAATATTACCTACGAGAATCTCGGCCGTCCGAATCAGTTCCGGAACAACACATGGGCTTATGCTGCCAATGCCTTTACTGGGGTTAGAATCTCCACTAACGGTGGCTTGCTCCTTGGGCCACTGATCCTTAACGAGACGTCGGCCCTGATGTCGATAACCGTACCCATTCGCGACAACAAACAGCAGGAGTTTATACTCGGCTACATGACACTTCTTGGCCTGGCAAACTCTCTCGTCAGTGTCCGGAACTCACGCGAGGGTTTGGGTAATAGCGGCCTCGTTCTTCTTGTTGGACCTACGAATCCGTCCAACAGGTTCTCCGACGATCATCCAGCCAGCAACGCGACGTTCACACCCGACAGGGACTCATCTGCAAACGTGCCGGTCAAGTTTGTGCTCCCGCCTAATGGGCTACCTGGCCAAGACGATCGACATAGCGATAGGAGCTGGTCTATCAGCAAAGATGACGAGCCGTTCCCCATGAAGGATTACCCTGCGGTGTGGGATTCCTTCACGAAAAGATTCGTTTCCCCCAACAATTCCAGCTCAATGCTGTCAACGCACAACGAACAAGGAAAACCTGTCGCTGTCGGTTTTGCAAGGACCAACACAGCTCTCGTCAACTGGACCGTTGTCGTGGAGCAGGCAAAGTCCGAAGTCGACGCCCCCATAGACACGCTGCGAAACATCATCCTAGGCTGCGTCTTCGGTACGGCGGGTCTTATAATAATACTCATCTTCCCGTGCGCGCACCTCAGCGTCATGCCCATTCGAAGACTCAAGTCTGCCACTGAGAAGACGGTTCAGCCCCCAGGTTACGAGGACGGAGACTACTCTGACTTCGACGACGAAACACCGGGATCTGGCGCCATTTCATCCCGATCTCAGCGGTCACGAAAGGATGGGATTATCGCAGGAATCTACAAGTTGGTTGGGTACAAACCCAGGGAAAAGGCCGCATCTGAGCATGATCGCGACTCGACCCGTCGAATTTTCAAGATCCCAGGCAAGGTAGAAGATCGCAAACACTTTGTCACGGATGAGCTTACCGAGCTTACGCAAACATTCAACGATATGAGCGACGAGCTGTGCAAGCAGTATATCTCCCTGGACCAGAAGGTTTTGGAGAGAACGCGGGAGCTTGAAATCAGCAAGAAGGCAGCCGAAGCGGCCAACGAAAGCAAGACACTGTTCATTGCGAATATCTCTCACGAGTTGAAGACGCCATTGAACGGAATTCTGGGAATGTGCGCCGTTTGCATGGAAGAGAATGATATCTTGAGGATCAAGCAGTCCCTCAAGACTCTCTACAAGTCAGGTATGTTTCGTTTGGCGATGATCTGGGATTGCGCTAATTAAACCAGGCGACCTATTGCTTCACCTTCTCGAGGATCTACTTAGTTTCTCCAAGAACCAGATCGGCCAACAACTTAGCCTGGAAGAGAGGGAGTTTCGGTTGGCAGACATCCGTTCGCAGATCCTGACCATCTTTGACAAGCAAGTCAGAGAGGGAAGAATCACCCTCAACGTCAACTTCTTGGCATCTGATGTTATTGAGCTCAGCAGCAGCCCGGAGAGAAGAAGTATGGACACAAGGCTGCCGGCACTTGGACCTCATGGCACCGGGAGACTGAAGGACATGTGCCTTTGGGGCGATCAACACAGAATCCTCCAAGTCATTATCAACCTGGTGAGCAACAGTCTGAAGTTCACTCCAGCAGGTGGCAAAGTCGATGTCAGAATCAAATGCATTGGCGAGGCAGAGGTTCCAGCCCTCAATGGGGAAGGAAGTAGGTCTTCCTCCTTCTCCAAGGAGTCGAGAAGACATGGAAGATCTCGTCATCGAGTTGGTTCCAGTTCAACCCACTCAGCGAGCTCCAAGGCCAATTCAACATCCGAGAATCTCAAGGGTACTGCTTTAGCCATCAACCCCATGGAGCCCAAGTCGACCCCACACATACACATACGAGAACGGTCTCCAACGCCGCCGCCACCTGGTGCCAAATCTTACATCTTCGAGTTTGAAGTCGAAGATACGGGTCCCGGAATTCCTGAGCACATGCAACAAAAGGTTTTCGAACCCTTCGTGCAAGGTGATTTGGGCTTAAGCAAGAAGTTTGGTGGCACTGGACTGGGTTTGAGTATTTGCCATCAGTTGTCAACTCTCATGGGTGGATCCATTTCTCTCAAGAGCACTGTCGGTGTTGGTACAACTTTCACAATGCAAATCCCGCTGAAATATGTCAAGGACAGGTAAGCTCACACGTTCCCCGAGGAAAACTTTGAACTAATGTTAGGCATTTACAGGACTTCAAGCACCGCATCTAGCAGCATCAAATCCAGACCACCGAGTGTCGACACAATCGACCCTGCAGACATTCCCCGAGACCCGAAACGCAACTCTGGCGGAAACCACACCCCTATTAAGCCCGCCGGCGAGTCGACGGCGAAGACTCTTCTGGAACAACAGCCTAGGCTCGTCGGCTTGAGTCAACCCTTTTTCGCCTCGAATCCCGCGCCGAAGTCTGCCAAACGAAGCACAAAAGACCAGATGGCAGCGATCGACGCCGCCATGGCTTCCAAATCTGACCAAAGCGGGAAGTTGCGAGTGCTTGTTGCTGATGATAACTCAACCAATATTGAGGTCGTCAGCAAGATGCTCAAGCTTGAAGACGTTTACGACGTCACAATAGCCAAGGATGGCCAAGAGGCGTATGATCTTGTCAAAGCCAATATGGATATGGACCAACGTTTCGACGTGATTTTCATGGACATCCAGATGCCAAATCTCGATGGCCTAGAATCTACCAAGCTCATCCGCAAGATGGGCTACAAGGCGCCCATTGTCGCCTTGACGGCGTTTTCGGAAGAAAGCAATGTCAGGGAGTGCATAGAGAGCGGCATGGACGAGTTCCTGAGCAAACCCATCAGAAGGCCTGCGCTGAAGCAGGTGCTGAAGAAGTTTGCAACGATTCCAGAAGAACCGGAGACGACAAGTCAAACCAGGAAAACCACGCCAGAAACCACGCCACAGAAACCCGCCAACGGATCTGCAGCTCATCACCGACCACTAGATGAGAAGGCGGACGCGATCCAGCCAGTTGGAACTGGCGACGGCAACGGCAACGGCAAAGCAACCGCGCTGTCGTCGGATTACCTCTCTGAGAAGGGGACATAATTGACGTTTAACGACCCACAACATGGGAAATTTTCGTTCTTGTTTACACATGCATTATTACGTTTTGTCTTGCTAGGATTCCCCCATTTTCTTTCGTTTGGAAGCGATGCACGAAAAGTCGGCGTGAGGGCGTTGTTTGTTTTGATTTGTCCCGAACATGTATTCATAATGACATTGTCGGGGGACCCAGAGCCGATGGAGGGTCGTGTGGTCATATTTGCTTTGTATTTCTGGGAACGACACGACGTCTGGATGGGTTGGGATAGTTGCATAAGATCAAGACGACTACTTTTGGTCTTCTTCACTGAGCCGCTAAAAGGCTCAAAGCGACGCAACCACAACCGCCTCCTCAGAAGCGAGGGGTTGGAAGATGCAGAGGAGGTCGACACGGGAGAGGGAAGCAGGTCATGATTCCTTTGTCACACGGTGGGATTGGACGGCGGTCCGGGGCGTACACGAAGATACCCGGGACACATGGAATCCCCAGAGATGCGATAAGGAACGTAAGGGAAACGCGGAGGAGCGCGCGGATCGGCAAATAAAGATAGATGGGCACGGCATACGTATTTCCTCTAGGGGGCCCTTCTTCTTGTGGACATATACCTTAATGTCGAGTTTCTACGATGACGGATATTTTTTTTCGTCTCATCGATTTTCGTACTATCTCGTGTTTCTTCAGATGAGCCGTGACCCTTTCTTTACCCATGAGGTAGAGAGAACCAAGACCTCCCCTCCTCCCATGCCGGTTTCGCGGTTGGTAGAATCGGTTCGCTTCTTTCGTCGTCAAAGAACGCTGCTTGCTGGTCTGGTCCGGTCTCACCGCCGTCTCTCTCGAGACTAAGAGTCGAGAACCATCCAAAAGGGCCAAATGCCATGTCTGTTCTATGCAGGATTCTGGAGCAAAATCGCGGGTCCGGGGAATCCGGGTCGGGTTTGCCGCGACCGCTTTTCCTTTTCCCTCTCCTTCCGCCCCGCTCGTTTGGGACCTCCGCATTCGCTGCGGATGAGCGGAGCATGTCGGCACCAAGTGATGAAGTGGAAGAGAGAGAGGACATGGCGGTACGTGTCCGGACAAGCTGGACAGGACAGGTATGGTAAGAGGGGGATAATATTCGTACATAGTGTTGGTCGGGAAGACACGCCGAGGTTTGAGACCAGTGGTGTTCATCATTCAAATACAGTCAAATCAAGCTAGACGTGCGTATCGAGCTTTACTAATTTCATCACTGCGTACAGACCAGGCAAAAAGAAACCAGAACAAGTCGGAAAATGACAACCATCGTGATGTCCCCGTAACGTATGCCAAACTCCATCGGCGTCACTATCCTTCAGCCGTTGCCATCGACCAAGGACCCGATTGATACGAAAACTCCGTTTCGCTCCCCTCCGCCAGACCTGTTTGCCATCCAGGACCGAATTCACACCCGCGTTGTGAGAACCCTCCCCATGGTTTCCGTTTCCCAGCCAGCGCCACCTGGCGAGAAAGCATTTGAGGGTATCACCGCCATCAGTACAACTAACAAGCCAAAAGGAAAGAAAAGCAGCGCGGGAAAAGCAGGAAGAAACTACACTCGCCAGCGCATAAAATGGAAGATAAGCAACTAGACAACTGATAATTGATAAGACTGGCGACTTAGGAAAGAGAAGAGAAACTGGTTCGACATCTGGCCGTTGATGGCTTCGTGTCTTGCTTAGCCAATTGCGACAACCCCAGAGTGGGTGTTGCTGTCGTGAGTCGTGGCCAAAAGAGCTATCCTTGCAAAGCTCTGATAAGGAGAATGTTGAATCGAATAAGCTGCGTTTGCGTCATAAATGCCTCTGGGAGAATCCAGAGAAACAAGAGCCCCGGACCCTCTCACATTAATGAAACGGGGCAGGCGATAAGAGTCATGCGGACTCACGCCGAGTGGGGAGTGGTTCCTCTTTAGATCTCCATGTGGGCCACGACGTCCTCGCTCATGCGCCGTACTGGGCTCTTCCGGTCGGAAATGCTCTCCTCGTCATCGTCTTCATCGTAGAAGAAGCGCTCCTCTGTGTAGTCGTCGTCGGAAAAGGGGACCAAATCACCGTCGGCTCCTCGGTTCCAGAGGAAGCCGTCGCTTTGCTCTTCATCGTCCTCATAAGGGGCAATGATCTCAGCATCGCGGTCGCCAAGCCAGTACTTGGCGCGCTTGTTCGCACCCAGTGCATCAAACTGAGTGCTCCGCGGCCGCTTGAAGGAGCCCGGGAGCGCCGGTTGCAGGCGCGGTGATTGTGATGAGACGACGGGGACGACGCGCACGTAAAGATAGGCGACACGCTTCAAGGCGCGGTTGAAGAAGAAGTAGTGCGCCGCCCAGATGGCCGACTCGTCCTCCTCAAAGGGGTCGACATCCGGGTTGTAGCTGAAAATTGTGCACTCGTTGAGGCGCATCTCATTATCGATCTTGGCCCAGCATTGTGGGCCCCAGACCGCCTTGGTCTCTGAAGAGGTGGCCTGCTCGACCGGATGAGCTTCAACATGTGGTCGCACATTCTGCAAGATCGAGTCCAGGTTTCCCATGACGCGTCGCAGATTTCTCTCCTTTTTGAAGTCGCCTGGTCTCAAAACGTGGGAGAAGTCGTAATGTTGGTGACTTGCGTTCAGCGTTGCAATGAGATAAGCGAAGGTGCGACGACTTGACAGTTCGGACAGAGGACCAAACGCGCTCGAGTGTGAGAACATTTGCATGTTTGGTGACGTCGCCAGCATGGCCTCGCGATCCGGCGGTGACAAGCTGGCACCCAGCTTGAGCAGCGCCGCATGTTGCGAGTTCAGGTCCTTGTCGATATTCTTGTAGAGCTTCTTATCGGATCCGGTCGACTTCGTGGTGTATAGATCGCAGCCGCCGGTAACATTGCAATCGGGGGTGTTGAAGTTGAGAGCGCCAGTGACGGCGTCGAAATCTTGAAGTGGTAGGTACTGCGAGCGAGGTTAGCATGATCGCAGAGTTGCGACGCGCTGCCGCCTGCCTCTGCGGCAGATGGTTCGCACCTTCATCGTGGGTGGTCGAGGCCGGGTTTCGGTGAACGTGGAGAGATGAGGTTGTGCAAAAGAGGCATCCGAGTATTGATGTGCGATGAAAGAAAGTTCAGGTCACAGGCTCCCTCGCTGTCGGTCTGGGGGCTGTGGTGAGCTTATCGCCGGTATCGCGCTGCGATCAGGTTGTGATGGGGCCGTTGGATTCCGAGGTGCTAACGTGTCGGATGATGTCACGGGAGATGGAAGTCGCGCCAAGTCCGAATGGGGCAGCGGTGGCTGTGGGAAGATAAGTGTCTCGGGTTGCGAGATGTCGAAATCGAGAACAAAGAGGCGAGACGCAAATGATGCGCCGCGAGGATGGAGGTCGGTTTTGCTGGAGGTTGCTTGTCTGTTTCGTTGGATTGAGGAAGCCGGCAGCCTGATTGCTTTAGATAAGGCAAGGAGCGACTCGACCCTGTAGATCAGTTCGGTTCGGATAGAAGAACGTAGGCTAGACGCGATGCGCCTAGTAGGTGATCTGGTCGACAGACATTACTAAATAACGGGTGTTCTGATGGGATGTTGTTGATGAGAGGGGAGAAACGGAGGGGTACGGGAGAGGGATGGGCTGACGAAGGGACGGGAGTTTAAAGCAGGAAGCCAGGAGGGTGCGCGGAGCTGGCGGCGGCGGTGGTGCTGTGCTGTGCTGTTGCAGTTTCGGCTGATCTGACAGACGGGAGGAGGGTGAGGTGCGGTGCGGTGACGCCTTCCATGGGCCCTCCGCCCAAGTGTGGACTATGGGCTGGTCTGTGTCGTGTCGTGTCTCTGCAGTGTGCACCGCCGGGTTGGCTTCCGGGCTGACAAGGTCCCCGCCCAGTCAAATGGCACCGTATTAGCCATCGCGTCAAGTTGGCAGCTCCCTCTCCCTCTCTGAGAAGCCGAGCCAGTTCCAAGATAGGGAGCCGAGAGTGGAATGGGGCCAACGGGGGGAGTCTGTGACAAAGCGTATCTGGGAGTGCTGGCATTGTTTGCTGGGCCGCCGCACTCTGCTGCGACGGCCTGCGTCGACCTTGGCACCGGATTCGCGGGGGACCGCCTAGAATGTCGGGGTCCAGTCCCTGTCCGTTCCTTGCTGGTTGGGGACCACCCGACACTTCGAGCAGTCCAGGTCTCCACGCCGGAAAAGGGGGGACGCAGCCGGTAATTCCCAGGCGAATGAAATGGCGTCAAGAGGCCACGAGTAACTATTGGGAGCCCCATCTCGCAACATGACTTCATACAGTCCGAATGCACGATGTGGTATGCTGCTCATTCGCTCGTGTCGTAATACTCGTCTATTAGCAGATCTGATGCTTTTTCCGGAGTGCAATGCTCGTCGAGTGCCGTCGTCGACTCGGGCCCCGTGGTCGTCTCCTGCGACTGCTCTGGGGACAAGACTCCAAGCCGACGGGCCTCGCGGATGGATGCAAACTGCGCAACCCGCACCACTTCATGTCTGTTCTCTTGATAACAATAGAGGGTGGTTTTCCACCTTCCAAGATCTATGCACACAAAAGGCCAATCGGGCCACTCCGTCCATCATCGCACCTGCGTCGTTCTGTAGTCCCGCTGTCGCGTATCGGCCATTTCTCCGACTCGCTCTTCCACTGCTGCTGCTGCCACTGATGATCGATCGGCATGGGCGACTCAGAGGATGCCCACTTTCTTGAGCGACGACGTGATCTCTTCCGTTTCCTGGATGAATGGCAGAGCGCCCATTAGCCAAAAGCTCATCAATGCCATGCACCCTTGCGCAGCCAGTATTATATGCGTATATATTTTCGTAGATTGGGTTCGAGACTGTTCGTCGGGAATCGCGTCACCCATATATGGGTGAGTGGTTGGACACTGAACGGGAGGAGGGTTACATGATCTTTGTAACCTCGTCCTCGACCTGAAAAGTGGGAGGGAGATTGTCAGCCGTGAGACTTCGCCAGTGGCGCAGCTGGAATTCATGGTTTTCAAGAGACGCAGCAAGAGACGCAAATGAAAGTCAACCAAAGTAGCAGCAGCATGCAAACGTACCTCCATATCCTCGAGCGAGTCCTGTTGCGATATACAGCGCAACACATTCTTTTTACTGCTCTCCTGCAGCTCTCCGGCCAACAACAGCTCGTCCAGGATGTAGTATGCCTTGGTGAAGGAGAAGATGATATCCAGCTCGCACACGTTTCCGTAGTACTTGTCCATTTGCTCAACGTAGCGGTGGATGATCTCAAGGGTGATCAACTCGTTGTCTTCCGAGGCGCATCCGGCGATGAAGAAGAGCGATGCATATCGGCGATAGACGATCTTGGAGTCTGGATGGTGTCAGCTGGTTTCGAAAAGGTTCAAGGCAGAGGAGGGGCCGGCGACTGACCCTTATACTCCAGGAAGTTGCACATGCGGGTTCGGCGTGCGAGAACCAGCTGGGAGACATCCTTGACAATCTTGGCCTTCTCCTTAGGCGATAGGGTGGTGAACCACTTTGCCAGGCGCTGTAAACAATGCCATGTCAGCAGGGACATCTTCGAGGGGGTTCCTGCCACGGAAATTGGAGCATACCACTTTGCCCTGACGGGAGAGGAGGATGAGGTAGCTGTGCCATCATTTAGCTGTCTTGCTCAGATGCATCGACGACGAGGGCGATGAGGAAGCATACTGGATGGCCATGATGATGCTTTCACATCACCCAGCGGGGTGGATTGAAGGAGAAATCGAGTCGAGAGATGGACGAGACAAAAGTCGTGTGGAGCTCGACCGAAAGTGGTGCGGTGCGGCGTGGTCAAGGAGAACAAACCGAGCAATGGACTCAGGTTGGCGACGAACTGCTGCTCGAGGTGCGGTTCTGTCGTGTGCCCGTGGTGTTTCCCCCTTGGCAGTCCAGCGAATAGCAGCGACGTCAGGCTGAGAGCAAGGTGTCAATTTTGGCAGGTGCTGCGTCCTCAGGCAATGAAGGGACGGGACCCGGGACTGGACGGTGCTGACTTGGAAGTGAGCCCTGTAAGAACCAGTTCTGGTGTGGCCTGGAGCGATCTTACAGCGACTTTAGTCACTGGAGTCTGGTTAGATCACTTTCCATTAGCGGACAGCCCCCTGAAGAGACATCTGCAAAACAAAGCTTGACCTCGGGAGAATGCGTCCGATGGCTTTGTGTGCTTCAGATCCAATGTCAGCGAGCGTGGTGGAGGTGGGTCTGAGTCGACCAGAGCAGCAGCAGCGATTCATGCAGGCTGAAGGCGCTCACAAGCGGTGGTTGGTGGAGGACAGTCCCAAAGATGGCGTCGAAATGCACACAAATCAGCCCAAAAGCACTGACGCGATGCGCTACACCCCACTACACTACCGCACCGCAGTGTCGCTGCGTGGAACTGCCCCTCGGAGTCGCGCTCCTGCCGAGTTCGCGGCCAGAGGAGGGGTGGAAGGTGGGATGGTGAGGGGGGGAAGTGAAGAAATCCCATCATTTTGTCTTGATTCAGTCATCTTTTGATTTTGTCATTGAGACGGCACGGCTCGAGACGAATTCCCCGTCCGCCTTTCAAAACAAGCACAAGTCCGGACTTCCCTAGTCTTTCTGATCTTCTTCTCATTCTTCCTGCCACGGACATCTAGACCCACGATCGTAAGCAATCTGGGATCTCGGATTCTATTTCTTCAAGAACCCCGCGTATCACGACTACTACGCCAGGTGCTGCATCTCTCCGATTTATCTCCCATAAGCCGAATCTCGCATACACCTGCGCCAGTATCCGTACACCATAACATTATTAATTATTCCGTCTCACCTGTAACTGCGACCGGACCCTACCACCAAAATCCGTCGTTATCGGCGCCCTTCGCCCATTCGGATTGTTAAGCAGCCCCTCCAAACTCTAAAAATTACAGGCGCGCAGAAAAAAGCCCAAAAACAAGCCCAAGTCGACATCATCACCATTGCGCGATAAGGACCCCTTACGACGCAATCTACTCCCACCGACCTTTGGACTTTGGATTAGCGTTCTATTGTTTTATTCTTTTCCCAGCAAACCTCTATCTGTCCGCGCCATGACGAAACTCATTCTATCCACGGGGTGCGTTACACTCTCCCAATCTTTTAGCTAATCACAATTTTCCCTATCCATTTCCTTTTGCGCAAAGAAGCTGATTGGTGTCCTTCGCCTCGCGCAGAAACATTGTCTCGGGCGGTCCCTCCATAATCCGCAAGCCAGGCGCATACAGATCAAACCTCGAACTCACAAATTCGCTGAGGAGCAACTTTCTTGCTGCTCAACAGGATTATTCGCCCTACGAAGAGGCTTCCCCAATCGACGATGACGACCACAACGGGACCCTGAACGGACACTCGAATGGCTTCAACAATGGCGAGAACGGTCGCTCTGGCCGACCCCGCCTTGACGTGTGGACCACCCGCGAGGATGGCGCCCTCTACATTCCCCGGATAGACTGGTCCTACTCAGGTTTGCAGGAAGAGCCAACAAACTACGACATCACCGTGAAGCTATTCTTTCTCCCCAACGCCCCTGCCGAGGACCGCGAGCGCTACGTCCAAGAGGCCCTGGACCTCGTGCGTAAGGAACTCGGTGTCACCACGATAGATCTCCTCATCGCCTCTTTCCCCGGTATGTCCTTCGAGGGTGACTGCGAGTGGGAAGCCGACAAGCGCAACGCCAGCCAAGGCAACATCGATCAGGAGGCTGCCACATGGACAGTTCTGGAGGACCTGTACCGTCGCGGCGAGGTCAAGGCCCTCGGTATCTCCGAGTTCGGCACGGAGAAGCTGGCAAAGTTCATTAAGAAGGTCAGCATCCGTCCAGCGGTTGACCAGATCAACATCAAGGACTGCTGCAGCGTCCCGCCCACCCTCGTCAAGCTGGCCAAGGCAGAGGGTGTCGAGTTGCTCGTTCACACTGATTGCACCGACATCCTGCCTAGCGGCACCCTTCGCGAACTTCTTGGCCACGGACTGCAGGGCGCAGGTGTCCTGGCTGACCCCCTCGAAGGCGGAGAGGGTTTGTACGGAGACCTCGTCCCGGAGTGGGTGGTGAAGTACACAGCCTTTGTCAGAGACCGGGGAGTGATTGAGAATAAGGGCTACTTTGCTGGCGCAGAACTCGTAGAGAGTTCATGAGAGCGTCGCTCTTCTGAATCCGTTGGGAGGTTTTATGTGATACCATGGCTGAAGACGGCCTATAGACAAACACTGCATAGCGTTTCTGATGTTGGCGATCTTGGGTATTCCTCGACGGCTGTATGAAGCCTCCTGGTGTCTATTAGAGTCTTGGTCCCAAGACATTTCTCACGAACATGCTCTATTCCTTTTCTCGGAAGTTCCAACACCGTTCGCCTTCTGATGCCGATTTTGGTATGACTACTCCTTCAGCAACGCCTCCGTGAGCCTTTTCCCCTTCTCGCCGCCCAGGTAAATGTCGTCCTCGACGCTTTCCAGTCCCATCTCAACCGCTTCCTTGTAGCCTCTGGCCACCATATCCTCGTCCACGCGCAGACCGTTCTCCACCAGCGCAAGAATCACACTGCGTATCCGCGCGATCTCCCGCATGGTGTCGACGTCAATGCGGTCGTTCTGGCTCGAGTAGACGTTGGCGCTCACGGTCTCCTCCATCCGGTTCAGGCCCACCGACTCGGGCATCTCGCTCTCGACATGCTTGGCAATCCAGATGAACCCGTTGACGCCGAGCGTGACGTGCACCTTGCCCGCGCCCCTCGCGGCGTCCATGACCCACTGCTGCCTCTTGGACCTCACGACGCCGCCGCCGCCGCCGGTTCCCGTGACGGCGACGAAGACGCCGTTGCGCAGCTTGCCGTACTTGAGGGAGCGGGTGTGCAGGCTCGCGGCGCCGTCCTGGTGCAGCTGCTGGACCTCGGCGACGACGAGGTCGCCCTCGGCGAAGAAGGAGCGGATCTGGAGCTCGTCCGTGTCGGTGCGCTTGCGGAGGATGCCGCCGGGGAGGTTGATGGCGGAGATGGCGAGGATGGCGAGCTGCGAGGAGCCGACGTCGACGCGCCAGCGCTTGGCCTGGACCTCGACTATGCGGCCGACGACGAGGTCGCCGATTTCGGGGGTGTACCGGGCGCGGAGGGGGCGGACGGAGAGGAGCTTGTTGGTGCGGGTTACGGTTCCCGCGACGGAGGAGACGATCTCGGTCGTGCTTGGGGTCACGTAGGTACCGTGGCCTCTGTGTGCCTCGTCAGTATAACGGAATCGTCCAATACGTGCAGAGGAGTAGAGGAAAATTTGAGGCCGGGGCTTGGAGATTGGGAGAAGACGAACCTCATCCACTGGGGGTCGTCCGTGATGACTTCACCGGGCGTTACGATCTCGTAGTTGTCGCCGCGGGCACGCTTAGTCGGGCGCATGGGCACGTCGCCCTCGATGTCGACGCCGCCATCGGAATCTGAGTCGGAATCGCTGGCCTGCTGTGGGGGCTTGTGTTGTGACGGCGTGCCTCTCGGGGCGAGGATTGTGATGGGCATTTTTGCGGGAGTTGGCGGCGACGAGGCCGTGGAACAGATGGTTTGCGGTGGGTTTGAGCCGTTCGTAGATGAAATCCTAGTTTCCAGGAAGTTTTGGGCTCGTTTTTGCAGCTTGGAGGCGCCAATCGCGGATTTCGCCGGGGTTCGTGGAGTTCTTTGGGTATGGTGAGGTTGAAGTTGCGAAGTGCAAAGAATTTTTGGTGAAGCTTTGGAGGGGCAGATTGGAGCATGCGATTGATGGATAGCAACGCAATGCTTCTGTGACTTCCAGAAGCCTCAGATCCCAACAGATCTGTTCACGGTTGAACAAAAAAGAATTCGGCATTATTATTATTTTCATATTAACAGACTTTACGTTGGAAATTATTATTCTTCATTCACGGCGTTATAATACAGGTCGTCCGGCTGCTCCCATCAGGAGCCTCCTTTCGCATACAGTTGGCAGCTGCGCGGGGGATGAGCGGCGTGTGCCTTCTCTCAAGTTCTCTTTGGAGAAAGACTCCTTCATTTGATATAGATTTCGGCCTTTCCAGTCCCCTTCCCGGCCGTCGCACTGTTCTCATCTTCGTCGAGCATTCGCGGGCGATCGGCGGCAGCGACCGATTCCGTGGCGGTTCTTCTAACCTGCCTACCAGCTTTTCCCCGTACGTATGATCTGAGTGGTGATTTCGGATTCAGGTCCTCCTCGTCGTAGCTCTCTTCACCGAAGAAATCTCCAGATTCCCAGGTATGCCAAGCCCATCGAGATTCCAGCGACACCAAGCTTGCGGCTTCTCAGGCCGAACATCGAATTGGACTTGAGGATCATCGCGCGCTGTCTTTCGAGGTGGCTCATGCCGGAGACGTAGTTGTAGCCCGCGAGCGCGATGAATGCGCCGCTTCCTGCACGCGATACCATCAGCATGTTGCGCCTCTAACGAAGTCGGCATAGCCAAGGGTCTTACCAATGACTCTGCAAGACATGCAATCGTCGCCGCGGTCCTCGCGCAGGAGGGTGTCGAGGTTCTCGGGCTTGTCGAGGGTGCCCACGCTGGGGACTTTGTCTCCTCCTCCAAACATGGCGGCGGTGGCTCTGAGTCGACCTTACAAAAAAGTCGAGATGATCGACGGGTGCTCTGGCGACGAGTTAACGCGGTGTACTGTGCCTTAGAATCTGGGGAGCTTTACACGGCGGGCGGCAGGATTGCGGTGCATTGTGATTGGCTGGATAGAGCCGTCCCTTGCACTAACATTTAATTTCATCATCGGGCATGTGCGCCACGGCGGGATGGGTGGGTTCCTGGCTCTGGAGCTTCCGCTGCCAGCAAGCACCGACTCTCCGTACCTCATCACCAACAAGAGGGAGATAGAACCCTTCCCCCACCCGGCCTTCCTATACCGCACATGCCGACCTGACGATGAACGGCGTTATTGAGGCGCTGCACATCTACGATGAGCACAAGTCAGTCAGCTCACGGAGTTATTTGCTCGCCGAGAAAGACTGACACCCCGCAGCCATGCTATCCTGTCGCACACGTACACCTCCCGCCCTCTATCAGCGCAGCATCTCCTCCCACTCTACCTCGAACATCCCACGCCGCGGCCGAATCTGATATATCTACCGAATACGAGCCCGCCTACTCTCGTCTTTAGCCTCAAGCACGCGAATCTCTTGTTCCTGGCGACCTCGTCATCCGAGATTGAGCCTCTCCTCGTCCTCGAGTTCATCCACCGCATCATCGACGTATTCGAAGAGTTTCTTGGCGCTCCCTTGCTGGCGCACAAGATCGAGAGCAACTATGATGTGGTCGCGCAACTTCTTAACGAAATGTGTGACGCCGGCACGATAAACACTACGGAACCGAACGCGCTGAGGGATCTGGTCGAGGTAGAAGGATGGGTGGGCAAGCTGCTCGGCAGCATCAACCTGCCAGGGTACGAGACGCGTCGCAAGGTTAAGACGTAACATGCTGACTAGTGTCTAGGAAGCCTGGAAACTTTGCCACAAGCTTTTCGAACTCGAGCGCACCTTCATTGATCGCGGCGAACACCCCGGCTTTGCCCTGGCGCAGGGCAAACGTGCGACACACCTCTAATGAGATGTACGCCGACATCGTCGAGACTCTGACGGTCACGCTCGCGCCTTCAGGACGACCTCTGGCAGCGTTCGCCAACGGAACAATAGCATTTACTTGCAAGGTGTCAGGCGTACCTGACATTGTCATGACATTAACGAGTCCATCCGGAAAACACAACCTCGCGGGTTTTATGGAGTTGCCTGTATTTCACCCTTGTGTTCGTCTATCTAGGTGGAAGGAGAGACCCGGTGAACTCAGTTTCGTGCCTCCGGATGGCCGCTTCATCTTGGCGAGCTACGAGGTTGACTTGCTGCCCTTCACCAGCGGCAAGAGTGGCAACATAGGCGCAAATAATCTCAAGCTACCAGTCAACATCGAAATGAAGACTGGACTTGGGCCTGCGGGCTCCGACTTTGAAGTCCGTCTTCATGTGAACAAGGTGCTGGGTGCGGGCGGCCCATCATCACAAAGTCAGTATGGAAGGGGCGGAGGAGGAGCTGGTCGAGGTTTCGGGGGCCCTCATGCCGGAACACCAGCATCGCCATTAATGGAGGATCTCATCGTCACGGTGCCGTTGCCGGCTGAGGTTAGAAACCTGTCAGAGCTGCGGCCAAGCAAAGGAGATGCGAGCTTCAGCCCCAGCGAGAAGGTTCTGGAGTGGCACATCCCAACCAAGGAGTTGTCAGTCGGCACATCATACTACGGTCTCAGGGGTACGGTAGTTGGCCAGCTTCCTGACGAGGACGAGGATGAGCTGGACCCCAACGGGTTCGGCTTCGGAAAGTCTTACGGCTACGACGAACCATACCAGGCTACCAGCCCGGTCAGGACGAAGAAGACGAAAGAAGCGGTGGACGACGAGAAGGATGCCAAAAAGGTGGCCCAGAACAAGATGCTGATGCCCAGCTCGGCCTCGGTGAGCTTCTCGGTCAAGGGTTGGTTACCGAGCGGTCTTAAGGTGGAAAGCATCATGATCGACCCGCGGAAGAGCAAAGGCTTGGGAGAGGGCGTGAAGCCGTACAAGGGCGTCAAGTATCTGACTGTCAGCAAGGGCGGTGTAGAGACTCGGTGTTAGTCTGCGCAATGACGTGAAATATAATGACTAGAATTTTTAGAGCATCAAGTTATTTCACATGCTGGCGGGCTCTGCCTTGTTTAGCCTAACGGCTGGTGGGAACCTAGGGGACGTCAGCAGAAACGGTCAGAGACTGATGGCATTGCCAACCATGGGATTGCCATGTGCTGCCAGGTATTCCAGGCTTAAGTCAACATCGTACATCTTCCAAGATCACTGTGACTCCAGATCTCCAACTCATCGGCGGCAATTGACCCCTGGTCCCTGGGGTGATCATTCCATTTGCTGAAGTGCCCCGCTCCCGGCGCAGCGGAACCAAGAAACGCGCCTGTGAGAGGTGCTCTTCAGCGCGCAATCGCGGGGTACTCCAGCGAGGAGGTCCATCATCTCCAGGTCGGCCTCGGGACTTCGGCTAGGGGCGGCCACTAGGAGCATCCGCCAATTGCCATTCTGGCGTCACCAAAACCGCCTGGCGTCATTTGGCATTGTCCAACGCCCTACCGCAGCAAAAGCCTGGGGCACCACGTTCCCTACCCGTATGCCGCGCGTGGCTTAGGTTGGCTGTGTGACACATTCGACGACTGGTCGAGAAAAAACCCGAGACTTGTTTTCGCCTCATTCATGCCTCTCGAACCGGTCCTGGATTTCCCCGTTTTCTCTTTATTACTCGCAAAGGGGGACGTTCGAGTAAGCTCATGTTGGCGATAATCTAGCCACCCCCAGCTCGCAATTGGCTGGCGCCACTGGTCATGACAGCTTCCGGAGCTCACTTCATCCGCCGCGGCGGCGAACGCATATGGGCCGATGGGCTGCTCGGCTTCCTCGGCCGAAGACCAGCCGCGACGACGAACAACGATATCGCATCCAGGATCAGGAGTAGTCGGCGACATGCCTCGACGCAAGGGAAGCGGCCGCGGACGGCTCTCTTCTTTCCAGGTTAGTTCACAATTGACAAGGGATTGAGGTTGTCATGATCACGGCGCATAAGCTAACAACGGCATTGTGTAACTCGCAGGCCAAGGAGTACAGAAGGTCGGCATGATGACGCCCTGGCTCGAAGCCTTCCCCGCCACCGCGAAACCGATTCTCGAGGAGATTGACCACTACATGGGCTACAAGCTCTCCGACATCATCGCACACGGGCCGGGGAAACTGCTCACCCGGACACCAAACGCCCAGCCGGCCATTATGGCGACGTCGATCCTCATCCTGCGCATCCTCGAGCGCGAGTTCGGCTTCGACGTGCCGCAGCGTGTAGACGTCACCCTGGGCCACTCCCTGGGCGAGTTCGCAGCGCTGGTGGCGGGCGGGTACATCGAGTTCGAAGACAGTCTATATCTCGTGCGCAAGCGTGCCGAGGCCATGTCAGAAGCGACGAGGCGCGCCATGGATGAGTATGGCGGGGAGTACGGCATGGTCGCCATTGTCACAGAGCCTGAATACCTCGGTCCCCTGATCAATGCGATTCACGACTTCGTGGGCCACTCGAGCGCAGGGTCCAAAGGGGACAGCTCCGAGGACGTGCCGCCCATTGAGCAGGTGCTCATCGCGAACATCAACAGCAAGAACCAGATCGTGCTGAGCGGGAGCATCGAGAAGATCAAGACGCTCGCGACCCATGTGCGGCAGTTCCTGGGCCACGACCCGCGGGCGGTGCGGTTAAATAGCGACAGCCCTTTCCACAGCCCAATTATGAAGCCCGCGGTGTCGGTGGTTAAGAGTATGCTGTCGAAGAAGAGTAGGGTGAAGGGGCGCGAGGGGGAGGATATTATCACGTTCCCGGGGAGGTTGCCATGTATAAGCAACGTCAGCGCGAGACCGTTTGAAAGTAAAGAGGATGTGAAGGATCTGCTAGCGAGGCAGTGTCTGGAGACGGTGAGGTGGTGGGACAGCATCAAGTACCTCGACCAGGAGGAGAAGGTGAGGCGGTGGATTGGTATTGGGCCTGGCAAGGTTGGACGCAACCTCGTGGGAAAAGAGGTCGGTATGAGGGGGAAGGACTCAGTCAAGGGCGGTGGTGTCTGGGCTATCACTGACCCGAGCGAGATCGAGGAGGTTTTAAGGGGCTTAGAGGACACGGAGAAGGTGTCTGAGGAGGAGATTGACTGATGAGTTATTGAAGATTGATGACATCTTTATGCGGTTTCTGGGGTTCTCCGGCACGGCGCTTTTGTTAGCCACGAGTATCAGAGCTCGTTTATGGTCTGTCTTGACTAATTATCATAATGATTGTTGGCGTGGGGTTATCCGTACATCAATACTATTCTTGTAAGAAGGCTGTGGCCACAGACAATTCTTGTACGTTCTATGATCGTTCAATATGCGAAGGTCTCAGGCATCCATCAAAAACACCGTCTCCCAGACTCCGTGAGTGTCGTGGAGCTGTGGTGACCCAGACGGTAAAGAGCAGAGCTGCTAGCTGACCCCTGACCTTGATGCGGGGCACCAGAAGGAGGACCCAAAAAAGATTAAGCTCCCGTCCACACCAGCTACCCCAGCTCTCCAATCTCCAACTCAAGACTGACGTCCGCTCTCAATCAAAACCGTGTCTACCGACCGCATCGCGCATCCTCCGCCGGAAGCCCACCGAAACACACGCCCTGCGCGAAGAAGCATACCACCGGCCGCGCCCATGGCGACCGCGATCCCCTCGATAGCCTGCATTGGCATCATCGGCCGCAACGTACGCTCTCCCCCGTCACCCGCAACCCCTCCAAACCCTCCGTGTCCTCTCTGCAGACTTCACGACCATGCTGCGAACGACGACAACGAAGCTGACATGACGCGCAGAACAACCCCCTCCACATCTCAATCTTCCCCTCACATAACCCGTCCACGAACACGTTCGCGCCGATCCGCACGCCCCTCCAGTTCTCCCTCCTCCTCTCCTCGACCCTCGACATCTTCGAGCTGCGCCACAACAGCAACGGCGCCAACGCGGCCGGCGCGGGAGTCGGCAGCGGCTCCGGCCTCTCGGGCGAGGTCGGGCTCCTGCACGCCGTCGACGAGCGCCTCGCCGCGTACGGGTGGGAGACGAACACGGGCGTCAAGATCGTCGTCGTCGTGGACATGCGCGGGCGGCGGGTCGGCGGGGCGGGAGACGCCGCCGCGGCGTCTGCCAAGGGACGCGGGGCCGTCGGGCTGAGGGAGCAGGAGCTGCGGGTGGTCTTCAGGGCGGTGCAGAGCGCCTACGTGCGGCTGTTGCAGAACCCGTTCTACGAGCCCGATGAGCACTCGCCGGTTTCCGGGCGCGGCGGCAGGGTTATCAAGAGCAGGAAGTTCGAGGGGGATGTGAGGAGGATCGGGGGGGCTTGGACGCCTGGTGTCACGGCGCTGTGATAGCATTGGGATATGTGGTGTGTGGAGTCTTCGGCGTTCACAGAGGGAGGTCCTCATGGTTTACGAATTGATTGCGGGTCTATATTGATGGGCCAGGTTGTACTGGCGTTGTAAGATATCTATCTTGAGACTCAAAGGTCTAAATCGCCTTAAACAGATTTGTGTAAATCCAGCAATCGCCAAAATGCTATGCTATGCATCCATATATATCTCTTCTGGGCGTAATTTAAAAAGCAGAAAACAGAACGTTTCCAAACCAAAAGAACAAGATCATCTCCTGTGAGACTCTTCCAGCTTGCGCTCTGCCTCCTCTAGAGCTTGCCACCTTTCGATGACGAGCTTGTCTGTGCCGAAGGGCCCGTCAACGGGTCTCGATGGTCCCATGACCGCGTCTGTCTTTCTACCTCCGGGCGATAGAGGCTCGTCCTTCTTTGGCATGGACGGCGAGGAGTTCTCCCAGTGTCGTGCGGCGCGGGGGACCGGAGTCCACCACGCCTCGGGCGGGCCCTCACGGGCGTGCCACGCAGCACTGCAGAGCTCCCAGAGTCTACTGGCAGCACGGCGAAAAGCGAAGCGTTCGTCCTCCCCAATGAACTTGGCTGTCTCGTTGAAGTTCGGACTCGTCCCGCTCACGTGCCCTAACTTCCCGAAATCGGAATCCTGATCGGGATCGTACTTGGCCGTCGGGGTTTCTGTGTCGTAGTACGAGATGTTGGGTCGGAACGGCGCCGCGGAGTCCTGATAGACTTCTGCGATGGTTTCGGAATAGATGGCGTCCGAGTCGACGACTTCCTCCGCGGCGGCTGCGGCGGCGGCTTTCTCTTGTGCGCGGATATCCGGGAAGAAGAGGTCGTCCGGACCCGTCTGAGCGCGGACGAACAATTTGCATCTGGCCTCGTAGAGGGCGTCAAGCAAAGTGATGAACCGGCGGGCTTCGTTCTTTTGGAGTGATGTTAGAGTTGGGACCTTGTCTATGATGAAGGTGTGGTATGTCGATGCCATGGTCACGTAATCTGCTGGGCCGAACGTCGCGACCAAGGGATCAAAGTCCCAGTAGACTACGCCATGTCGTTGGCGGGGTACACGGATTGTGCGACCATACACCGTGAGCTCTGCCGGGCTCCAGGGTTCTGAGTGATAGGAGGAGAGTTCTGTTGACCAGGGTGTTGAATCCGAGTCCAGCATGAAGTATTTTGCTGGTTTTGTGGTTTCCGAGGTTTCTTGTCCTGCTGGTGTTAGTGATAGTGTTCCTCAAGCGTCAGGGGAAGGGGACACACACCATCCTTAACCTCGGCTTGTTCTACGACCGAGCTGGTAAGCGGAGTTTCAACAGAGACAGTCTCGCCAGATTCTCGTCGGCGGAAGTCAGTAGCTCCTTCCATGTGCCAGAAGTCACAACGGGCCTTGAGTACTTCAAGAAAGGCTGCGAAGTCGTTTTGGCTATGTAGAGTAGACTTAGAACGAGCTCCGCCAAGGAACAGACTCTTGAGAAATCCGTCCGATGGCGGGACTGTGTACTCGACACCAATGGCTTTCTGGAGTTCCTCGGGCATGCGGTTGGACGAGGCTATAAGGACGCCTCCAAGGTGGAAGAAAGCGATGAACAAGTGGCTAAGGATCTTGCTTGCTGCGCGGTCCGGAAGCTGAAACTCGTCCAGGAACAAGATCGGGGACTCTTCGACGAGCTTCTTGGCGAGCCATAGCATGGAATACTCCTTCTCATTGCCCGTGAGCTCTGGATGCGACTGGCGAAATCTCTCGAGCTGCGAGAGCGTGTATAGCATGAAGGTATTGAAGTGCCAGCGTCTCTTCTTTTCTGTGGGTAAACCCTGAGCCAACAAGTCAATCAGCATCGACTTGCCAACGCCGACCTCGCCGGAGAGGAAGAGTCCTTTGGGCGACTTAATCGTGATGGCACCCTCCAGACTAGTCATGACGTGAACCAGTGCCATAGGATTCGGGTCGGTCGTTTCTGGCATCGCTTTTCTCGCCAGGTGCTTGAACAGTGGGTTGTCCCATATCGGATGGCTTGGCATGGCTAAAGTTGCGGCGGCCTCTTCCGGATCCCGAGCCTCGGGGATTTCGGCGACTTGCTTGAGACGCTCGCGGTAGTCGACCTCTGGAGCGTAGTCTTTGAGTCGGGAATACAGCTTCTGAAGGTGAATGGCTAGCCGATGCTGAGAGGGGTCCGGGGCGAGAAGTTTGGTAGACACGAGTGTGCGATACTTGACCAAAGGGTCGGTGATGGCCATGGCGGTTGAGTATCGCCGGACCATAAGGGCCATCCTCGCCGGTTGTGGTTTCATCGTTGCCGTTATCGTTGTGATCGTCATCTTTAGAGTATGGTATGACCAGGAAAGAGAACGCTGGCAACGAGACGAGGCGGAGAGAAATATTAGGCAGTGATATGTCTTCTCTGTACTCGAGATAGCAATCTGAGGTTTCGGCCTGAGAAAATTACACTCCAACTCTCCTTTTATACGGCACCACTGAATTTAGGATCAAGGCGCCAGAGCCGTCAGATGCAACCTAGAAATAGAGAAGAGCACCGGAACGATCCCTCAAGTCTGACCAAATAAGGAACGAAAGACAAAAGGCTATCGTGTCTTGCACCTTTGGCCTCGACTTAGTGATGCGCTGAACTACTGTTGTCCTTCTCTTAGTATACTTAGTTGTGTGGGTGGCAGGCGAAATACCTCCGACTAATTTCGGTAAATGAGTGAGGAAGTGTGTAAGTGATGCTAAACACCCTAGTGTCTGAAGACGTTGACGGATGAAATGATCATGTCGCTGAATTGCCCATCCATCAGCCAAAGAATGTCCCTGGTTCGGAGTTGCTGCGTGGTCGACAAATTTCAAGCCTCGATGTGTGTTCCAGAAGGAAGTAAGTCGGACCCCAGATAGGCTCGGAACCCGAGCCGAGTAACGTGTGAGGAGCCAGCGAGCGAGGTTCGATAGCTGCGGTCTTGATTTATGGCTCGATTGTGTTATTGCAGATCCAGGAACTCAATATGTAACCCTCATGAACACAAAAAATGGTGAATGATTTTTCTTTGTTGCCAGATATCAAAACAGCTCTTCGATGTCTCGCCGTCAGTTTCCGAGGGCCAGCGCTGGAGTGACGTTGTTGACTTGGTTCCCGGGGCTCCACTCAGGGTCAGGTCCCTTTTTTTCTTCCAATGCGGCGACTTCAGTAGGCTCCAGAACGATCGCGGAGTTGTCCAATCAAAAAAGGGGGTTCAGCAAAAGACCCGTCAAAGCAGGTACGTACCGGGCCAAAGTATCGTTGTGCTGGCGTTGCTCCTTGCGCCGCCTCAGCTGGCACGCCTGCACAGCTGCAGAAGGGGGGAACCTGCGCGCCGCAAGCTGCACCACCCAGAAACCCAATACGCTGCTAGCAGGAAAGACAGGAGCTGGCGTCGCTGGTGGTCCGTGCTTGGCAGATGCAGCAACCTTGTGTTTTTTTCGACAAGACCCAATCGATTGATGCTTCGTCACTCTCACATATTTGCTAAATCCGCTTGGGAGTTCTGCCACCTGCGTCTACGGGCCTCCACTTTCCCCAGCAATACCTTAGGCCACAGAATCCATCCTCGAAATGTTTTTCTGATTCTCTTCATCCACCGTACCGAGCATCATCATCCTCACCGCGACCCCAAGACGACTCCTCGCGCGCCCGGTCGCTCGACATCACCATGTTTTCTCCGACCATGAGCGAGGGCGGTCCGGCCACGGCCACGCGAAGCAGAAGACGCCAACGACCCGCCAGCAATGAAAGCCTTGCTCAACAACCCAAGGCCAAGCGCCAACGTGTGCCTCTGACCGAGCAGACCTTCGTGAACCCCGAAGTCTCGTCTACGCCTGCCTCCGAAATGTACGAGGTCAAGTCCGACAAAGTTGCGACGCTCGACGTGCGGCAAGACGGCATCGAAAACCACCACCACCCCATCACACCAACACCTAGGAAGGAGCTCAGCGTACGCGCGAAGAAGCCCAAGGGCGGCGAAAGACCTACCAAGGGCGATGGAAGTGTTGTTTTGGTAGGTCTCACCTCGGTCGCATTCTGCCCTCGACTGCTGCTAACCACTTTCCAGACGACAAACAACGCTTATACCGTGAGCAAACTCCCTGCGCTTCCAGACCGTATCCGTGCAGATGCCTCAGGTAAGTGCTTTGCCATCAACGCGCGCGTCCTTACCTAACCGCCCGTGTAGCTCAGCAGCATGGCGAGATTTTTTCCAACGGCTACGCTCTCAGCCTGAGCCATACCCACGCCATCGTATGGCCCTACACGACCCCGACGCAATCCCCCGAGACCTTTACATTCACTCTCCCATACCCTTCCAAGCATGCTTCGGACCCTCTCCCCTTGGGGTGTCTGGTGTCGCCATCAGCATCATCCAGCGAACCCGGTCTTGTTGTTGTGATGCCCGTAAGCGGGAAAGTCGCCTACTGGGAGTCCATTTCGAGCGCCGCAACATTGGACTTCATCCGTCAACAGCGGCACGGCGTGGAGGGTTCGATTTCTGGCATGTATTCCGGCGAGAGGGTTATCCAGATCACCAATGCCGAGTCCGCCGGCTTTATTCTTGCGTTCAGCAGCGGCAGACTGGCCTTCATGAGCGTACGAGACGGACATGGCAGACCCACGATTTCAGTTCAATTCCTCCGCACGAGCCTCGGACCCGTGAATGGGGGACTTTTTGGAAGCATCCGCCACGCCCTCACACACTCAACCGGACGTGGAGATATCGCCGCTATACGGGCGGAGCGTACCACACGCGTCGGCGAGCGCAATGTTGTTGCTGCAACTCTCAAGGGAAGGCTGCACGCATGGAGGATCCACCGTGGAGGGCACCACGATACCATTGTCGAGGCGGACATGCAAGAGGAAATCGTCGACGCGATTCGCCAAGTCGATCCTTCGAGCAGCGAGTTCCACCAAGACACGTTCGAGGTTGTCGACTTCGCGTTCGTGCCGAAGGGAATGGAAGCCAAGTATCAGGATATGAGCAGATTAAGCGACGCCATGGCTTCTGACGACGTCAACTTACAGCATCTTGTTTTGCTCGTCAGCCTTACAAAGAAGAAGGAATCCCACTACTCCCTGGTTGAAGTCATTCTCTCCTCATCCTCGGCCCAGGTCGGCATGGTCCGGCCTATTACATCCTACAGAGCACGCTACAGCCCTTCAAATCCGCTGCAGTCCGCCCGACCTCGTCTCTACCTTCCCAGGCCGGCTCTGGTGGCTTTTATCGTTTTCGACAAGGCGGTGGTTGTTGCGTCAATCGGCGTTCCTCCCGAATCGCCCGACTCACAACTGCAGGAGGATAATCATATTATTCCCCCAACGTATGAGGACGTTCTCAGTCTTTCTGACAACAATGACTCGGAGGTGCTTGGCTCTGGCTTTGAAGAACCTCACAGTGGTCATGAGGAGTCAAGAAGCCAACGCCAAAAAACAAAGAACCCAGCAGTCGTTTTGATCGTCCGCGGCACCGGCGTCGTCCGACTGACAACAACAGATATAGACAGATTCGGCAGCGACACGCCCCCCAAAGTCACACCGAAAAGCAAGCTAGAGCAGGCCGTTTTCTTCGGCAACAAACAAGATACCCCGCTGGTTTTTGACGGAAGAAGAGGCGTTCAATTTTCGGACAGCGAAGTTGCGGAAGCTGCACTGGAGTTGAGCCATGAGATTATGAGCTCGTCAACACCCTATATCTCCACTGTGCCGGCATCTCTCGAAGACAATCTCAGCAATCGTGTCGTTGCTCTGGAACGCCTGATGCAGCACCTCAAGATCACTAAGGTCAACTTGGACCGAAAGACTCGATGGCTGCTGCTTTCACACGCTGAGAAGATGATGGTCGCGACCATTCTTTGGAAGCGTCACGAGGCGTTCACCAACGAGCGACCTGCTGACGACAAGAAGTCCCTGGTTGCCGAAATCGTCGAATTCATTCACCAGGATGATAAGAGCAAACCTAACCGCAACGCCGGGGAGGTCGACCGTGTGAGACACTGGTTCGTTCACGACGTTGCCAAGGTTGAGCTCTTCATTGCCTGGGCATATGAAGTGATCAAGTACATGTACAAGGACCATATCATGAATGATGTCCGCATCACTCGACTCATGTACGAAGCGCAGCAACTGAACTTGGTAGCGCTCATCACGGCCCTTGACTACCGGCAGAAGAAGTTGGCTTTCTACGGTCTTGAAGACGAGGAGCTAGAATTTGGCATTCTTCGCGACAACTACGAAGGCCTTTCGGAGCCGTGGACAGGCTGCAACTACATCTGCAACAACTTGAAGAGATTGCTCGAGTTGACTCACACATGGCTCGATCAATACTACCCACCAAATGACAAGGTAAAGGACAAGTCGAAGCAGCCTGATCCCACTCTGCTTGAGAAGATCAACTCAGAGATCTCAAATCTGACAGATCAATACCTGGTGTCTCTTCTTGAATCATCGCGCTGGAACGCTGTGCAGCTCGATGCAAAGACGCAAAAGTGGTCTGAGCACTTGACGAAGCTATACGACTCGGAGCGCAACGACAAAGTTCTTGCTCTTCTACGCCTTGGCAAGTGGGATGAGAGCATAAGCATTGCTGAAAAGCATCGATGCTGGAAAGCCCTGGCCTTGGCCATGATCGAACAGATTAACACCCTCAGAAGCGAGGCAACTCTGTCAAGGTCTCAGACCGAGGCTCGTGAGCTCACGAAGAAGGCAGAATCGAGGGAAAGGCAGATTGGCCAATACTTCGACAAGTACGGCGAGGCCTTTGCTTTCCCGACCTACGAGATTTTGCTGGACAATGCCGGCGTGAAAGCAGTCTTGGACTTCGAATTCGACAACCACGCATACAGGACCAAGTTTCTTCGTGAAAGGCCCGAGCTTGCCAGGATATCTTGGATCAACGATATCCAAGGCGAGGATGATATCGACCATGCGGCCAAGACCCTTCTCAACCTCGGACTCAATCGCGAGCAACAGGTCTGGAACAAGAAAATCGAGCTCAGTCTCGGCAAACTCGCTCTCCTGGCCGAAACGCAAGAGTCATCCACGCCTGACGTCTTTGGCTTGAAAAGCACAGAGAGTAGCGAGGACTCATCTCAGTCCAATGACAAGGTTGCGGCTATCGACAACGCGCTTTCACTCATCAAAATTCAAGACCAGCTCTATGCCCAGATCTTCCCCTCGATCCAGACCGCCGTGGATGAGACTGCTGAAGTCCAGCTTGCCATGGAGAACCACTGTTTGCATATTCCTAAGAAGCACAAGGCTCTGATACAGATCTTTGAGACTAGCATGCGGCGGCTCGTCAAGCACGAGGCGTTAGATGCCAAGTCTCTCATAGATCTTCTCACGCTCGTCAGCCTTCCTCCGGACACGGTAGCTGAAATCGCGGACCCCTTCTACCTTGCGCTGTTGGCGGCTTCCTACGAGCTTCAAGGAGAAGAGTTGAAGATGATGAAGCGCCTAATCTGGAGACGCTGCTTCATCCGTGATGACTGGGCCAAGATCAACGACACCCAGTTGAAGGACGACAATGCCGTCGAGGAGAAGCTTGTCAACACCGCGCTCTTTAATGCCTTCGTCTCCTGCTACCAGAATCGTAAGTCTTTCTCTTCGTGTAAATGCCTTCTTTCGCTGACAATAGCCAAGAAACCATTGATGACCCCTACCGTCCATTCCGTCCGTCTGACGCGCTGGGCGCATTTACGGAAGATCTCGACAGCCGCTTCGATGGTATGGAGAAGTCCTTCCGTGACAAGCTCCTGGATGCTATGAAGTGGGAGGATTCAGTCCTGCGCAAGTACATCGAAAAGTCGCGTCTCGAAGAATGGAGCCGTACGACGGCGGAGACGGCCGAGTCGTTGGTTGCAGAATCGGTGGACGATGCCACGCGGGCCGCTACCGAGGAGCTCCCCGAACAGCACACGAATGGCAAAGCGAATGGCATCCACTAGGAGGAACCTGCACCTGTTCCCCTATTATCTGACTTGGATCCTAGATTGGAAGCCATGCATGTCATTCGTCTTGATGGAGGGATTTCTTTGTTCTAGCTATTGGGAATTGTTTGTATTATAAGCCGCACGGCTTCATGGGGGTATGTCCCGCCTTTACAGTGCCACGGCACGAGGCCAACGTTTTTCTTTCTTTACTCATCACTCTTAACTACACACACACACACTTTCATGATGACATTGGGAAGGAGGTTTAAGGGGGGAAGGAAGGGGTTTGGGAAGGTTTCGTCCGGTTTTCTTTCTCTTTTTCCAATATGCGTCTTTTCCTCTCCTTTAAAAAGAAGAAAAGGCACAAAGACCACCAAGAAACGAAACACCAGATATCATTGAACAGCAACAACAAAACGAAAACCATGGGGAACACACGCGAGAGAGGAAGAGAGGAGGAGGAGGCAACACAAGAGGGGACTTGGGCGGCCGGCATCGTCTTGGCGCGTGTAGTAATCAATCGGAGGAGAGAAACAAAGTCTCGGGTTCCCCGTTTTCGAGAGACGGCTTGGGAGAAAGCTGCTCCAGATTAGAAAAAGTTTGATCGTTATTTCTTCTTCTTCTTACTTGATGTGTCTGCATTCGTTCCCATAATGCGACAAACCCTGACCTCTCTAGGTGGGGAGCTTGATGCGTTGGATTGATGCCGGGCGTTGGGTTCGTTACGTGAGATGATGATGAGGCAACTGTGCTTTTTTTGATCTGCCAAGGGGTCGGGAGCAAGGATCTTCCTGCTTTGACAGGTGGGCAAAGTTTTTGGGCACGGCGGGAGGGGAGGGGGCTCCGGAGTTTGGTTTCTTGATGAGTTGAGAGGCATGTCATCATGTAAACTACAAGCTGAGTATGTGTGCCTGCAGTATGGATACTGGTGAGTTGGTGGTTAGTAGGATTTTGGCGGCGGCAGAAGTATCTATAGTAAACGGGCTTTTGTATCAACTACAGCTTTTTTTTTATTAAAAAAAAGTAGTTTGTTTTTGGCCATAGCGATAGCGATGACTACGATGTCTGAAGCATTTCAGCTGGTAAGTAGAAGTTCTGCGGTCACTGTCGCGAGTTGCTTGGTAGAGCATCCTCCTGGTCTTGGGCAAAATTTGCGGGTTTCTAAAGTTTTAGTGTACGGCAACTTTGATAAACCACGATTCATGCTGTTGAGAGAGGCGTTGCGCGCGCAAGAGGTAGACGCCATGGGGAATTCGACGTCATTCACAAGGATGAGCAAGCCACCGTTTGTGCCGAGGAGAGCGAGCCTCATCCCGGGCATTACTCACGGCGGCGGGCTTGTTGTCCGGCTTGAGACATGACTGGTGAACTTTAAAGCCTGAGTTGCTTGGTTCGCCAGATCTTGCTTCGACGATAGCTTGGCCATCTGTTAGTCCGGCATATCTTATAATCACGAGGTCGATGGATCAGCTTTGAGCGGCAGATATCAGAGACAGTGTAGACGGGACTAGCCGGTCGACTGCCCTAGGACTCTGGACTGTTCCTTTCGTCTCGTAGGTTCGTGAGCTCTGAGAGACAAGAAGATTGCATGCAGATGGGACGGGCTTGACGGGAGTTGTTCATTGGATGACGGGTGGTGGAGGGACGCTGGGAGGCCTGTGTGTGGTTGATACTCGTGAGAGTTCTAGGGAGATGGGTCAGCGTTTCATTTGAAGGTTGGAGAATATCTCCGATTGCGAGGGAGGGCCAGCTGACGGGGATCGGGGGAGGAGAAGTGAAACCGTAGGGCGGGAGGGAGACTGAACGAGTGGCTCTTCGAGCCGCATCCCTCGACGGGATGGTGGGAAGAAGACATCGGATGATGTGCACTTTTTGGTTGTGTTGTGCTGATGGGTGGTTGGGTGGGAAGCAATCCGACGCCTAACATCAGAAAGAGGGCAACCCGTATCGAATGGCATTGGGAAGCGGTATCCATGCCAAGGGGCAGCCTCAGCGGTTGTTGGTTGTCAAGCAACGACTTCTGTATCTAGAAGACCCAACATGGAACGGGGCGGGCTTTCTTTCACCGCATCTCGGGCGGCATCTCGGCGGTGGGAACCAAGCTTGCCGGGCTGCAACACCGCTGCAGGTCCAAGCCGGGACGGGCAAAGAGCTGTCGCAGGAGACGATGTCATTGGACGGTGGCGGCCTGAGCAGCTGCAACGGCTGCAGACAGGCGGGTTCTTGTTGGCGATCCGCCATTCTTATTCGACCCGTTGAAGCATTCTTTTGCGGCCATTCGTGTTGAACAGGTGACGACGAATCGCAAACTTTTTGGACGCTCTCATGTGGAATAAGCGGTGTTTCCCGACCCATTCTTTATGCTGTATCGCTTTTGCCGGAGGTGATAGTTTCGATGGATAAGACACGCCGGTACGAGGCTGCAAGGTTTTGCGTTTATGCTGATTACTGAGAATATTAGAACACGTCGTCGCCAGATGCCACGCAGATTGTTAACGGGGTAAAATGTGCTGCGGGAATGGCTCGCAGCACCCTCCATGTACCGAGGATTTCAGTGCAGTATGAGCGAGCATATCTGGATTCCTCAGCTGCGGGCCGGTTCTCAGGAACTCGGTGTGCAGGGCTTGACTTGGAGCGGATGGCATCGCTAGATGCGCTTGTGAAGAAAGCTAGCCGATACGCCATGTTTGATCGTGTTCTTTCTCTTCCGAGGACCTCGCGGTCTCAGGGTGAGGTCATCCCTTGTCTGGATCTTGTGTTGTGTCCCTCCAAAGGGGTCGTCGACCGGATAACGACTGGCTAGCAGAGCTGTTGGGGCTAGGAGATGGAATTCCTCGTCCACGGGAACAAAGCGAGGAATGCCGCCTTTGAAGCGGTTGGAAAGTATCCCGTCAGCGGACCTCGATCCCCGCACAGGGCACACGCCGCATTTTCTAGGGTGGTTTCTAGCGCTTCCCGGTGCTGTTTGGGCTCGGCTTGGCATAGGTGGGATTTGCCGCTATGCTGCAGCCTCCAAGGGAGCAGACATGTTTTGTGTACTTTGTACAGGTCCAGACGGGATAGGCGCGGTCAGAGTTAAGGTAGCCATATCCCCTGGCGCGTCGTTGGACTATCCGTAGTTTGGCGTCTCTGTCGTGACCCTAGGCCCGGAGCCATGTCAGGCAGGAGGTTTGCGGGTGGCTAGGCATAGCCGGAGTAGGAGAAGGAGCATCAGATGACGAGCGTTGATGCAGTCGGGCGAACTCTGGGTTCGCAATGGTTCGGATCTTGGAAAAGGAGGTAGTGTTTAATTGAGATTTCTCGTGAGGCGAGACGAGACGAGACGAGACTAATACGGTGTGGGTTCAACAAGGCCATATATCTCGTTGACGAGGATGCAGGCGACAGCGAAGGCGACGACGACTGTTGTCGCACGGTTGATATGGCAGGCTGGGCTGGCGGGCGGTTGAGAAGAGACGACGGCGGGACGGGAGGAAAGAGTTGAGAACCTAAGGTACTGCGTAAGGGGAAGATGGAAGATCGTACTGCAAAATTGGAGCGACCAGGGGCGCTGTAGGCGACCCGAAGAAGAAGTCGACTCCGGTACATGCGAAATTGGTAGGAAATTGGAGTGACGACAAGTACCATCCTCTCCTCTTCCCATAAGCGTGGCCTTGGCAGCGAGGTACCCACTGCGATGGCTCAGGTTGCTCCGCTCGATAGTCGGTAAGGCAAGGTACCTGCCCGGAAGGGTGAGGTACATTGCGCGCGTACCTGACCCAAGTGGATCAACTCCTCGGTACGTACTCGATTGTCCAACTCTCACTGGTCAATAGCCTCAGGCACTACTGCTTTTTCCCCCTTTGTGAAGTGGGACGCCTCTGCCATCCGATGGTCTGTGCTTTCGATGTCGGCTCGTCTCTGTCAGGCTGGTCAGGACTCAGCTCAGGACAGGCACAGGTCACATTGGATCAGAGTTGGTTGATTCTCACCACTCACCACTCAATTTCAGTAGAAGACCGTCCGGAGGGCTCCCGAGCCAGCATTGCCCGGCAGACCACTCGGGGCGGCCGTACCTGCAAGTTTGCTGTTCTATCAACCGCGGTACAGTCGATCCAATTGTTGAGGCAAATACCTATCTGTAAGGTAGTTTTATATGATATTATCTCTTCTTCCTCCAATCCTATCCGAGGACCGTGACCTCTACAGGCTCAAGCTCCTTTTCACTCGCCGTGCCAGTGCCATCCCGCGCCGGACCCCTCGTCGATTGAAATTAGACCCAATCCCCTTGGACGGTCAGCGGCCACCCGCAAAGTTGAAAGTTGGTGGCTCTCTTCAGTATCCGTACTCCGTACCGCTCACTTTCAAACCTGGCCCTGGACCGCCTGCAACCCAGGCCTAGGTACCTAAACCTGGCCCTTGACCTTGACCTTGACCTGGACCATGACAGTGACCCGGACCTGATCTGACCCCTTCTCTCCCACTGAAAGTGAAGTACGGACCGCGGTGAACGGTACAGCGTAATTTTGGTGGTAAGGAGTTGAGGCGTCGCTTGCAATTTCATCTTGAGCCGTTGACGACACCCTTTGCCGGGCAGACGAAGTGCCTCTTTTTCTCCAGCTAATTGCTGCCTTCTCCCACCCACGCCGACCTTTTTCCTTTTCCCTTTTTTCTTTCCCTTTCCCCCTCTCCGGCTCCCGCCAATCGCTCCTCCTCGCCGCGACAAGCCTCGATCGGAGACGATTCAACGGCAATCCGACAACGGCGAGATACGACTCAGCCCTCGCACCGCCTCCCTTCTGCCCCCCCCGAGACAAGTCAATCCATCGGGCACCGAACGGGAGCAGGAAACATTGGATTGGATTGGATCGAACTTTGGAAGGAAGCTGCCTTATCGACGACAGGCACCAGCAAGCTGCGGCGGTAAAAGGACAGAAATAGGTCACTCGGACCAAGGAAGACGGGAGCGAAAACAATCGACGACATCCATCAATCATCGAGGTGAGTAAGAACCAGTTTCTGTACCCAGTCCAGCAGCGTCGCTGCTGCACCCACCCGCCCGGCTGCACAACTCGACGACTTCCATTGCCTGCATCTGCATTTGCATTTGGCTCAGCACACAAACATGCACCTCACCTCACGCAAAACCGTCCCCTGCACCGCTGTTCCCTGCAATAAGCAATTGCAGACCCTGGGAAAGATTTCAGCTTCGACTTGGGCCTCAGGCCACGGCTGTTGTGTGCTGGCGATTCGTGTGCCTGCCTTAGGACGTTGGTGCCCACAACCCAGCCCAGCCCAGTCCGGCCCGGCACCGAGCCAACAGCACCGTTCAGCAGCTGCCCACCCCAAGCTCCAGCTGCCAGACTGCAGCACAGCACCAAAACATCAGGTCCATTTGCACTGCACCGCCGGCAGTGGGCCGTTTCTGCCAGTAGCAGTGGAGCGTCAGCACCTCAGCAGCCCAGAGCCCGGTCCAGCCCATCCCGTTTCCTTCGTACCTTCCATTCCCATTCCCATTCCCATTCGCACTCCCCGACTACCTTAGCACATGTGGTCCCGGGGGCGGATTACCCACTGTAATCACTCGTCTGCGACTGCCATCCGTCTCTCTGCCCCAAAATCCGTCCATTCTCTTCCCCATCCATCCTTCCTCCCAAAACCTCTCTCCTACCTAGCAACCACACCACACACCCCCATCCATTTCCGTCGAACTGATTTCGCCCACCGAAAAGTCGGCCCAAATGGGCTTGCGGACCCTTCAAACATAGCTGACCGCGTCGAAATCATTTTTGCAGATATCGTCTTTTCAATCTCCCCCCTTTTCTTCGCACCCGAGCGAAACGAGAACGATCCCGACATCGAGTGAACGACCCCCAAACGTCACGCCTCTCGACACCTTCGTCCGTAACAGGACGGCCCCTCGAACGCGATGGCATCCTCGTCTAGCAACGTCGTGGGCGTCCACTATCGCGTCGGAAAGAAGATTGGAGAGGGCTCTTTCGGTGTCATTTTCGAGGGCACCAACCTCCTGAACAACCAGCAGGTCGCCATCAAATTCGTACGTCGCCGACTTCGCTCAACCCGTCCGTCACCGCGTCGCTCGTCGCCTCGCTGTGGCTCTGCCATTCCCGAAATAAATCACTAATTTTGTATTTCCTGCAGGAGCCGCGTAAGAGTGATGCCCCCCAATTGCGAGATGAGTACCGCACGTACAAGATTCTCGTAGGATGCCGTGAGTTTTCCCCCATTGCACGTGCCGGCCGATGCATTGCTGACAATCTTTCCAGCCGGCATCCCCAACGTCTACTACTTCGGACAGGAGGGTCTGCATAACATCCTGGTCATCGACCTGCTCGGCCCCTCCCTCGAGGATCTTTTCGATCACTGCGGAAGAAGGTTCACCATCAAGACTGTTGTTATGGTTGCCAAGCAGATGGTATGCGCACCTACCACCCGGCTCCTCGGAATAGCGAGAGACTGACTTGAAACCAGTTGTCGAGGGTGCAAACCATCCACGAGAAGAACCTCATCTACCGCGACATCAAGCCCGACAACTTTTTGATCGGCAGACCAGGCACTAAGGCGGCCAATGTCATTCACGTTGTTGATTTCGGCATGGCGAAGCAGTACCGCGACCCTAAGACGAAGCAACACATCCCCTACCGCGAGCGAAAGTCCCTCTCCGGCACTGCCAGATATATGAGTATCAACACCCATCTCGGCCGCGAACAATCCCGACGCGACGATCTCGAGGCCCTCGGCCACGTTTTCATGTATTTCCTGCGCGGTGGTCTCCCCTGGCAAGGTCTGAAGGCTGCCACGAACAAGCAGAAGTATGAGAAGATCGGCGAGAAGAAGCAGACCACCCCCATCAAGGACTTGTGCGAAGGCTTCCCCGAAGAGTTCAACAAGTACCTCACCTACGTGCGAAACCTCGGATTCGAGGACACCCCCGACTACGACTACCTCCGCGAGCTCTTCACTCAGGCGCTGAAGAACACCGGCGAGGTCGAGGACGGCGAATATGACTGGATGAAGATTTCCAAGGACTCGGGCAAGGGATGGGAAGCGATGAAGGGACACAACCCCAACTACCTGCACAACCCAAATGCCCGACCCGGCCCGTCCCAGATGGAACTGCACAGCGGCCATCGGGGCGGTGCTTCGACACCCCACAACCAGGCACAGAACCTTACGGTCAGCCGTTTAAACGCCGCGCAACCCCCGCCTCCTTCTCCGATCAAGCAGATGGCGAAATCGAGAGGTCAGCAAAACGCCCCAGGCGCCTTGAACGCGCAACGGGGCAGCGGAGTCGGGGGTCTTCGGGACATGGCCACCCCCACCGGCTCAACTCAGGCCCAGTTTCAGAACAGCAACCGCAACCTTCCCCAGAACGTCCCTCAACAGACGCCAATGAACCAACAGCAGGCCCAGCCTAACGGCCGTCCTGCTGAGCCCCAGCCGACAGGCTTCCAAAAGTTCATGAAGGTTCTTTGCTGCGGTATGTGATATCTACTTCCCTCGACTCGATTCAAACGACTGACGACAATGCAGGTTAGGAACATCTTAGACTCTGCTTTTGTTCGTGTTGCAATCATGGCAGCAAAGACAGCTGCTTGTCTACTATATAGCTGCCCACTGGACAAACATACGCCAGACGTCGGATCGATGTATGAATGATCTCAGGCGGCCACACCTGAGGTAGCTGACGACTCTGGCAACCACGCCACTCCCCTTTGTCCGCCATTCTTCATCTCCTTCCGACGACTCTTTTCCTCCTCAAGCTACACTTTTTTTCCGCATGACGACCACGGAGTAGCACAGAGCATCACTGGCTATTCCGGGATAATGACGAACACAAGCCTTTCTTTCCGGTTTTTTCTTCACCCGCGCAATGACGTCCTCTTTTTTTCCGGATTCTTTTCGGGGCATCATAAAATCACTGGCATGGAACTCTCGACTTGGGGATTGGGACCTTCTTGAACTAAGAAATTTCTGTTTCTAAGGAGAGAAACAAAAAACATACAACTTGATAATGTACAGCGCAGCACGGCGCAGGGCGGTTGCAGGGGTTTAGCATTGGGTCAGGGTTCTGCGGCACGTTTTCGTTGAGTTGATAATAGGGCTGGCCGTGCAGGGGCAGCTTGAGGCGAATGCGCTGTTGGGGAGGTCAATGACAACAGGTGGTGGAGAGCTAAAGGAGAGTTGTTGTGAGAGTAGTTGTGTGGAGGCCGATAGACAGAGAGAAGGGATACAATGGACATGAAACTTTACACTACTTGAACACAAGATTGATAACTCTTGAAAACTGAGACCTCACAATGTGACACTTGCTCCCTTATTTGTGATTGAGCCTGACTACCTCATTCCTGTACCAAGGAATGTGAAAGTGGGTGACAATGCCTTTGCAAATTGAGCCCGGAGAGTCTTTGATCATAGAACAAACAATGTCTACTCTTAGGAGTAAGAAAAGTCGCAACTGGCATTTCATACACAATATAGGTACTTCATCTTGCTTGTGTATCTCTAGAACCTCCCCTTGGCCATCATCGCCAGGTCTTACGTTGATGAGGTTGACTTTCAGACCTGCACATCAAGAGAACCAGAATGGCATGAAAAGGATTGCGGGACACCAACGCACTACGATGGCATTCATGGAAGTAAGAATAAGACCACGAAAGGTCGTGGTCCTCGTCTACCTCCCTTCTCTCTGAGTCGGAACCACCCACAGTCGAATCTGTGAGCCGCGTACGGATGCCATGGCCAGGGTTGAACAGAACGGCGGGAACTGAGCAACATTCATACTTGATTCATATCCATGAACAAATCACATTTCGGATGTTTCCATTTACAGTTCGATCTGGGGACCGAGACGATCAACCACCAACGAATGTCAACGGCGTACCTGCAGAGTCCGCGTCCCCGAAAGAGCGGCACTTCGGTACGGGAAATATAACAATTCGCTTCGATTTGATTTGGCCGATGAGAACTCAGATCGTCCGGAACGTCCCGGGGTTCAAGGAAGAAGGGGGGAAAGAAAAGGAGGCGGAGCGGAGGTAGATCATCTTTCAAGCGAAGTCACGACTCCCGGGTCCCACGGACGAGGGTGTAATGATCTCATTTCCGCTTTTTTCCTTCTTCCAACTCTCGGGCGGAGGGTGCAGGTTGTGTTGCGATTCGATGCTGTGCACAGGTCTCGCAGGCACAATTCGATGACCTCCTGCATCGTCGTGAGGGGTGGATGTTCTTGTATAAGGTTGATTTGCACGTTTCTGCATTCTACGACGCAGGTGTCTCCAGTGCTTCATATGGAGTGTGCGCCAGCTTGCCTTGTCATATCAGCTACATGAGTTCGTGGCCCAGCGCAGTAGTTTGGTGGAATTACGTTCCGTTTCTACCACGATTGGTGTTTGTTTATTATAGGTAGTATTATTCCATCTGCGGACAACATTAAAGAGGTCTATCCCTCATTCTATATTCTGGGTTCCATGCTCATTCTACAAGATCGAACGGCCATCATGCTCCCGGTACTGTGCCTAAGATGGAGAATAAATGCTGAAGTCTGGTAAGTCGAGCTGTCCAACATGATGTATCGCCAGAGACCTTCCTCTCGTGCGGGGCGTCTGGCCTTTGCCTCGTTTCCAAGTCTCTTCCCCTTGCCGGTTGCAAGACCTCGGATGAGTCTGTTTGTCTATTCGGCCCCGCGTCACTTCTACTAATGTCATCCAGTGGCAATATGAGACTTCTCTTACAACGCCGAATCCTGGCTTGAATCAAAATCATCACATCGATAAGTCCATCGAAAGCTCCCCGTTGGGGGCTTTGGACAGGTACTGATCCAACAAAGTCTGTCAAACACGTCAGCGAGCTCTATCCTTGAAGACGATAAAGGGTACGCATGAAGCTCACCCAGTCCAGGTTAACAGGGTCATTGAGAGCATTGTCGAGGGTCATGAAGTCGACAGAGTCGCCCGGAAACATATCCACGCCCTGCAGCCCACCCAACCCAGGGGCCACGTCCACGAAGCCGACGTCAGACGCGGGCAAGTCTCCAAAAGTGGTGATCGCAGGATCCAAGGGTACTCCCGAGGCCGTTGTCGTGGTCCCTCCCTCCACGTTCATCGTCGTCATCTCCCGGCGGCTCAACCGGCGCAACATCGCCCTCAAAACCGCCGCGGCATATCTCGCATCCCTCGAGCAATTGGACCGACCATCCCAAATCCTCGCCGCCGTCCTGAGAGCGTTCATCTTCCTCTCGTAGTCCTCGTCACTGAACACCTGAAGTCAGCAGTCCACTCTCGATCCCAACTCTCTCCTCATCGCAACATACCCGGTATCCGCGGACTCGTTCAGGTCCAAAGCAACCACCATCGCCGCAATCATGAAATCGTGCAAGGCCAGACTGCTCAGCATATACCGATCCTCAAACAACCTCCCCCCCGGGCTCGCCTCGCGGTCAAACTCCTCGTGCAGCTCCAGCACTCTCAACGCCGCCCGCCGACACGTCTCCCTCGAACCCGCGTAACACGCTTCCTTCTTGTCCCGGCTCAGGTACCGACGGTGCAGCACGCACAGCGCCTTGCTGAACATGAGCTCCAGCATCAGCCGGTGCATGATGGTGTAGTTCTGCTCCGAGAAGCCCGTGGACCGGATGGGCCTGACGGCGAGGCACGCCGGCAACCCCGCGCGCCAGGCGTGCAGGGCCTCGTCCAGCGCGCGGGTCTCGGCGTACGCGGGCTCCGAGGGCGACAGCGCGTGCCGGATCACCCGCCTGAGGATGCGGCAGAGTTTCGACTTCTGGTTGTAGTACAGCATGGGGGACGGGTCCAGCGCCGGACGCGGCGGCGGCATGGAGACCGTCGTCTCGTCGAAGTCCTCGTCGGGGTGGTTCCCCGGGCCGAGGGCGTCGCTCTCGCCCTCGTGGATGATGGGCGGCATGCCGAGCTGGAAGGAGAGGAGGAGGTCGAAGGTCTCGCAGTAGAACCACGTGCGGCGGCGCATCTCGGCGTCGAAGGGCGAGACGTCGTACGAGAGGTGCCTGGGCTCCAGGTGGTAGCCCCTGCGCTGGGCGAGCCTGGTCGCGACGCCGAACATGTTCCACATGACGGGGTCGTGGTCTCTGCTGGCGATGTTGCGGGTGTAGGCGACGAGGAGCGTCGCCTCGACGGAGTACGTCTTGGCCGCGAGGTAGTTCCCCTTGACGAGGCACTGCACCGCGCGGCCGCTGTAGGCCGAAGGCTCTTGCAGGGAGCTGCTGCTCAGGCCGAGCGCCTCGGCGGGGCCTTTGCCCCTGATGATGACGGTCGCGGTGGTGATGATGGAGAAGAGGATGCTGATCCAGAGGAAGCTGGCGCCGTCGGGGTTCGCCCAGAAGGCCTCGCACTCGCGCTGGAAGCGGCCGGTGTGGATGAAGGGGACGGCCGTGAAGCGGGCGCGGAAGTAGATGCTGAGCAGTCTGTCGGTGTCTTGTCGCGGGGGCAGACTGGCGAGGACGTCTTGGATGGTGATGGAGGGGGGCACGGCGCCGAATAGGAAGTCCGGACCGATGGAGCAGGCGGCGGTTCCCGGTGGTTGTTCAGGGGGTACCGTGTGGTCTGGTTCGAGGGCCGTCTGGATCTCGCGGATGTGGTGGAGCAGTGCGGACCAGTGAGTGGCGCCGTAGTAGGCCTCTTCCCCATCGACCGGCGCCGGGGGCGGGGAATGTTCGTCGCGGCCGGGGTCCGAGTCAGTCGGTGTCGGGCCGGCTTGGGCGGGTATATCCGGAGGTGCGCAGCGGTCTTTGGACGGGCCCGATCCCCGCCGGACCAGGTCCTGGACCATGTCTTCCAGCTTCTGGAGACGGAGTTGGACCTCCTGGCGAGGCTGTTTCTGCGGCTCTCCCACACCATCATGACTTGGATTTTGGGCTGCTACGGGAGCGGGAGCAGAAGCACGGGTTTCCTTGCCGTTGTTTGAGACAGCTGTATGCTGGCCAGCCACTTTGGGCCCGAATCTGCACGCGTGCGCGTCTCCGCGCCTGGTGCAAGCGCCGCATGGCTGCGCGCGGTCGCATTTCAGCTTGCGAGAGCGGCAGGCCGAGCACGAGACGGGCTGGCGGTTGCGCTTGGTCACTCTCCGCTGTTGATCGGAGAGCGTGTGGGCGCGGAAGACGGAGGTGAATTGGGCGATGTCTGACATTGTGGGTAAAGAGATCTCGGCCGAGTCAGTTTCGGTGGAGGGGACCCGGTGGAGGAGGTGGGACGGAAGACTTCCCGATCTGGTTTGACGGCTCCGTCCAGTGATCTCAGACGGTTGAACTTGTGTGTGACGGAGAGGACGCGGGCTTTGGGACAGTATTGATTCCGCCAGAGATTGAGGTTGAAGGAGTGAGTCGGCTAGGCACTAAACTCCGGGGCTCGTCGTCATCGAAGGAATGATAGACGCCCTCGCGTGCGTGTTAGTCGGGGATATCCCGGAGTTAGTACCTTCCATTTTGGGAAATAGCTTCTTTCACGGTTCTTTTGAGGTTCCTGTCACGGTAGTAGATCTAGAGCACTTTGCACTTTGCCCATCAATATCGTAGCTTCATTCGACTTCATTGCCACACCAAGCTACTACCCTATTCATCTCAACAAGACCCCCCTCCACTCTCTCCAGCCCTCCCCGGATAAAACCAGTCCATCCGCTCCGCCAATAGCTGCCAGAGCTAAACCGCCTCTCCTCCTCGTCCTCCCCTCTTGCGTGTATAATATGTCCACACGGATCCATCCTTCTGACGGACGCCGAAGCTGCTTGTTTCTTACGATGGAAAGAAAAACAGGAAACCATATTATTAAGAAAACGCCAGGTTCTTTTGGATTTTGTCCCCTTTGCTCCGTGCGCTTGGCTCGAAAAGAAAACTGTGAAAAATACTGAAAACAGGCAGATTAAAGAAATACACACGCTTTTGTACACACGACTGTTGTGTTATAAGCTGGGTATCATAGCAGCGAGGCAGAGACGCAGGTTAAAGCAAACAAGTGACGGCTCTCAAGAGCCAATGCCGCGGCAAACCGTGGCAGGGCTACCGACGACAACGGTGAATTGTGGGACATCCTGCGGCGAAAATCAGTTAAGACGTTCTCAAAGATATCAAGTAGATCAGAACATACCCGAGTAACGAGCGAGCCGGCGCCAACGGTGCTTCCTTTCGCAATAGTCACCCCAGGCAGGATGATAACCCCTCCGCCAATCCAGCAGTCTTGCTCGATGGTGACTGGGGCGCCCATCAGCGGGCCCTTGCTACCCTGTCGCCTCTTGGGGTCTACCGACATCTTAGTCGTGAAGATGCTGACGTTGGGACTGATGGAGCAGTTATCGCCAATCTTGACCTCGCAGGAATCGAGGATTGTGCAGTTGCGGCCGATGTAGACGTTCTGTCCGATGGTGATGTTGTAGCCGTAGTCGCAGTGGAAAGGCGCCTCTACTACGGCATTCTCGCCAACGCGGCCAATATTGCTCACTGGGGAGGCATTCGGCGGGGAGAGAACGGGGTCGCGCGGCTGGAGAATCTCGCGGAAGAGGCGTGCCCGTTCAGCAGGGGAGACACCGTTGTTGGGGTTCGTGGAGTTGTTGAAGCGCCAGCAGGCTGCGTTGCATCGCTCGCGTTCGAGAACGAGCTCTTTGTCGAAGGGGAAGTATTGTCTGCCTAGAAGCATCTCTTCCTTCTGCGTCCTGATCCGATTGTTGGGAGAAAATTGGGTGTGGGAGAGAGCTAACTGCGCCGCGACCTGGACGTTACTCGTGGCTGGCGGTTGAGACGTCGGGCTGTTCGATCTCGTTGGTTGCAAGATTTTGATCTGGGGCAACATTGGGGCCGGATGAGGGGTGTCGGGATCGTTTGCGGTCCTGCTGATGTCGTGCAGGGGCGGGACGCGCTGGAACTCCTTTCGTTCGCCGTAAGGTGATTGCTGAGACTGGCCCTGGTTTACGGGAAAGGCGTAATGATGTTTGTTTGGCGACAAGTGGTTGTCGGGACCGATAGCACTGTTCGCGCTTGGAATCGTCGAGGGCGTCAACGTCGAGCCGGATAGCGGGTTAGATACCACCGAGGCCGATAACGTCGACGCAGTCTGCCGTTCGTCGTCCACCTGTATGGGTCGGCCTTGAGGAGTATCTATCCTCAGCGGTTGTCCTCGATAGGGAGGCAAAGGCTCGCGCCTTTGTCCAACGGCAGGCTGGGTGCCATAAGGAGCTTGCGGGTGCTGAGGCTGGGGCTGGGCTATAGGCTGGGCTGCGGGCTGCACTGGAGGTGGTTGGGTCTGAGGCATACCGTAGGCACCAGGAGGAACGTAACTGGGGTCTTTGGACTCCAATGGAATGGCTGCAGCTTTGTTATCGGGCTTCTGCCAACCAGCATTGCGCTGAGGCGGGTATCCTGCACAGATGAAGCCACCGCGGATGCAGTTGCTACCTGTGAGTTCATTAGTATCACGGGCAGTAGGGACAGAAACGGGACTTACACTCAGGCTTTTGCTCGTCACACTTCTTCTTTCTCTTGCGGCAGGTCAAGCATCCAGTCTTGGTTCGGTTGCTGAAGTTGCGCTTCCTCTTCTTGGGGTCTGATTGGAGAGATGGATCACGAGAGCCACCTGTAGGCGTGTACGGGCTGTAAGGCATGCCCCTGTCGTCACCATCAGGGCTGTTGTTGTCGTCGTAGTCCTGGCTTTCCATCTGGTTCGCTCTCCTCAGAGCCTCTCCAACCTGCTCATCCGGGTGGCCTTGGGCTGACGCAGTCGATGGCTCGTCATAGTAGCTCCGGTCCTCCCTGTTCCCTGCTTCTTGGGAATACCAAGAGTCACCATGCTCGCGCCGTTCCTCGCGGTCAGCGTAAGAACGGGGATCGTTTGGTGGCGACCTGTAAGGATCACGTGAGTCTATAGAGTGAAGTTGACTTGATGTCTCTGGCGATCCTTGTTGATTTACGGCAACGTCTCTTCTTGGCGGCGAGTCTGAACGCTTTCTCTTGAGGGTGCCGTCTACATCGGGGTAGTTTGTGGAATGGTAGGGCGATCTATCCTGGCTCGGGCCGGCCCAATTCTCTCTCTGGTTCGCCGAGGGTTCTGCGGCTGTGGACGGTTTGGGTTCGGGATGCGTAGGTGTGCCGTTGGAGCGCTCGTCTGGAGAGGCTCTGTTGACGTCGGTGGGCTGGTTCGTGGGTTCTGATGTCTTTGGTGGTGAGCCCCCATTAAGGGCGGTGAAAGCTGACATGGTTCAAGCGCCGCACCTCAAATCAGGCGCGGGAGAAGGAGAAGCGTGGTGTCGACCGAGGCCGTGTTGGGGGTTAAATGAGAACAAAGTCTACGGCAAGCGACGATGACGGCAGATTCAACGTCGCGTAGTGCGGGAAGAATCAACAAGGAACTTCGGCAGAAGTGGAAATGTGCTGCGAGATGAGATTGGAGATGAGGTTCCGTCGGGTGCGTGCAGGGCGCGCGCGTCAATCAGTGCCAGAATCAGGGATTCGGGCCGAGAAAAGACTTGGGGAATGTCTTCTCAACGAGGCACCAGAGCCGCAGTAGACGACTCGAAGAACCTGGCAGCGTCGCAGCTACGGTAGCGCAGCTGGGCTGGGGTTTCGAGGTGAGGGAACAGCTTTTTGAGACAGAGTGGCGCCTCGATGTCTTCCGTGTTCAGATAGTTGTCAGTTGTGGGGTTGTTGTGTTTTTCTGGAGGGGGGCGGTTGAGACTCTCTGTGCGCGCGGCTCAGCTCTCAGTGAGGAAAGGTAAAGGTGAAGTGAGAGGTAGGGAAACCGAATCTCGGTCTCTGGTTCAGCCAGATCGAGTCGTTGTTGTCGAGGGGGGTGGGTAAGAAGTTTTTTTTTTTCCCTTCTCTTCTTTCCTCAGTGCTGTGCTCCCCTCTCTGTCCCCTGGACCCCTCGCGCCAAATCTGAAGGAGGTGGTGGTGTAGCTGCCAGCTATCAAAACAGATGATGACCCTCACTTTGCCGATGCCGCTGGCGGGTGCCGCTGTCGCTACTACGATGCGCGGCGCGCGGAGGACGCGGGAGCTTGAGCTATGGACTTTTTTCCCCCTTCTTCGCGCGCTCTGCTTCTTGCCGTCTTTCTGAGTACGCGGGGGGGCGTGGGAGAATTAATTGCTGGGCTGTGCGCGCGTGCGTCAGTAGGTAGGTACGTGCGACAAGAGCGAGAGCGGTGTCTTGTCCGCCCCGGGGGTGGACAAGGGCAGAAATTGAAAGAGATGCCGCTGAGACCTGAGGCTGTGCAGGCCTTGATGTATGAATGTGTGTGAGAGAAATTGGGGGGAACAGGCGACCCAGTGTCTCCGGCCTGGACGGAAGCTCGAGGCCGTCGAGAGAGTTTCTGGTGCTCCCCCCATTAGAAGACGAGAGAGGAAAAAATGAAAAAATAAAAGAGGGCAAAATGTAAGAAAGAGTGTAGTAGCAAAGAGAGAGCGAGAGAGAGAGGAGAAACAGAACTAAGAAAGACTCGACATGATTTGGGGGAGGGGTGGGACACGTTAGAGATTCATACTCACGTCTTCCCTCTCATGAAAAGTCCCTATTGGGATGCTTCGAGTTATTTGCCTTTGACCGTAGAGGGTAAGGCGATGCTTTTCCGCTGATGGTGATGATGAATGGAAGATTGCTGCAAGTTGGATTCGATTACTCGGAAAGACGTCGACGCATCAGATAAATCGCATGCGTAGTAGTTGTTCTTGGCCCCCAAAAGTGTGTTTGCGTCCAGTCCAGTCCAGTCCAGCCAGGTCGGGGGTTCGGGCCTGGGCAATTACTCCGCTGATTGCTTGCGATCTACGGATACCGCGAAGGGGTAACGGAGTGTGGGTGGGTGTGTGGGTGAGATGCGTTGCGTTGCAGTTGCGGTAGCAGTCGCAATTGCGTAGAGCACCAGGCAGAAATACTGTTGTATATGATCTGGACCTGGGGGTCTGTTGATGCCGTCAGTGTCGACGGTGCTGGCTGGATGCGTGTATGCGGGCGCGCGTGTTGTTGATGTGGTTTGTGGATGCGGAGAATTAAACCAAAAAAAAAAAGGATGAAGAAATAATTTGCCGCGGTCCTGTCTCTTTCTTTTCTTGTCCCGTCTCCTTCCTTTCCAATCCAATCCTCTTGTCCCTTGGTCGTCACTTCCGGCCTGCTCTCCCGAATGCCTCGTCCTTTCCTCTCCCGTCTTAGGGGTTTGTCCGAGTCGAGAGTCGAGGGATGATGGCTGCTTTGTCGTCGGCGCTTGAGCGCTTTGCGCGATTATGCTGCGCCTGTCGGGAAAAGAGGTGAGGGGACGCTTCTCCAGGTGCCGATATAACGTTGAATGTAATTCAACCCAGTTGCTTCTTTGATGAAGCGACAGTTTGCGAAGCGAATAGGACAATAATCAATGTCCAAATTGTATCTCGAATTTTGTCTTCCTCCTCTGGCGTAAGGTAGCCCGCAAGGCAGTGAACAGCGCGTGTGAAGGGCCTGCCTGATGAGTTAGGCTATGGTTGCTGAAAAGAGAGTTTAGGTGGTGTCGGATGTTGACGGGTGGGATGAGCGAAAGGGTGAGATGACAAGAAACTGTGAGTGTGACGGGGGGGAGGGGAATATGTTATTATCATGTGGTAGCGAACCTCAGGTGAAAGCGGCCGTGTCAAGTCTGGGTATCCCATCAGTCCCAGGTACTCGACAGGCCAAACGCACGCTTAGAAGCCTTTTTTTTTTTTACCACTCGAGGAGGTAGGTTAAGTAAGGGTCCCTAATGAGGTGAGGTGAAGTACGGATATGCAAGGTATCATCCGTAGCCCGAGCCAGGGTTGTTGAACTGGGCTTCAATCTGTAGGCGAGAGAGCCAAGGGCCACCACCACTAAAACGTAAAACCAGCCTTCCCTCTCTACTCGCGCGTGCGCCTATTCAGCTCAGCTCCAGGCGGAACGGAACGGAGGGGTCGAATACGTGGTTCGCGGCCAAATTGCAAGGGAACGAGAAATACCTCCCGGGGTAACTTGGACGAGATGAGGGTCTCGGCGAGTGCTTCATTACCTTTGTATCCTGTACGAATACAGTACCCTTCACTTTCTGTTTCTCATCTGCTCGACCCCGACTTCTCGTCTAAAAGTCGTTGCCCCGGTCTCTCTCCCGCAGGATCCCACGCCGTGCTGCCCGCAAACCACGTCAAGATCCCCTCTCCATATTGGTGTTGGTAAAAGGGCATGTGAGAGATGTATCCATGTCTTTCCCATCCAGGACCGTTGCCCACCCCCCGTTCTTCATCGCTAAACCCGGGAAACACTCGAACAACATTGGGGCGGCATGGCGCTTCTCACGGGTACTCGACCACCACCAGAGACTTGCGCGATACCACTGCCAGTAAACCACTTGCGTCTGTCGTCGCTTCCAGTGCTGGACCCCCTGGCAAGGAACGAACAAGGGGGGGGATGGCATGCAGAAGGAGGGGGCGTGTCGCCATGCCATTGGCGAGGAACGGAGGGGGCGTGAGCCTTGAAATCCGTGCTCTTGTCTCTCCAGCTCTGCAAGTACGGATACAGCTGGTGGACTGGAAACTAAACAGTGACCGAAGGCCTCGCCTGATACCCTGCCCTTTGGTACGCCGCCGTTGATGTCGCTCGTTGGCAGTGTCTTGATCCCCATCATCGTCACCTCTGCGTCTTCGTCATCTTTTTTTCGTCGTCCTTGTCAGTCGAATCTGGCTTTGAAGATCGAGCTGTGCCGCCCGCAGGCTATCACAGGTGGAAACGATGCCAGACGTTTCTCAAGCCAGACATCTGTCATCATCTTGTCGCTAAGATGGTCTCCCGACTCAGTCCGCCCTATGACACACGTCCATCGGACATGACACACGCGCCTAAGCTCGCGCCCGACTGATGGTCAACGACATCCAGCCCACTTGGGCTGGCACATCCTCATCTCACGGACCTCACCGGTATGCCTCTTCCCCTCCCCGCCATGCGTGATATGGTGTAGGTCGAGGCACGGATGCGATGCGTCTTGTGCAAGAATGCACGCACGCGCAGGCATAGATATTACCATAATATCTCTCTTAACACCTGCCACGTGAAAGGCAAGGGGACCTGCTTCATAAATCTCGATGGAGGGGTCTGTCACCGTGTCACCCTTCTTCAGCAATCCTGAAGACGCTCTAGACGCACGCACAGCACGGCTTTCTGGCCCCCGCTCTTCCGCGGCCGTGAACCCTCGTCCATCTGCGATTTATTGGAATTTGGGGGCAGCAAACAAGCGAGAGCCGCCGGTCGCCCTCAGCCTATCGCCAAAGAGTAAACACTCGGGACTCACACAACCCGAACCCTGGCCTCGCCAGACTGCATCCCGCTTTCATGTCACCTTCGTGACTCGGTTGCCGCCGTCCCTGGCAAACTTGTCAGCATTTCGCCTCTGTTCTCCGTTCGACTCGAGTTTGTGCAACTGGAAGACGGTCGTCTAAGTAAGACCCTTAGAACGTTCTCGCGGTTCACCAGGAAGGCCCCTCGCGCATCCGGAGACGCTGTCCGCCTCTGACGTTACACTGGTTTCCACTTGTCACCCTCATGAAGCTTGACCACCACTGCAACCCTTTAGACCGCTGTTTGGCCGGGGTCCCGTGTACGAGTGTCATGAGTTTTTGCTGCTGCTGTTGTACCGCTGAGGAATGGGGGCAAGGGTCTTCCACGTTTCCCAAGTCTGGCAGGAAACGGCCTTGATACGCAGTGAGGCGAGCAGAAAAAACACCGAGACTTGGGTGATCCAGTCCGCCTGACCTAGATCGAGGATCCCGGCCGTCTTGCAGACCAGAGACGACCAATATCGGTGCCGAAGCGACCCTGGTCGAACCTTTGGTCCCTTCATCCGCTCGTGCCCTCAGAAATAGTATCTGCCCACGCGGGAGTCCTTGCTAACTAGGATCTCGTCCCTTCTCTGGGGCTCACCAGTAGCATCGGTTCGCGATGGGACAAATGGAACAGCGGCACGGCGAGTGTTTCGGAGGCGGCCATTGATACCCGCGACATATCTTTGCCCAAGTGCTCAGCCAGACTAGTCGTGGCTGAATAACGTCGCATCCAGGGTTCGATCCCCGCCAAGTCTAATGGCTGATGGCTGGATGCGAGGTACTTGTGCATTGCCGGCGGACGCGGTTGATCAACTGCAGCCAATTGGGTGACCAGGGAAGGGTGTAAAGAGACGCTTGTGTCATGTATTTGAACGTTCGGTCGTCTCCTCTTCCAATCCAATTTCTGCTG